AATTACTAAAAAAAAGTGGATGAATACATCTCTGGGTTACTGTTTTTGTTAGTTTAATGACTAACTCTTATCATACATCAGCAATGTACATGATAATCAGATTTTTTACCGATCTGCAGCATAATCATCGATAAAAAACGTCTTCCCATGTTTTATACGTTGGCACTGACGGTGAGATTTGCTGTATATTTTGCCATAAAAACACACTTTTTTCTAAAATACATCAACCTTAAGGTTAGATTTTTCCACATAAAGAATGTAATTTCAGTGTAATCTGTGTTAAAGAAGTGTGCAGTGACCTCAGATTAACCTTTAATGTTGTTTTTCTGTAAATATCGAGTGATTTTTCTGTCTAATCGGGACCTGACAATGTAACCACACGAGTTGTCAGCGTTATGACACATCACAGATCTCAGTTTTATTATCAATCATGTTTTTGCTGCAGATGTTTGAGATTTGGATAATAATTTTCAATGTTTACATGGTGTTGTGTATGATGATTCCTCTGGTTTATTTGTATATTTGTGTTTTTCAGCCATAAGGGAAATCTGACTTTTACACTATGATTTCAGACTTTTCATTTTTTGGTGCGACATTTACTCAGACATCTACTTGAACTTCTCTTTTGGTGTTTTAACAGAAACAACATCCTGGTTTTTCTGTCACTGACCAGCACTGTGTGATCATTTCTTGACTGTGTAGAAAGATGGCCGACGCGTTTTGACCTTCTTTTTTTTACAAAAGTGAAGCCAAAATACACCCGGCAATCTGAGTCTTGAGGTCCTTTGTTTGGGATTTGCTTTTACACTGCACCTTAAAGTCCACACCAGAACATATTCATAAACCAGCTGACACTTGTGGTTATGAATAGTTGTATGACTCATGCATTAGTGCTTGTTATATATCCCCTTGCCTTTCCTCCTCCTACACTGCTAATTGGGTGGACATATCGCCCTAGGAGCCACAACAAGGCTGTCAATCATGATATTATACTCCTCAGAAGTTATGAGAACAAAACTTCCAAGAGAGATAACCTCACGGGTAAAAATCTGCATGTTGAGAACCAACAACAATGCAAAATGTATTTATAGCGTCCCATCTGTTTACATGGAGAAGGTTGGTTTACCTAAACTTTAGCCAATCAGTAGGGGGAGCTCTAAATGCTTTGACCAAGTGCTGTAAAAACCAAGCCGGTTTTTACAGCAAAGATAAACATGCTCACAGTCGTCTCCAGGCAACTTATTTTTTTTATCCAGTTACATCAACAGGGGGTTGTTTTTTAAATCGCTGATTTGTTTTTAAGGCGTCAAAGTTGCTGGTTTACAGCCGGCTGGACTGACAGGCAGGCACTCTGTAGCCATAGACTGTATATTCTATGGACAACTTGGTTCCGCTTCCCGCCAGTATATGAATTTAGTGGACATGTAGCAGTTAGCGAGAAGGCTAAAGGCCAAATCTTAGATTGAGTCGGCATTTCCTCAAAGGCTGCTGTCATTGTTAAACTTAAAAACTCAGCTTTAAAAACTGAGGTTACATCCATGTTTTACACAGACATTTTTATTTTGGCTTCACTTTTGGGGAGCCGTCACGTCGTCTGTCTTTTTATACAGCATTGTTAGTCTGTGTATTATTGGTTGTTTGTTTGGGGACTCTTATTACTGGAGTTTTGATTTTATTTATTTACTTTGACTTGTTTCTCTCTTGTTTTAATAATTTCAACTCTTACAGAAGTTTTTGAGTCAACTTTGATGATGTTCACAGACTCACTTGAGGGGAAAGTAAAAGTTTTTAGGAGTACAGCCACGCTGGATTTTGTCAGAACTTCTTCAAAGTAGACAGAGAAAAGTTTCTTGCTTTTCAGACTTATGAAAAAAAAATCATATTCTGTATAGATTTCCAAGAAAACATGACTTTTCTCTAAAAATTAAAATAATCCAAACTTAATAAAAACAGTAAATAATAAACGTTTGGATAGAGAAGAGGTTTATAATTGGCTCGCGGCGTTTCTTGGAAGTTTCTCTTGAGTGAGTGTCAATGAGAGTTTGACTCAAAGGCTTTAATTTAAGTTGAAAGTCTCCTGCTGTGATCGGTGTTTGAAACTTCTGTGGGAGTATCTGATATTTTGTGACATTAAGAACTCTGTTCGATCTGTTTTTCATCCTTTAAGATCTGCTTGACACTTTTTTAACTCCTTGTCTCACATCATCATGCTTCTCTTATACATGCGAATCATAACTCAAATCTTACTTTGAAGCTGCAGAACATTTTATTTTTATATTTCTCCCAGCATGCAGGCTTGGATTTTTATCCCTGCTCAGTTTTATCAGCTCTGACTTTAGATGGGTTTTGAATCAAACGTGTGTGAGCGGTTTCATTTATGAGTTGAAAGAGCCCCCTGCTGGACTCGTGTTTTTCCTCTCCTGCTCTGTGCAAAGAAAACAGTCTTTCTTTGGGTTATGGGCTGCATCAAATCTCCTCCTTCGCTTGGCTTCTGTCCTTTAATCACATTAATTTTCATTTTTGGTTTAATGGCTTCCCCTCAGAGACAATAATGCCGTCCTTGACCAAATTCAAATGAGACCGTTATCAGCAAACTGATGCGACCTCAACTTTCCGCTGCACAATGACAGCAACTCTGCAGATGCTGGATTTAGCTTCAATTGATACTAATGTGCAGCAGTTCATGGCTTCTATTTAGCTTAACAACATGATAACTGGGGAGGGAATAAAATGTGTGGATGCAAAGTGGTGTTACAGTCCACTTCCCTTCAAATGAAAGTGCCATTTCTCTTAGTTAAAACTATTTATTTTAAGTAGAAAATACATAAAAATAAGCTTTAAAACTTGGAGGAGGAAGCATCCCTCAAAAGAAGTGCTGCTACACATCCCTAGAGGGGCAAATTCACTTATAATAATTACATCAGTTTCATTGTTGCTCATTATTTAACAGTAATGTAAGCTGATCCTGTCGCCACATGTAATCTAATCTTGTAAATAAGCTTGTAATGAGAGGGAAGGCCGATGAGCCTCTCGGCGTGGTCCCAGGATTAAAAATGTCCGCCTGCTGCTCTCCCTGTAGCTCCTCTCCCCCCTGCATAAGCTCATGTCGTGCCGAGTGACTTTAATGTGTGTTTTCTAAGAGTTTTTTTGTTTAATATCTACCTCAGCCTTGGTTTACCACATGTTGACATAAAAACACATCACTGCCTTTTACTGAAAAAAAAAGCATTTTAAACCTCATGTGTGTCTAAAAACAGGTGTTTAACAGTCTGGGTGAGAGGCTGGATGACTGGACTTGTCATGGAAATTAAAATAGTGATGTCTACTTGTGAGGGTTGATCCAGAGGGTGTATGTGGTTACCAGGAATCAGAGGTTTTATTTTACATGTTTCCTTGCATCATCTTTTCTTTACACTGATTAATGATACCTGCCTTACTCGTGTGCAATAAATGTTATTCAGTGCTTTATTCCAAGAGTGTCTTTGGTTCTTTTTTGACGTTTAACCTTCATATTCAAAGCTGGGATCAGGTTGAGTTCACTTATCAAAAACTTAAGCAACAGGTTTCACAAACAGTCTCACCTTAAAGGCACAGTGAGGGTTTTTTGGCTGATTTTGAAGAGGCACTTATCCCTGATGAATAATGAGGTTACCAGGATAAAGACTGTTGATTTCTACACACTGACTTTCTTTGTGTCAGTTTTCTGCACTCACTCTGAAGTGTCCATGTTAAGAGCTTTGCTTGTTAGGTTTGGTAATGAGAAGTAAGTCAGCAAGCAGGACTTTTTTTCCTGAAAATTATATTTTTGAATTTTCAGCAGGATTCCCTAAAAGACGCATGCTTTTACGCAGGCCAACCAGAATCAGCACAGTATGAGAACCGCTCTCAGTACCCTAAATCTCACTTGTTGTAGACCTTTCCATCTCTAGAAATCTCTTTTTCTGATCATTCTCATCAGAAAATGAAGATTTCTCACCTAAAATGTGAATAAAAACGTAAAATGGACTTCAAGATGCTGATGAAAGATGGAAATTTGAGCTTTTGTGTTCCTCTGATTTGTGCAAACGTCTAGAGAAGACCACATATGATCAAAAGATGTGGATAAGCTTCCTAAAACACAACCTCACAGCGACTTTGTTTATATATCTGTGTTTTTTAATGAGTTTTGCACTTTTTTGGTTGAAAATTTAAGAACTTTACTTTTTTATTGGCTTGTATTTGTAAAGAAATCCTATAAGGGCAATCCCAGTAAACAGAATACGTTCACCACTGTATTTTTCTTTATTTGTAACAACTAACAACTAATTCCTGTGTTCATTCATGAACAGCTGCACCATGTTGGTATTCTGTACATTGAGGCAAAATCTCACATCATGTTGTTTTGTAGGAAATATATTTAACCACAATTCAAACATATTTTTTTACAGATTTACAACATAAACTGAAGTCAGTGTGACTTGAAGATATTTTCATCCTCTCCCCTCTTTTTATTTAGAATCACTGGGCACACTGATGTGCAAATTTATCATACAAAAGTGAGGTTTCAGGAAGTTTATCTTTGGTACAATATAAATTATAGAACAGATGACTTCAAGAAGGCACTGCAGCCAAACAAAACCCTGACTCTGGTTTGCTTTTGGTGATAATTCAGTGAGAGAGTCCTGGACCTTAGAGTAACCAAACGAGAAGGTAACGCAGGTGGAGGTACAAGGAGAGTGGGACAGACAAACACTTGTGGTCCTTTCATATTGTTTTAGAAATTTGAACACACTGTCCTGGAAATATAAAAACCATCTCCCCGGTAGAAAAACAGCAGAACAAGCTAGAGAGTCTGGCTGCTGCTGATGGACATGTGGCCGGCACAAAACACGCTCACAGGACCAGAGGTTAATGGATTGAAGACACCGCAGCAACCACAGCCCCTTAGAAGACAGTGTGAAAAATGTTGTGTGCCCGGGGGAGCTAATCAAACAGTCAGTCTGTCTCTGCCACAGCAGCTCTCAGTTCCCTGCAGGTCCCTTCACATCCAGAGACTGGACGGCGGCTCCTGCTGGAAGGTTGCAGGCTGACGGGTCACAGTAACCGTTAGGACCAGCTGATCCAGGTGGACCAGGAACGCCGGACTGTCCGGGAACACCTGGAGGTCCTCTCTGCCCGTCCCGACCATCCTGACCGTAGCCGGGTTTGCCAGGTTCACCTGAGAAAACAGCGTTTATTTTAGGATGGAAGTGAAAGTAACTTCTGAAGGACAGGGTAAAGTGTTAAAATGAACTCTTCTTTCACATTAGCTGTCTTTCATTTTGTATTTTCTGCCTTAAGAGAACAAATGAATGTCAGTTTAAGAGTTGAAGATTAAGTTTGGTTAAAGATGGATTTAGTTAAAGTGCAAAGTGCTAAAACGTTCTGAGTGTAATTAAACCTGTCAGTCAGAAACTTTGCTGCTGTCTGTCTGTCTGTCTTAGCCGAGATATTCAATTAACAAAAGAAAGTTTTAAATTCACTGAGTTTTTTTCCTGGTTAAGAAAAGATTAAAAGAACTTAAGTGTTCACTTCAAATTAATAATACAACCCTCTTAACTCTGTCATTGCTTGTGTCTTCTTGTTCTCAGTTTCACAGTTTGATTTTCTTGTTCTGATAAAACTGCAGGAAAAGTTGAATCGACTCACCGGGAAGTCCAGGAGGTCCTGGCTGACCTTTGGGTCCTCGTGATGTCTGCCCTCTAGAGCCTCTGTCTCCCATCTCACCTGTAACATGGATTTGATAGGTTTTTCATGACGATGTTTGTACACAAGAGTGAACACAGCGTCATTGACATCATCCACTAGTTCCTAAACCCCCATTTTTACACAGAGTTTGGTACAATCTGCTACTCGATCTTGTGTTTATGGAACCAGAAGTCATAATATACAGCACAGCGCCCTGATTCTGACCAAATAAAAGTCCAAGCTTTTAACTTTTTTGAAAAGTCTTTAAAAAAAAAAAAAGCACTATAGCTACTTAAATGAAACTAAAATAGGTGTTAAATCTTTTATTTCTGCTCTTTTCGTGAGAGTGGCCGAGAGTCACTGTGATGACGCTCGGCTTAAACAGCGTATCCCCCTGGGTGAGCAACGCAATCCTTGTACACCCATAGGCTGTATCAGGTGTCAATCATAGAAAACATGAACCCCCTAATAACTTTTAAAAATGAAGCTGTACAGAAAATTACTTAAAAATATGACTTATACTGCAGCCCGCCACCAGAGGGTGCTGTTCTCGGAGTGACTTCACCCAGCGAGGAGGCAGACAGCATCTATTCTATATACAGTCTATGGCTTTAATATAAAACTAAAAGGCCAGGTCCATATCTTTACGAATATAATCAACAGAGACAAACATATCACTGTTTTCGATGATGTTTACTTATAAGTGCTTTCATTACCTTTAGGTCCTTTTACTCCCAAGGGTCCTGGCGGCCCTTTGAGTCCAGGGAGGCCTCTTGTTCCAGCCTGCCCTGGGAAGCCATTGTCTCCTGGTGCTCCAGGAGGTCCTGGGGGTCCAGGTTTCCCAGGTAAACCAGCCACACCAGACTCTGGTCTCCTCAAACTAGCAGCCAGCTGAGCCAGTTGTTCTGTCGGAGCACAAACAGAGAGAAGAAGAAGAACCTGGTCAACTATCAGACACAGAACACGTACTGTTTTCTAACAGCTGTAGTTTACAGACGTCAGGGGACCTTTTGAAGATGGAATACTTTGTAATAAATCATTCCGAAGCTTAAGGAGGCTCATCTCTGAAAGCCCAAAGCAGCTCTCACAGAGGAGATGGTCCATCAGCTTTTGCTGTTGAGTTGAATGTGAAGTAGAGAGAGGTGAATTTATGGGCATGTTATCCCTCGAGTTGCTCCTGTTTTTCAACCTTTTTCTATACAAGCTCGGTAGATTGAGCAGAGAGGAGATAATGCTCTTTATTTCAGCAATGAGCAGTCGGAAATGTGTCCACGATGCAAAGGATCTCATATTAATCTCCCATGGTTCCTTGCTGCTGGTATTTTGCACTTGAAATTGGAATTTTCTGGCTGCTGATGAAAATTCATGCAGCCGCTGCTCAACTGCTCTTTTTTAAGATTTCCTTTCCAGGCAGACTCTTTGCTCAGAGCGGAGGAGTGCAGGTCTGCTGGAGGTGAAATTAATTTTTCAGCACATGGGCTATAAAAAAATCATGAGTATAGGAGATGAGTTGTGAAGACGTAAGAGCAACAGAATGAAGAGAACAGAGGTTGTGACTTGAGTGAGACGTTTCTGCAGCTCAGAGAGGGAATCTCTCATCCATCACACAAACAAAGGCTGAAGCTTATTTCATGTTCTGGTTATGAGGCTTTTCTGTTTTGAACCGGGGAGGATTCAGCAACCGCCCCGATCAATGAGACAAAAGAAGGGGCGGCTCTATGTGTGGTGGTGTAATGAGGCATTCTGGGGAAGATTAAACTCGAGGAAACGAGGCATCGGGGAATGATAAACGGGGTCAAAGGCCTATCAGTTCTTACCTTGCATGACTCGCATGCAAACTTGTCTGATGTGCTGATCACTCGGCTCCTTACCCTGGAAGGGAGAGAGATGACTTAATAGATTTCATGACAATGTCTAAAACATTTACGAGAAGACTCCACACGAGTGTTATCAAGTGAAAACAGAAACACTATTTTACCGACGTGCTTCTCTGTGGGTGAAGAAAATTGTTCTGCCCTTGGGCTTGTTGAACCTGTCTAATGAACTCAAAGTGTACTGAGGTGAAGCTTAAAGAAACATTTCTTTCTGCTCTTCGAAAGTTGAAATTTTGGAGTGGAGACTTGGTATAATTGATTTCCTTTTTTATGGACATAGATCATACCAAAAAGTTAGTGAAACTTCCTTTTGAAGTCTTAATTTTGGAATTTTAATGCTGACATCTGTTTGACAGGATTGAATAAGTGCGCTTTACCATGGTAGCGAGTTAAAGATCACAGGTGACCATGAAGTAAATGCTGCTAAAATTTTACAAAGATAAAAGTGTGCACCCTCCACCTTACCAGGGGCCATATCTGATTATGTTTTCCAAGATTTTTAGATAGTAAATGGCTAATCGACCAGCTGCTGTGCAAAAAGGACACAGAAATAAGAAGACTTGAAGTGAACCCTGAAAATCAGACTCTGTAATGCAAACACCTCAAGCGTTTCATGTTGCTTCCTAATGTTTGCGTCATTTCTACAGCAAGATGTTGACAACAGGTGTTTCATGCATGTCTTGTGATGGTCACATAAAGCAGACGTATCCTTGTTGTGCTCAAGTAAAGCCAAAATCTCACTGTGGAGTTGGTGTGATCTAAAGTAAAGTACTTAAACACAGATAAGAGTAACATTTTGATGATATCATGAATCGTACACAGATGGGCTTGAAGATTGATTTGATATATGTGATGTTGTCCCTCGTGTTGCCTTTGTTATTCAGAATTGATAACTTATGTTAAGAGGTTTTGACCAATCAGAATCAAGTATTTAACTCAGATAGGTGATTAATAATAAAGGCAGTTAACATCATGAAATAAGAGAGCCTTCTTTTTACCTGACAGCTGCAGCTCCTTCAGGCAACTGCTGCAGAAACACTGAAATACCGAATTCAATGAATTTAAAGTAGAGAAGTTTGTGCCAAATGAATCGAAGGTTTGATGTGTGTAATTTAGATTCGGTCTCTTTTTTTTTTTACAACATAAAACCCCAGACAGTCTATTTTGCTGCTTTAAAGCGGGTAAACAAACACGGTTATTACAATATAATGAGGTACTATAAAGAACAAAAACTAAAATCCAAACTGACAGTAACCACAATCACGGGTTTCTTGTAGCTCAAAATCACTTCACTGTAAAGGTCTGTAGAGTTTTAAAAGGACCCTCTTTCTCCTCAACTCAGTTCCTGGACTATTTCTGGCGCTGTCCTTTTATTTGAGTCTTTTTGCAGACATACCGCTGGACCCTGAGTCCCTCTGACTCCAGGAACTCCTCTGTTCCCCTGCATGCCCCGTGGTCCAGGTGAGCCGGGCGGCCCCTCGACACCAGGCTGCCCTCTACTTCCTTCAGGACCTCTTCTGCCGGGCTCTCCTGGGTTTCCGACCTTCACGCCGAAAAAGGTACCAGACCAGAAAAGTTATTACACAGCTGCAGCATAATCATTACAGCCTGAAAACCGAGGGAACAGTGGGAGTAAAGGTGCAAAAATTCAGTGTGAACTCACCTCTCCTTTAGCTCCAGACTCTCCTGAATCTCCCTAAACCATTTGTAGAGACAAAGAAGGGGAACGCAGACAAGCTTGTGAGATTCTGGATGAGAACTACTCAGATAAAAAGTGTTTGACTTGGTGCAAAACTTACAACATCCCCTTTGTCTCCAGGATTCCCTTCATCACCTTGTTCTCCCTGAAAACAAATCCAAATCAGTCCAGCAGCTTTTTCTATGTAGTATCACAACAAAGAGGATTAATATTCGCTTTTAGGATTTCATACCGACTCTCCTTTAGGTCCTGCTTCTCCACGTTCTCCCTGTGTCACACAAACAGAGGTGTTAGCAGGTTGTTGTTGCATGCAGAGTTCAAAAGCTCAAATATTTCCATTAGTTCACACTAGAGGGAGCTGTTCAGCTGTTTGTTGTCAAGCATGTCTGTGTTGTTTTCTAAAACAATAGTATTTAAAAAGGTCTCTGAATGAGACTGTGGTGTCGTCTTACCCTCTCTCCTTTCACTCCAGGCAGGCCAGGAGGACCAGGGAGACCAGGAAGACCGGGGTCACCTTTGGGTCCCTGTGATAAATAAACACGCTCATCCCGTGAGTCTGAAAATCAACTTTGAGCTGAACACAACAAAAGTGTGCCTTAATATTTTTCCTTTTGAATGCTCTTCTTTTTAACTACTTCTTTACAAGTATCTAAGTTTCATTGATGCTATTATACTGTATACTGCAAGTACTGAAGGTATTATAAAGCATTGCAATTTTCCATCAAAATTCACCTTCAAATGAGTTAAAAACCACAATGCAGTTTCCCAAACGCCTGTCAGTGTTTCTGATATTGATCCTGATAATAGTATCTGAACACAGCTCGGCATCACCCCTTATTCTCTCAGACCTGTTTCTGTGCTCCGCTCCGCTTTGATCACTGACCCACTGTCTGAGGAATGTCAGCAGAACAGAGAGCTCATTCAGCCCGCTGCTTACAAGTCTCCCCTTACTGTGAAAATAGACCTCATGTGAGATTCAGCCCCGCTCTATTCTCTGAGACATTCCTCTGAAACAACAGCCAGGACCGTACACTCTGCAGCTTCTCTCCTTCTTAGCTCCTCTCATTCAAAGTGACAAAGTAAAAGCTTTAGTTATTGATTGGCACGTCTGTTTGGGAGTTTATTTTCATAAAGGTTTATGTTATATTTTGCCTTGTGTTTTAAAAAGAAAGCTATGGATATACCTTAATGTCTCTATAGTTTGATGAAATCAGTCATTTAAAACTCTTTGCCCCCCTAATGTCCCACCCACAACACTTTCTGATTGGCTGGAAATCATATGACCTCGTGACATATCTATTAACTCTCATATATGATGATGCACATTTTAGTTCTGGCTAAACATTTACGAAAGACATATAAGCAAAGTTTTGTGTTGGAGTTTGAAATATTCCAAATTCTAAATACTGACAGAAAGATTATGATTTTTACTGTTAATGGATATCGGTCTCATCAGCGACTAAAAATGGTATCAGTATTGGCCTAAAAAATCTGCATCAGTAGACAGTTTACTTAAATCAACAATCTTGATGACCTGCAAAAGCAAATAACAAATGAACCACAGCTGACACTCACTGTAATCTTGCCTATGCTGGTTATTGTGTTTTTTTGTCTGATATCTTTATATCAGTTAATACTTTTAAACTTAATTCTATCAATATTTCCTTCATTTTTGTTTTTATTTTTTTCACACTATTGCAAAGTCACATGACCAACATGTGACATGGAAGTAACTCAACCACTGAGCAAAATACAGTGTCTGTCATTTGGACATATTTTGACTTTAATTACACTGACTCTTAACAAAAATAGCTGAATATTAACACGTAGAAAAACTGTTTTTCAGTAAACAAAGGCCATATTATCAATATTAGTGAATATAAACAGTGCATGGCAGAAATAAGTTCCTCTCAGAAGCTCTGATGAGGCGATTTAATACAGAGAAGTTTAGGTTTTAAGATAGTAGAATAAACTTGGACAGATGAACTTTAAAAATAGTACGATTATTGTAAGATTAATTCAGGAAATCAAATGAAAACAGACACAAATGATGAAAATGCATAAAAAAGAATTGTGAACTGATTAGAAGGTATAGTTACTCACCCTTGCACCCAGCTTGCCAGCTGAACCCACAGGACCTTGCTCGCCAACATCTCCCTTTTGGATAAGAAAAAATAAAGGAGATGAGTTTCAAATAAACAAAATAAAGAGAAAGATTGTGAAACAAAATGAGACTAGAAGGATTTCAAGTAGGGAAAGAAATACTCACGGGTTCACCGATAGGTCCAACAGGTCCCACTTCTCCCTGGTCTCCACGCTCACCCTGTGGTGTGATGGGAAAGTGACACAGTCAGTCACACATCAGAGGTGACAACAAAGGTAATAACAGCTTCCAGCGAGTGCTGCTCTTACTTACTGTTTTCCCAGCAGACCCCATTGTTCCAGGAAGGCCTGGCTGACCAGAGTCTCCCTGTAGGGACAAAAGCATGAATCAGCATTTGAAAGTGAAGGGGGTGAAATACATGAAATCACTGATAATCTACTGAGAAAGAAAACCACCTTAGAGCCGCCCAGTCCTTTTGGTCCCGGTGAACCAGGCAAACCCTGAAAACAGAGAATATATCTATGAGGGATGTGAGCAGCAGGGACAAGGAGGAAAAGGTGTCAGTCCTTCACTGAGAGAAACACTTGAGCCTCGAGGCTGCAGGCTTAAGGGATAAAATATATATTGGTTTGAGCTTTTGACCCCTAAAAGCTTAGGGTGATTAAAGTGCTCGGGGTATTTAAATCAGGTGATGACTTTTACACCTGAGAGATCTGTCTTAATGCCACGGTCTGCCAACTGATTCCCATTAGTGCCATTCATTAGGCTAATCTAAGATTAGAGGGCTGAAAAACATATGTCTCACTCTTCTCTCCTAAAGAAGATGGTGATTACACTTCACAGCCTGGTAAAGGAGTTAGAGGGATGGAGCTAAACTGGATAAATTTCACCTTAGAGAAAAAAAAATTTAACTTTATTGTCTACTTCAGAGTACAGGATGCATGAACATCCTCTCACAGCTTATTACTGCATTACAGACGTGCAGATGTGCAATGGTGCTTTAAAAGTGCTCTCGGTGGGTTTATTCAGGTGCATCCAATCAGTGTCAGTCTTGACAGTTTGGGGTTCAAAGGTCATACTCACAGGAAGCCCCTGAAGTCCGACCTCTCCAGGAGCGCCTGCCTTCCCAATGGATCCCTGTGGAGAAACAGACAGTGAATAAATGAAGCTTATAAGTGCGTTAAGAGCTTTGAACAGCCAGAATGTTGATCCCAGGACTGGAAACTGCCTCAAACAGGGTGACCAGTCAAATACACATATTTATAAGCCACCACTACAAAAAGTGACTTGTTTTTCCTTCTTCAAAACAGTAGCTTGAACAGTGCAATTCTAATTTTTTCAAATCCGACCCAGGCCTCTTTTGTATGTGGATATAAATCGAATATCTATCTGATGTGACTGCAGTGTGGATGCTCAGGTCGCGTTCATCCGACCTATACGTCATCAATATGCGCCAAATGTCACGATTGTTCAACAACACACACAGGCGCGGAGAGCAATATGTGCTTTGTGCGCATGCAGGTCACTTCACGGACGCATTCCATTCACATTAGATGCCTTATTGGTTTTTGTAATGTCAACGACCGCACAAAAATATCGGATTTAACAAAAAATCCGAATTGTGCATCATAACCTGCAGTGTGAACTTAGCCTAAGTGTCACACAGATTGTAAATCACAAAAGTGAAGGAAACAACAGTCAGAAAGTGTAAATGTTCAGCTTATTGGTAACTTTAGGAGGTACAAGCTCTCATGTTGAGTTTGGATTCACATTAATCTCAAACATCAGTTTTAAAAGTGCTGAATCATCCCCTTGAATGCAGCTACAGCTGGCCCACTAGCTGTCTGTTACTTCTTCTTCATCTCCTCTCTATTTATAATTAGGTTCATAGTATTATTACTGTTTTATCAAATTTGACATGTTTAATGAGCAAAGACGCAAAAATAATACTCTACCTTTGCTCCCGGCATCCCAGGAATACCCTCCCGTCCATCAACACCTGGCAAACCCTGGTAACAAAAAGCACAAATTTAGTATGTTGTCTAGCTGATCATTGAAGCTCTTTTTTATACTCTCTAATTAGACACTCACACCCTCTCCTTTGGGCCCTGGCAGTCCTGTGATTCCCCTCGGTCCCAGAACGCCCTGAACAACAAAGAAACAACACACAAAACTGTGAGTTTAACTTTTACAATCAAGCAACTACAGGTTCGTTTTCTACAGCTGATTCGCTACTGACCGTTTCACCTTTAGGCCCAGGCTCACCCATCACGCCCCTCTGGCCTCGATCTCCCTAGAAAATAAAACATTTTGTCATAAACTGTCCATGCACACCTGATAGTTTGCAAGAGTAAAAGCACTTGTATTGTGGGTCAAACTCACAGCAGCGCCTGCAACACCCTGAGGACCTGGCTCTCCATCAAGACCTCGAGCTCCCTGCAAGAGAACAGAGGGACTGATTAAAAAATAGAGACATATAGGATCATCAAAGCTGAATTTAAAAACAAAGAGACACTTTAATGCTGCAAATGGTTAAAGCAGTTACCGTCTCTCCCTTGGAGCCCATCATTCCTGTCGCTCCACGGAGTCCTTGAGGACCCTGAAATCATAAAAGACAACCAAGAGTGAGAAGAAAACAGAGCGAAGCCGACAAAGGATAACATGCTGCTTTAAAAATGGTTGATATCATGTTATAAATACAGATTCTAACCGTTGGACCTTGAGATCCAACCTCTCCTGGGCTTCCCTGGTCTCCTTCCTCGCCCTGAAGAGACAACATTAACATGACAACGATCAGATCTTCATATTTAACTGCATTACAAGAGAAAAAGAACATCAGCGTCCCATATGATGTTCTCCTCTGCAGAAATATTTATACTCAGACTCCTCCTATCAGCTGTTTCATAATTTGAAAAACATAAAACCCATTTTTAATTGATTGCAACGAGGGAAAAGCAGACGATTTAACTCCAAATTAAAGTTCTCCTGCTTCATGAATAAAAAATAGTTTATGTGCAGACAGTCTGGACCTGAGGGGGCTTATCCATTAAGACAGATAGTGCTTGTGGCCCGAGGTTGTGCAAGTTTTCTATCATTAAGAAGGCAATTTCTTCTTTTAATTATGTGTATTACAGTTCACCATTAAGAAGTATAAACATTACAGTACTTATAATCAAATATTACACGTTTAACATTATGCAAGGGAACAAGTGAGTGTTGCCTGCTCTGAATTCTGCTTGATTGTCTCCTCTAAAAAATGTAATTTAACATCTTCAAACAGAGACAAAGTTTTTTTGAAATGTGGTTTAAGCCTTTCTGTTGAATCATGAAAAGAGGTGCTCTCAATTCCTGTTTTTTTTTCATCATTAGGAAGGTTTGAAATGTCTCTGAGTCTTGAAGTCGTGAAGGTGTTGTAATGTGCTATCACGCCGCTGTGTCTGCTTATTTTCCAATACAAAGCAAAACGCTCCATGTTTCTGTGTGCACCTATAGTCGTGTGTCGAGGTGCAATCTTTAAAAAACATAAATATTTCAGATTTCAATATTCTTCCCGTAAACCGTAAACGATTAACTCCCAACCCTGGCATAACATCTGATTGTCAGGTTGTTAACTTTTAGCTCAAATGTGTGAATTTCTGTGTGGAAAAACAGGCAAAAGGGTCCCTCAAATGAAAGTTCTAGTGGAGGAGAAAATCATTCTCAGAGACGGGGCGCAGGCTGACAGTAAATCATACCCTGGCATGAGGTGATAAAGGGAGATGGGCCTGGACTCATTTCCATTTATATAGTGCATAGACACATTACAGAGTGAGGGCAGTTGTGCTTGAACATCATTTCAAATGAATCATCCTCTGTGCATTACAAGGAGTCACAGGCATTACAGAAAGGCGTGTATCACTTCCTTTTGAAATAGAGCAGCCGAATAATACTTGTCTTCTTTTTTCACATCTAAACTGTGCATAATTTCCCCTGATGTGGAACGTCTTGGCATGTGTGACAGTTGTGGGGGAAAATTTATGTTTTAAGGGTCTACTTTTGCTGTTTAATGCGAGAATAAATTCACACTGTTGTTGTTGTGGATGTTTTACTGCATTTCTCGAGACTTTAATTTTTTTGCCGTAGGGTTAAAAACATGGGATGAACTTATTTTACCTTGTGACCTTGTTTCCCAGGCTCCCCTGCTTCACCTTTGACACCTTTGTGACCCTAAAATACAGTAAATAGAAAAGACACACGCATTTAGCTCCATGCATTCTGGGACATAAATGTGATTTTAGTGCAACAGGGAATAATCTGCTTCTCACCTTCATGCCAGGGAGGCCAGGATGTCCAGGGGTCCCAGGTGGGCAAGAGTTTGGACACTAAACAACAACACCAGAGTCAGCTGACATTCTCGATAACACATGCAAAAAAAATAGAAATGATACTCTCCAGAATAGAGAAGATAAAACTCACCAGTTCAGCACTGCCTTGCATCCCAGCTGCACCCTGAAATTTACATGAGATTTCAATATCTTAATCCAAAGACTGCAGCCCTGTCCTGAGGCCTCATATCTAACAAAGCCACTCCAATTTCTCAGCTTCCTCTCTTTTTAAAATTTAAGGTCACTAGCTAATCTTGTGAGCTGAATTGAGCGGTGTCACTCACTCTGGGCCCTGTTGGTCCCCGAGGTCCCTGTGGTCCCCTCACGCCCATGGCCCCCTGTGGAAAGAGACAAAATGTGTCAGGAAATAAACAGACAGAGTTGAATGAACTGGGCCCTCCTTTACTGCGCAGTACAGAAAATAAGAGTGCTAATTTTGCTCTCTGCACTCGAACATTTAATGAGCAAAGACTCGTTTAATTTGAATTCAAGTTATTATTTGACACTTGAAGCATAAACATGTTTGTTATTTAGGACAAAATGATGCTTATTGAACATTTTAGACACAGAGTGTACAGAGAGGAAAATTTAGCAATATCTTGTAGTCAGATTCTTAATTTAAACGCTACCCTGCCCACCCCGCTTTTTGTGTGACGGTGGCTTTCAAGGACAAAAAGCTTTTATGATGCATGATAATAAGTATTATTCTTCATTTGTCAGGTTTTTACCATCACAATATCTGTCAGCACAGGTCATTTTGCACACTAAAACACCTCTCTCCTCTTTCTTCTTCTTCTTCTAAGTAGTTCATTTTGCAAAATACTGCGACACATGGCAGTGCAAAACAGAAGGTGACCAACTCCTATGCATCTATAACAGGCTCATTCAAAGTGAACCAAAACACAATTATTTTTACATTAAGTTGATTATTTGCTTACATGCTCATGAATATTTTATTGTATTTTTCATTTAATGTTGCATACTGCACCTTTAAGAGCTTAACACTGATTGCAGACTAACTCAAAAATTATACTTTCAATGCAGTGTATGCTGATGTTGATAGTTACAGCCACAAGGCAAAGTTAAAAATTAAATAAACCAACAATAAAAATAAGTCCAAATTAAAAAGTAAATATAATTCTGGGTTATACCGTATCCAGAGGCAAGATGAAATGCTGAATATTTTATCATTTGTGTTGATATTTTAAATCTTAATCACTCTCTGAAATATTAAAGAATCCATGAATCTTTAATTTGATAACAAAATGTTTAAATGATAAGATGATTACACACTTTTTGACCGGGTACATGTTGATTAGATGGTGCACAGAGTGTGTACGGTCTGCGATCATGTGTGTTAAAAGTTGGTGTTCACATTAATACAAAGGACTGTGAGTTTGTAGAGCTGAACAGTGCAGATAGCTTAAGCTTGGCTTGCACTCATGATTGTGTTTTAGTGTATTTTCCAGTCTGTAGTTTCCAGTAACACCACCTAACACACATGTGTCTGTCTTTACTCACAGGTGGTCCAACTTTTCCAACTTCACCAAGGAGTCCTCCAGGTCCAGGTGGTCCCTGTTCAAAGGTACACATCACATTTTCAATATTAACCCGTTTCTGTTAAAAATTGCGAAAACTTTAAAGATCTTGTGCGTAGCTGCGTTAATAATTTACTTACAGGAGGTCCATCTGGCCCAACGCCCTAAAGAAAGATAAACACATGCAGACTCAGTGATTAATGCGTTAAATGTGAGATGGTCATAGTTATACTGATGCTTAGATCAACCAATTCAGATTACTCACAGCTGTTCCACGAGGTCCAGGTTTTCCAGGTTCTCCCTAGAAGAGGAACATCAAAAGATTAGAAACATAAAGATGATGAAAACACGGAAACACTTCAGGTTGAATTGAGCTATATTAGCTTGCAGACGCTCCCAGTTAACATTCCTGCAACTCATCACATGACTGCATTGGGCACACTTGACCCAGCAGTGTTTGGTCTAATGAGAACTCATGTTGGGTCTTCATTCCCCACGGAGATTACACAGAAGACTCGCAGGATTAAGTCTCATTTGTCACGAGGAATTGGTTTATGCACTGCAGCGCTTGCTGCCAGGCCAAAAAACTGGACAGCAGCTTGGCACCGTTTCACTGACAGTCTGTGAAGCAGGAAAGGCAAAGGCTCATTAGTCACTCACTTTCTGTCCGGGGGGACCATCAGGCCCGGGATCTCCAATAGGGCCGGTCAAACCCTGCAGAGAAGAGACATAAGGCTTAACGAAAACATCACAACAAAGCTCCAGGAAATGCAGTGACTGAATTAAAGAAGGAGGGGCTGGTTAAAGTTTTGTTTCAACTACCACCAAAACTTTTTAGCCAAAAAAAAGTTCGATCCATTTAGCAAATTACACCCCAAAAGATAAAACTTAATTCACAAAATCCAAGTCTTAAATGTACCCTCCATCTCAACAGGTACTGCCTTTCCTACCTCCATATATTACATCATAACATGATCGTACACCAGTGGGAGGAGCCGTACATATTCATCAGAGATTTTTACTCATATAACAAACCCCTCCTCTTGGAAAGTTTAGGCATATATATATTGCACCAAAATGTCATGCTCATGAGTCACACTGGGGTGTAATCTCCCTTTCTGGACATCCAGCAGAGCATGTTCAACTTCTCAGGCACACAGAAAACGTCAGCACCAGGGCAGAGGGCAAAACTTTCAGACTGCAAACTAAGCAGCGAGCAGCATTCCTCCGCCTCATTTCAAACAAGCGCTCTGAAAGAAATCATTCCACACTGTTTTGTGGATTTTCAGCAGGAGATAATAACTCCAGTCAGGGAACAAAGCTGCTTTTGTTTCAGGAGTCCTGGTAGATATCACAAGACGAACTCAAAAGCACAAAAAAAAATCAATTTAGACTTTTTCTTAAGAATACATTTTGAATGAGGGTTGAAATAAGACTTCAAACTGAGCTGGATTCATCAGTGTGTCTTTTTGTCAGTCAATCAGCAGCAGCAGCAGCATGTGTGTAGATGTTTTTCTAACCCTACTTTAAACTCTGAAGGGAGCAGACTTAATTACACTCCCTGTTACAAAGGAAATTTGGGCTTCTGTTCGATAAATTCCTCACGTTTTTGCACACAGATTCTCGGCTTAATTTAAAATCTCACTTATCACTTTTGAGTTTTATAAACAGAGACACAGACTTTATGGAAATAAGACCACCTGCAGCACTTCTCCTCCTTGGGCACTTTGTTTGTGGGTTGATTTTACTAATCCAGCAAACACTTTTTATATACATAACAGATCAGATGTTGAGCACTTACATCGTTTCCAGGAATTCCAGGTAAGCCTGATGATCCGGGTTTACCTGCATCTCCATCAGGTCCCTGGAAACAAAGGATTCACATACACATGAGTCAGAGAAAGACCCTCAGTGAAGAGACAGAAATAAAGAGGTTAAATTTAATTTTGATAAAGGTTTTAATTACAGAAGGACCATCCTCGCCGTCGTCTCCTCTTTCCCCCTAAGACAAACAGACACAGTTTGAGCAAATAGGAAACTGTCTGCAGAGTATGTGGCACATTGTTTGGACATTGTTACAGAGCTCTTACAGCGATGCCATCAATTCCTGGGACACCTGCAGGTCCAGGAGGGCCAGCAGATCCTTCACTCCTCTGGGTGAAATAGTAACAATGAAAAAAGAGAGTGTAAGATTTGATACTTGAGAAAAACGACCAATTTTTAGCCTTTTTCTCACACTGACATACTGCTGCACAAACAATATGAAAGTACAAGAACAGGTGCGCTGCCTTGTGTTGTATGTCAGAGGACAAGACTGCCTTTGAGATACATGAAGATCTCTAACATCACTCATTTCTTATTGCAGAATTAAACAGCAGTGATATAAAACTTTCATGAGATACTAAACAAATGACACACCCTCCACTTTTTTAGTGCAGATGTCTTCTACATTTTCCAAACTTAACAATCTCACCAAAGTTTTTTACTTTGCATTCTGCAGCAGGAGGACACTCACCTGCACCTCAGTCACATCAACCTACAGAGACAAAAAGAGACACCACAGAGACAGAGAAGGAAACAATGAGTCTTACTTGAGCGGAGCAGATAAGGACAAGCTGGAGAAGCAGAACCAGCAGCGGCCCTCTAAAGCTGGGGGCCCGAGCCATGATCTCCCCGTGGACAGGAAAGGTGAAAAAGTAGTCCTTTCTCTGGGATTTGTTGGGCTGAGGGAGCCCCTGACAAAACAACCCAACTGAATCCGCTCCAGCTATCTAGACCGTCCGAGGTCCTGGAGGCATCAGGGGCTCATGTTTATTCATGCAGTGGTTGGATTCAGGAAGGGATTGGAGGGTTTAGAGGGGGGCACGAAGGGGAGGGGCTTAAGTGCAGACAGCACCAATGGACGGGGTTAGCGGGGCATTTAACTGCAGCTTTGACCCCATCTTCTGAAACTTCAGTTTTGCTTTAAACCTTTACAGATTTTATTCTTTATAACCATCTTCTCTCTTGTTTTATCTGTTCCTGTTATTTTCTGTCTTCCTATCTTTTTTAAATCACTGTGGACTGCTTCATTTATGTAGGAAAGGTGCTACACAAATACAGTTGAGTTAAATGTCATGTAGATAAAAAGTAAAGTAAATTCAAGTCTCCTCTCTACTCATTTTTCGACCCTTGGATGGGAAGAAGTTGAGCAAATAAAAAACATTTATGCACACACTTTGAATGTTGCTTGTTTTGTTTACTCTCCAATAGCAGTGACTCAGGCTTATCCAGTTTAACCACATCATTTATCGTAATATACATTTTTTACTGTGTTATTTACATTCCTCTTACCAGTGTCCTGGCTGGGAGGTCATAACATGCATCTGCTCGAGCCCGTGTGACATCGCAGTGAATCAGCATCGACTGGAGTTCAAACTACAAAAACAAAACAATACCAAACATCAAGTGAGTAATAAACTAAAGCACTACCACTGATTTATGTAACCAGAGTCTGTATTGTAAGTGCAGGTAAAAGCAGGGAGCAGTGATGTATGATATGCTTTTGTGGATAACTGTGCACAACAAAGGGGTCTGGGTCCTGCTTGGTGCTGCAGGATGCTTAAACCTTGGTGCAACATATTCCTGACTAAAGCCTGCAAGAAATTCCACATATTTGTCAGTGAGGCCTGAATGGAGATGCTGCAGACTTCAACAATGGACAAACCAAACAGGAGGGTGAGAAACCCGAGGATTGCCAGACTTTTGTAGGATCCCCAGGAGAATAAGCAGAAACTCATCTTATCTGCACAACAAAACAGTAGTCAAGGAATGTAAGCTACACTTTAAGACTGAGAGATCATGCAATTCATAGTTTTCTTTTAACAGTAGAAACATTTTTCCTGCAATATTTATAATGGTTTATGCTTTTATTGCTATGTTTTAGGAGTTTTTGATTGGTTACAGAACAGACTGAAGTAAATGGTGATAGACCACTGACAAAAAGACAATTTCTACTTCCTACATAGTAATGTTTAAAGTCTGTAACTGCTGTGAGGGGGTAGGTGATTGATTTAACCATAAAACAACAATATAAAGAGATTTTTTTTGTCATTTAACACCACTTTCATGAGAATAAAAAACTAGAAGAATTACTACTTTGTTCACCCAGGATGACAATTCAATAGAGATAGACAGTTCCGCACAGGAGGTTTAATTTCTGCACTTAAATCTGCATTTATCACATTTTTTACATCATTTTGTATTTTGCTTGAAGCACAGACCTTAGTAAACTAAATTTAAAGGCATGCCATGACAGGTTAACAAAAGCATAAAGGGTAGGTAAAAGAAGATCAGAAATGTGAGCATTTTTTCTACTGTATGATGTTCTGCAGCTCTTGGTTTTGATTATATAACCTCGGAGTAAATCTTTATCCTTTGGTCTTCTTTTGTACTTTTAAAACACTTATTTTATATCACCTTTATTTCCCCTTTTTTTAAGCTCCTGTTAGGAACTTTTGGTTTGTGTCAGTCTTGGCGCCCCCCTGTGGACAAAGCAATCTCTTATCCTGTCAGCTACATGCTTGAGCAGTGACTAATGAGTGGCTTAACTTAACAAATCTCATCCTGCTGATTTTTGACAGTCAAACATATAATTCATTGTGATTATTTTATGTGAAAATGATAAAAGCAGGGCTGTGTCTACAGCTGCAAGGCCCGGACTTACTACCTCATTTGAGTTTTAGATGATAAAACAGGGATATAAAAATCTGTCTTTTTGATTATAGATGTGTTTGCTTTTGGGCATCATTAGAAGGCAGAATTTAAGTCGATTTTATAAAGGTCAAGAAACTCCTCCTAGGAGCTTTAATTAACCAAAAGTTTAATTAAGGGAAGAGGTTAGAAACCATGACAACGGCTATGATTTTTATGTGAAACTTCAAATACAACAGCGTATTTTTAACAGGTTAAGGCTGTATTATGTAATATGCATTGCATTGTCCAACTGTCCATCAAGATAACTATCTATCTAACTAACTAACTAACTAGTCAAAGTTTGCTGGCTGTAACTAAATCAAGGGATCCAATCAGAATATAAGACAGACAAATATTGTCTAGATGAGAAACTGCTTCTCAAGTTTTCCTCAGCTTTATTGATGAACTTTTAGTTTGTTACGGTAAAAATTTCAGAACCATGTCCGTCTGTATGGATGTGAGCCAAAAGACCAAATCAAAGCCTTCATATTTGACCTAAGAAAGTGTGCGTACGTACCGGTACTGCCATCACCGGGTTGTCCTTGAGCTTTCCAATCAGAGTAAATCCATCCAGACTGACTTTCTGTCGAGGTGGTATACTTTGAGAACCCACCATGGCACAGTCCACATAGAGGGTGACAGAGCGCCTGCTGACATCAAACAGGACTTTATGCCACTGGTCGTTGAATAGAGAAGCTGCAGGTTTGAAAACAACAGTCTGCCTCTCTTTATCCAGCGCTGTGAAGGTAAACTCCACAGTCCTGGACTCCCCGTTGAGTCTGACAGACAGCTGTTCATTGCCATTCACATCCTGCATTTGCCAGATATTCCACTTTTTATTGATGGTGCTGCCACTCATGCGCAGCACGGCCACAAATGCAAACTCCTCAGGGAGTCCCAAGGGATACGCTGATCTAAAACAATAAAATCAGTGTTATTGGAAATCAAGTACAAAACATTTAACCTACTATATAATTTGAGGAAGCCAAATCATCATATACAATTCTAAGATTGTCCGGAAAGTTTTTAGGCTGTAGTATGGAATAAAAATATTTGTGAGGATGAGTCCTATCTCTAATGTTCAGGACCATGGACAGGGTAGATGGTGTTAAGCCATTTTGACCACTAGATGTCAGTGTTGACTCATTCTGACGCTTTGTTGCTCACCTTGTGTTGATCCTGAAGTTGAACGCTGGGCCTATTTGATAAGCAACATGCAGAGGAGATGATCCAGGGACCTTTTTGACCGTCCCTCTTCTTGCCAGTTCTGCTATGTGGAACTGGGACATGATGTAAAATCCTGAGGGTGCAGGAATAACAAAATAAAATTCGATAGAAGGAACTGAAATTCATTTTGAAGTTGATTTTGATTAAACATTTGAAATACAGATTTTAAAAGGACTCATTATGATCCAAGACCTGTATCTGCTGGACTCTAATGATTAAATTTAACTTTTACTGAAAGCGCTTCTTCAAGTAACTCCCATTTTTTAGATAAAAAGAAAATGTGTTCTCAGACTCAAATATTCACCTTTAGAAAAAAACAATAATGACAGACAGTTTGGGAAAAGGTCTGATACCAAAATTTTACCACCTGCTAATTTTTAACTCCTCTGAAAACTCAAAATATCAACAAAATGCCAAGAGAGGAAACCTGCAATTTGGGAAGTAGCTTGTGCTGGTGTCTATACTTGGTCCATAAATACTCATCTTATGCAGTTACATTATAAATGGTTTATGTGATACGTGACACCTGCCAACTTCCATCAGTGTAACAAAAACAGACCAGATATCTGCGCAAAATGCAAACTTAAGAGATGCTGTTTCATTGTATTTCGCAAGGCAGGAAAATTTATGTTTTGGGAACAGGTATGAACAACAATAAAAAAAAAGATTATCTCTGAATCAATATGACTTGATTTAAAACCTTTTGTGTTAGGCTTATTTCCTGAAAAAGACAATTTTAGTAAAAACAAACACGTATTTATTGATCTGCGTTTGTTTTGTATTGCATTGGTGTGGAAAAGCATCCACAGACAAAGCTCCACTCAACAGATGAGAGAAACATTACCAAACCTCCTGATAAAGGGGATAACTTACACAGTAAAGGGTTAAAAAGCAGAGGTGTGAAGATGTCTGTAGACCTCTCATTAATTAGGATGATGCAGATGACACTATTTAATGGTGCTTGAACACAAAAATATTGGGGGAGAAGAAAAAAAAGACTAGTTGACTCTCAGCTACAGCACCAACTAGTGGTTAAAGTAGTTGACCAGATGATGAGTTGTGAAACCCCTTGGACTGACGTGATGCATTTCTTTTCTTGCAGGGTTAAGGCAAATGTCAAGCAAGTACAAACCACAACAAAAGCTTTGTTCCTGTGAATTCACCTGGGAAGCGATCCTCCCCGACGTTGATCTGAGGGCACATGAAATGCTGCTCCCCATGAATACCAACTTGAGAGGAAAATCTCACAGCTGCAAGATGGAAACAGAAGCAGGCCGCTTTAGTTGTGGAACAGAGAGAGTGTGTGCATGTGTGTTTGTGAGTGTGTGCATGTGCCAGTGTGAGGAGGGAATAAAAGCTCAGTGTTTGGAAAGCTGCTCCACTGCCTTGAATAAATATTAGGCTATCTCTGGCTGTTTGTGGTTTCCTCTTTGACACTTCAACTCTACATTTTCCTGCTTTAACACATCTGGGCAGGAAGTTAAAGGTCTTTATCAAGTTTGAATATGGTCCGCAATTGACAGAGCCTTCCTTTCTGTATTTTCCATTCAGGGTGCCAACATTGTATGCTGTATCAAAACACCTGACACTGTTCAAATATGTGACTCAGAGTTACCACTGATTTCATGCTTTGTAATGTTTTAACACAATTGCAATTATTGATCCAGTTTGCTCATGTGAAATCATACAGAGCACAGCTGAAGCTACATGACATGGAGGCACACAGCTGGTCTTGCTAACTCAGAAATGTAAACACTGCAACACAGAACCACACGGGATATATGTCATAAAAAATAGATAAGTCCAGCAGTGTGTGCTAGAAGGCAGTAGTGCTTTTACATCATACTGCATGCATGTGTTAAAAGAAAAGTGCCCCATATTCAGCATGTCCGGAGGAAAAATATGCTACAGTTAGCAGCAACAGAGTGCACCACTTACTTAAACTCAAACACAACCGTTCCTTCCTTTGATATGATTAACTAACTAGTTAATCACCGCAGGAAAGAAGATAACTTACTCTGAGAGTGAAGTCCTGTGCACAGATATCGGGGGATCAGATAGCAGCAGCATATGAGGTAGAGAAGGATGTTTCTGCAATGCAATTAGAGAAACATAATTAACATGTACCTTGAGTGAAATTTTGATGAAAGCTACTGAACAGTATGGGATCACTTGCATGCTGAATTAAGGTCACTAATGACTGAATAATTTACCTTTCGACTCCTCCCATGTCATAGCTTGATCTGGAAATAAAAAAAAAAACACAACCTGCTGTTGGAGTTCTCTGCAGATCAGCCTCCTGAAGAGAACAAGACCCCTGATGGTTGCGCCCTCAGCAGGAGTGAAAAACTTCAGGTCACACAGTGTGGGGTCTCTTATAGCTCCTGACTGTTGTCATTTATTTGTAGGAGTAAGTCAACAGTCTCCTCAGTGTCAACTTTACATTCCAGTGGAGCTCTCCTGCTCCCATCTTAGACTTAAATGTTAAGGTTTCTTCAAAGGAACTACTTCAGTGCAGTAACTGATTTGTTGCTCTGCTGTCATGAGCTCTGTTGAAAGTAGTGCCAAGTAAATTAGCTGAAAAAAAGGTAATGTTACCCTGCGGTGGTTTTATTTACCCACCTCCTCTGGGATCTGCATTCACTGCCATCTCCGTGGTTGCACAGTGTTCAACGGCATTATTTGAAGTGTCATTCAAACTGAAAATCAAGAGGGTTCGAGGAAGTTACTCAAGCCATGTTGCCAACTTGAGAGAAAGGGTAGAACCTCTTAAGTGGTACTTTCTTTAAAACAGTGTATATCCTTCATTTGGAGATTGCATGCCAACAGGAATTCAAGTTTGCCTGGTTTCACAGGGAAACGTTAGTGTGCAAAAAAAAAAAGAAAGAAATGAAAGTGCTGTTTCACACTAATGTCCCTTCCTTGCATTTCCTTCCTCCTGTGTTTCCTTTTCTTTAAGAAATGATTCGTGCATCTAGGGGCACGACAAAGTTACATTGCTTTTGTAAGACACATTGAAGGGGACAGCTGAAGTTCTACTTTTCATGCAAACCACATAGCTGTTCTAAATAGGTCTGCTAACTCAGGCCTGAAAGCCAGGCTTAGACATTTACATCAGATTTACATACACTCCTGTTGCGGTAAATTTACCTCTTTGTGTACTTTTTTGTGTAGGTCTTTTTTTAGTCTGTGCTTTACTTTGCGTATTTACACTTCCTTACATTTTAGATAACATCAACTGAGTCGAAGCAACATAATAATATGAGCTTTCTGTCTACTGCAGGACAACAGCTGATTGGATGATGTCTACAATGCAAAAAACTCAAGATCTTACCATGTAAATTTAACTTTAACTAAGATATTTCAAGCCAATTTATGTTCCTTTAAAATAAGTGTTTCATATTTCTGCATAGATTTTACTTGTTGGCATGGATGGGCTCCTTACATTGGTGTGTAATGTCAAGCCGTCATTAGAAAACAGGGGTGGAGTGTAACTAAATACATTTAAGTTACTTAAACTCAAATTACAATGAAAAAGTTGTGGATACATTCACAGTTTACACTCTCAAGTAAATTATCTAACAGTTGAACATTGTTTTTATAAATCCAATTCCTAACCACAGTAAGATAGACAGAAAGCCACAACCTGATTTCCATCACAATGCCCTGTGAGTTTGACAGTTCACACCGGTCTCTGTGGATAGTCTGCCAAGCTTCAGCATGTATAGGGATCATAGGGATACTGGAAATCAGAGGAAGAAAATGAAAGCTCAATATTGCATTCAGAAACTTGGACCTGCATATGCAGTATCAACACAATTGCAATATGTGGTTAGGGAAAATGTCCTCTTTACTACATCCTATTACTTATCAAGTATATTTGCCATGGAGCATGTGAAAAAGGCTTTATGATAAGTAATATGCAGTAATTCATTTGGTCTGACACCTACCCCTTGTCAGTGAATTCAGGCATTATGAACAACTATATTGCAGATATCTCTCATCTTGTGGTCTTTTTTGTCATAAAGAGTCTTCAATATGAATTTCAGTCTTTTCAGGACCAGCTTAAAACTTCTCACAGGAGCTTTAAATTGAACATTTCATTACTCATTCTGAGCCCACTGAAAATACAAATACTGTATTTGTGGTCATTTTAGAGCACCTTTTGGTCCAAATGTCCATTTTTTAAATTTGCCTTCACGTTACTTAAAATACCTTAGATAAAATAGCCATAACTTAAGATGTTTATATAGTAAAACTGTTGCATAAATTATACTTAAAACACTAATATGGTTGGATGTACCACCTCTTGACCGTTCCTAATAGCAACAGCAATTTTGCGTGTAAGCTGCGACCTCTGGTATGCGCAGTAACGCGCAGTTAAATGCGCGTAAGCGTCCAGCAGCAGCAGCGCCTCAGATTGAGCAGCAGCAGCAGTTAGCTCGATGGCTAACGAACAGCGCTGTTCACACAGATACATGGCCGGTCTAGTCAGTGTAACGTTATCATTTAAATGGGCGTTTCTCCTATAACGCCAGCCAAACCAGGAAGTGGATTAATAAACACGGCGTGTGTGTTTTCTGTCAACTCCCTACTTTGAACGGACGACGAGAGGACGGCGGTTTGGAGCTAACGTTGGTTAGCTAGCTGATGTTAGCCTGCCAACGCAATGGTAAGTAACCGTTATTAGTGTTAGCTTTAACGTTAGCTCCGGTGACAAGGCTAAGTGTCACCGTAAGGAGACAGAAAATCAACTTCTACCCGCTGGTCAGCGTCGGTGTGTGGTTTCACTCTTATGCCGGTGGGTTTCCGACCTTTTATGGGCCGTAAGAATAATGCTGTTTTTAAAGCTTCCCACCTGTAACACTGATATGACCATTTGCAGAGATTGTACCTTCACCTCCTCTCTTCTCTCACTCACTCACTCTCTCCTAAATGCATCAAACCCACGGAGCTAAGTTTAACAGCTGCTTCCGAGCGGGTCCGTGTTTGTTTGGAGTTCAGACTGTTGCTATAATAGTTCTCATGTATGTCTTGAAAGGCCCTGTCAGAGGTTTTTTTTAATAAGACTAATGTCAGCTGCTTCATTTTGACTATCTCTGACTTGGACTGTGACAAACACCGGTCTCCCAGCTCATCAAGAGTTCGCGGTTTAGGGAGGTAGATGTGACTACTTGCTTTGTTATTTGCATATTTCATATAGCTTTGCATTTACTGATATAGATAGATAGATAGATCGACACTGTCGATCTCACAGCAGCAACAATCATCGTAAGGACACACAATCGGTTTGTGGATATGAAACATTCAAAGGTAAAAATGCATTAAAAACATTTAGAGACAGAAAAACAAGTCATAGAAATGAACTTGGTTGTGTCTGTAGCAGATTTGAAAATTCAGCATTTAAAGTAAGACATTATAGACATTAAAAAGCTATTAAAAACTTGTAATAATTCATGTGGTGTTACCAGAATCAGAATTACTTTAATAATCCCCTGGGGGAAATTGCTTTTGTCACAGTACTCCAGCGCAAATACAGTAAAAGAGGAGATAAATAATAGATAGAATAAGTAAAAATATAGAGCTAAATAGATATAAGTATAATAAGTAAAAAATACAGAGATAATATACATGTATTTACACTATATACAACACAAATAGTAAAATCGTATACGTGTTACTTCTGCAACTCATTGATTAATTTACCTGCCTGTCAAATTAAAAAAGGACCTTTTATTCAATGGAAAGTTGCAGACATAAGTCAAAAAAGGACATGCTTTGGTGACAGTATGTAGCTTTAGTTGTAATCATGAGGGATGAAGCTATTTTCAATATCATTTCTGATAGATTTTTATTGATTCAGCAGCCCTTTTAAATCTAACCCTCTTAAACACAAGAGTATTTTCTTTTAATCAAATAAGTGCTTCAAAAATTGCTTTAAAGTTGTCCACTGAGTAGGAATCAGTATTCAGCACGGAGCCCAACAATAGCTTTCTTTTATGAATAGCATAAATACTGTTTTACTGTTTTATTATAATTTAGTTAAATGCATAATTCATGAGAAAAGCATCCAAATTAAAACTTTAGAAATAAAGAATAATTACAAGCATAAAAAGGCTATAATTCAGCTCAGGTATAGTGTGTGGAGTTTGGCAGTATTTTGCTTTTTATTTTCGTTCAGAGGTTTAAGTGATTGTTGCCTGAATATCAAACTCTTTTTTGGTTTCAGTCTCTTAGAATGAGTCTCTCATATCCTCATATGAACAGGAAAGTTCCCCCTCCACAGATGCTGCTATCTTGCACCACCTTAATTTTGCAGTAGTACAAAAAGGATAACTAGCAAGTGGTGCATTTTTAAATTTAGTGCGGCCACCGCTTTAACGCTCTGGTAAGATGATGGAGAAGAATAAAACAGCGGTTGTATCGTAAAAACTTGAAAAAGCCTTACTTCACCTTTTAGATTAACAACATTCATGGTTTAAGTCTTCAGCCAGTGCTCATGGCTCAAGAATAAACCTGATAAACCAGTTGTTCCAACAGCCCCTAAACTTATTTGATCTATTGTGTTGACCTCAAATGTGCTCTTCAGGAGTTGTTTGTAAAACAATTAAATTTACCAGCATTAAAAAAACTGGTTCATTTCCTACTGTACAGGGCTATACTTAACAATTCCTTCTTTCTTCCTTCTCGTCCCATTATTGTAGGTCTTGCAGTATAATTACAAAGTAGGCTCAACAAAAGCTGCTTTAATGGTTTCGATATAACCATTCAGCTAGTTGGGTGTTGTACTTGATCACTGAATTTCAGGATTTCCTGTAAAACTACTTGGTGTTGGTTTTCGTTGAGCAACTGTAGATCGATTATTTCAAGGTTAATGATGGAGAGTTAACAACCAAGTGAACCCCATCTTTAGATAAAAACAAATAATTCCCTTAACTATTTGGAGCCCCTGTGTTTGTATTTGTTGTGCACATGGTAATTTGTTTTAAAAATAATACTTATTCCAGGAAGGGAGGGGTGTTGAGATATTGTGTTGAGGCTGTGGTACTTATGTTTGGTGCACTCCTGCTTCCTCTGAGAGGGAAGGAATATTTAGTTATGAGCATAACCTGGTACTACCGGCTCTGTTTCAGTCATCCGTGTCAACTGGGTCAAATTAAATTTTGCCTCACAGGTTTTCAATGGCATGAACACAATGACATGTAACCTCCTAATGGATAATTTATTCATTTCATACATGACTAATTTAGAGAGCGTCTGCACCCTTGTTTTTTGCCAGTTATATTTTGCCCCCACTACAGCAAGACACATATACACAGGCTATTCTTAAAGCAAATCCTGTGCTAAAAATGTCTGTGTTATGAGACGCTGATGTCTGTGTTTATTTCTAACACCACCAATGACTGATATTAAGTATCAGGCCTAATTTTGCGGGGTTATTCATAGTATTTTCTTTCACGCTGACATTCTACTGCTATAATTATTGTGGCTGTTAAAGGAAAAACATATGCCCAGAGAACAGGTTGCCTCCTTTGCCAAACGTAGATGTCATGCTCTAGCAATAATTTCCCTAGCTGATGATCACCTCACTGCCTCTTACTTAATGTTAGACTTATGTTTGTGATTCTTCGACTACTGTTAATGCTTCTTCGACTCATCTTTGGACTCACTTGTAGAATTGTTAGTTTTGTAGTCGTGTTACTCTTGTGTTTCTTTTAAGATAGATTTTAAGCAAACAGAGACAGATTCACAAAACCCCGTTGTTCTTAATTTGAGGCATCTAATATGGTCACCTTCATGTTTTAGGCCAACAGGTGTATCCCAGATGATGTAAGGCAACTCTGCCTGTAGAGACCAAGATGACTGAAGTCCAGGCCACAGTGGAGTTCTCTGTGGAGCTCCACAAGTTCTACAATGTGGACCTGTTCCAAAGAGGGTGAGTATTATCTCCATGACACTGAATCTGGTATTCCAGTATGTTGCAACTCATCAAGTCTTTACAAAAGGCATTTCTTTCCCCCTTTTGTATCTAGTGTCATTTACAAAGAACATACATTACATAACAGACAAGTTCTGCTTTTCTTTGGTTTGTCTTTGACTTGGTTGGAGAGCATGTTTCAGTCTCAAGCTTGTCTGAGAAAGGGACCAGGATGTGTCCTTTATGTGCTTCTGCTAGTCTTGGACAACTGACACTTTACTTACTAATTACCAGACATAATAGTTCTCCTAATAGGTGACCCTTAATGAACAATGGCATAAGTCTACCTCATAAGCTGAGTTCTAACAACAGTAAAAAGCATTAACAATTCAGGCACCTCAGGTTTGCTCAGGCAATGAAGGATGGAGCTCGAAAATTGGGGCAAAGCTAATATGTTTGCCCCACCTTGTGAAGTTGCTACACGCAGAGAAAGGAGCAGTAGAGAGAAGCTGTAGTTACTTCAAAATGTGGCAAAAACTCAACACAGTATTTTCCTTTTATTCCACTACTATCATGACACAAACTTTGACATACTGCATAGCTCACACTACAATTACAATAACTACCTAACTGTAAAATCTACGCACACTTGATGGCCCCTTGTTGGAAAACTGCTTTGGAATTCCTTTATTTGACATTTATGTGGTTAAAAAAATAAAATCTGATTTCCACAGAGAAAGCTCTTTGCATTTAGGAATAAAATCCTGATGCACTGTAGAGCACTTCTCCTCTTGCAGGGCTGCCCACAGTGCTGTCAGCTGAAGAGTCAATCATAGTAGATGGGAGCCCAGCAAGGTTGTAATGTAACCGCCGTCTGGTTCAAACATGGTTAGGCGACTGCACAGACAGTCATCAGCAGAGCAGAAAGTTTTGTGGTTTGTGGTCACTCTGGGACTCGGTATGTTGGGCTTCCAGCCTCCTGCGGCGTTGCTTCTGCTGGGGTCTTTGTGAAGTGACACAGTTTTAAAAAAAAAAAAAAAAAGGGAAGGAATATGCAAACACTGTTTTGTAAGAAGAGCGTGTTTTTGCTCAAAAATGACACACAAGACTGGTACCCTGTAGCTAGTGCTTCAAATTATGTCGGACTAGACAGACTTTTATTGTAGTATAGCATAATGCAATACATAAACTATTGTGCTGCTGTCACTTTTCCATTTTTATGTCCTTCAACAACAAACAGGCTACAGCTCAGATAGTCCTTTTTATGAGACTGATTTTTCACTTTCTGCTCCAGGATCATTCTGGTTGTGGTTCTTAGTCATGTGTTGTGCTGTAGTTCCTGTCACACTGCCGAAGAGAAATAATATCTCCCATCAATTATATGTGATCCCTCTTTTTTCTGAGCTGTCATATTTCATCCAAAACAAAAGAGGAAAATTACTAACTCTTTTTAAACCGCCAAGCTTAAACTGTCAAGGTCTAGCATTTGGAAAATAGTTTTTGAGTAGGTGATTTTACCCTATGCTGAGATAACACTCCTGCTTGATGTTCCCAGCTCATTGGTGCTTTAAGAGCTCAGGTTTACCACACAATCGACTGCAAGAGAAAGTGCTCATTATTCATTAATGAAAGGTGTAGTGTCATTTTACAAGTAGGGGCACTTGTCGCTGACCTGTGCGGTTTGTTTCTCTTCGGCCAGGTCTTGTATGATGCTCCAGACCAAGCTTAAAGTGCGAAAACATTTGTTTGAAAAATGTTCACTTTTTTTTTTTTAGGTTCTACCAGATTCGTGCCAGTGTAAAAGTGCCACCCCGGGTCCCACACAAAGTTGAGGCCAGTCTGCTTCACCCAGGAGGTAATCACATTTCAGGAGCACTGTTTGCAATAACCCGATTTTTCAGCCTTGTTAAATCTTTAATGCTCAACGTTTTTCCATCCACACAGCAGTCTTTGTTTCTGTACTTTGGTGAACCAAAACCCTGTCTCTGTATTGTTCTCCAGTTGAAGTTATCTTACTCATATTTGGATGCCCTGTAGCATGCACATAGTCATATGCAGGTTGTTTCATTTGTAGACATAGATGACATCAAATAGATTTCATTAGGACTTCATATACATTGCATATTTTTTAGAGTTCATGTTAGCTGTTAGAGATTTAGTTCTGTGCAGAGAAGAAAGTCATTCCTATCGACTGTTTGCTTTACTTATTGTTATGTTGGGAGGCAGTTGACTAATCCCTCATGCCACTCCTCACTCTCAGTATTTCTCTAAGGCACATGCCTCGCCCCCTTGCTTAGAGACGTGCAGAGCTTCTTTCAAACAAAGCACACAGTTTCTCTTTATGTGAGTAAACAGGATCATGAAGAGAGTGGGATTCCCAAGCCTTGATTTTTAATTTTCTTCGTTTATGATCTGACTGACCTTTCTTAAAAGAGCGGGCAGAAACTCAGATTATTCTCTATCTTATGTCCAGTCCTGACTTGCTCTTGTGATCATATCTGATTTGCAACCCGAGCTAAAATATCCAACCATTTTACTTGATTTAACCGTCAGTTATGTTTCATGCTTTGATGGTTCTGTCCCTGGTCACATCACTAAGTTGTGTGTTGTATAATCTCTTGGTTTTTTATTTGCATAGTTAATCATAGTACTTTTCTTCCAAGGCTCTGATCTGGCATTTCCTGCTTCAGTCCAAGATGATGTAATCAGCAGCAAAACTTTCCAAATTCTGTACAAGAATGAGGAGGTTGTGGTCAACGATGTCCTCCTCTTTAAAGTGATGATGCTGCTCGACGAAAAGAAGGTAGGTTCAAGAAGGAGATGTAGTTGTTTTTTCAGAGGTTTGTTTCTGTTTTGCCCTTGGGCTTTAGTCCACAGTCTGTGCAGTATTGTGTATTTGCCTATCCGGGTGGCACAGTACTGTAAGAACAAAGAAGGTTCCGGTTTAACAGCCTGCTCACAGGCTGAGATTGGCTGTAGACACTCTTAAAATGGCAGTGAAACTCAGCACAGATTATGTGTGCATCTGATTTTTCACAAGGACTCACACCATAGTAGAGAATAGATTATTTTTTTTAATGATTTACCAGGGCCTTAACATTTGGAGCGAATTCTGGCTTTGTTCCAGCCTGACTTTGAGATGTGTACCGGTTTGTGGTTGCAGCCACACCTACATAAGGGACTTGACTATTTACCAAATGACACATGCTCAAACTAAAATGATGCTTTTGTACCTGAAGAAGGACCTGCCTTCGCTCGAAGCATTTAACTGTTATTAGACTTACAAAAGTTGGGTTGAAATTGATCACAAGCTCTCTTGAATTTTTATAAGGTAGAGATAAACATCATGCAAACGCTGTCACAGTTGGGGTTTTAAGTTCGATGCATGTTTCAATCAAGCATGCTGGCTGAAAGGGTTGCAGCCTCCAGAGACAGTCAGTGGAGACTTCAGCTGTGCACCACAACTTTTCACAGGACTTAGTCCATCTTTTCACAAAGCCAACATACTGGTAGAAAGTCAATGCAGAGAGATTTCCCAGCTGACTAAGTTGGCACAACAATATGTCTGCGTACCAGCAACATCAGTGTCTTTTCTAGCTAACCTGGTTATGCTTGCAATCGGCAAGCAACTGTGTGAATATGCTTATTTTTCTCTAGGAGAACAAGTAGGCAGATGACTGCACACTGGGAGTCTGAAATATTTTTTCTGTTCACTTCTCTTGTTGCAGCTATTCCACATTTAGTACTTTGAGCCTCGCTTTGGATGACTATATGTCTGTTGGGGTTATTTTTACAAGGCCCGCACCAAATGTTGATATTCAGCATGTTACACAATATGTACACCTCCTTTAAGTTCTGTGGAAGTGCAATGCTGTCTGCTGCATTGTTTTGCTTTGGAAAATAAAGCTGCATGATTGGGAGGAAAAAAGAGTAAAGTTTTGTTTTTGTCAAAATAATATATATATATATGTATATTTTTTTAAGTGGTAATTGATGATCAATCAAACTCATTTTCAAAGATGGGTGAAGGAGAATTTGCATCCCAAGTTGCCATTCATTTATCCTCAGGGTATACTAATAGCAGATGCATTTAATGTCAGATTTTGTGTGACAGCTTAACATATGGCCTTCACAGTGTTTCCACAGTATCTTTTTATTAAGTCCTGTTGTAATTGCCTTAGATGACAGGACACTTTTTTTAATCTAAATTAATAGTGATGAGTATTATCTGTCTTTACAACCCACATAAACAGGATGGAAGTTTAGATATCCATCAGAAGCACAAGTTCCTTGCAATCTGAGATGAAATGAACATTTTTTAAAACATTAATGCTACATAACTGTCAGGATAAATATTTTCTTAACAGTCCTGTGGAGTTGTGTACGTGCACAAAAGCTATCCTGGGTTCATGGCCCTATGCTACGTGCTGTTCCCCACTCTCTGCCCAATTTCCTACTTTATCCTCTGTCCTCTTATTAAAGGCATAAAAACCCCAAAAGTAATCTGTCAAAAAATGCCTCAGTTTTATTATATTCTCTACTTTGTGGTCTACTTTTAGAGAAGTCCTAATGTGGGCCTGTGGAGGTTAAACTGTTCTGTCAGGTCTGATAAGCTGGTTTTGACAGCGTATATACTCCAGTGGCAACGGATTAAAACAACCATAGGCTTTTAGTTGTATTCTGTTTATTGGAGCTGATATTTTCCAACAAGTCTCTTGATAGTTTTGATGCAGATTCACTTGAGACACCCCTCATTTTTACAGGCAGACTCTAAATTTGACTGTCACCTCTGTTTCTCCTCATCATCAGGTGGAGGAGTCCCTCAATGACATGGACTTTCAGCTCCTCTTGGATTTATATTTCACAGATGGCGATTACACGTAGGTGTTGTAACATTTTAACTGGATGTTTGTGAATTTGATGTTTGCATCCCTTGAAAACGAGCCACTAAACTGTCTGTATAAATTTGACTTCCACAGGCCAGATGATCCGAGCTCTCTGCAGAACATCAGCGGCCGCACACTTCGTTTGCACTTTAGCCTTCAGCGAGGCATCCACCAACATGTCAACGTCATGTTCGACTACTTTCACCTGTCCGTCATCTCTGTAGCCATCCATGCCTCCCTAGTGGCACTTCATCAGCCCCTCATCAGGTCAGAGTGCTGTCTCACCCACCTGACACAACAAACAGAAACAATGCAACCACTTTGGCAGGAAAAGGCATATGAAGTTTAAAAGAATGGTTGGAGGATTCACATTACATTCTTGTCTTAGTTACCTGATTTTAAATTTTTAATTCCTTGGGTTTCTCTAGTTTGCCTCGACCGGTGAAAACCACTTGGCTCAACCGCAATGCTCCAGCGCAGAGCAAAGACTCAGTCATCCCACCTTTGGAGACTGTTGTGTTCGGCAGCAGTTACGTCAAGCAAGTGTCACCAGATGTAAGTGAGCTCTCTTTGTCATGAGGACAGTGAGTTTTCTTTGCTTTTATGTAATTATTATTTGCTGAGCTATGTAAATAAGTTTCAGAGAAGCAACCATTGTGTAACCCTTATTTTTTATAAGCAGTCTGTGTTATAATTGGCTAAATTAAGCACAGGATAAAAAGTAAATGACAGCTATAAGCCTTTATATAACTCAAAGTGAGTTTAGGATTTCGCTCTTTTGTCTTTCATGAGCTGAAAGGGGAAAAAAAAGCTTATTCTGCCTGCTCGCAATACAGGTTGTGCTTTGGGACACGGCTGTCGTCTCTGATTGGACAGTTCTACACCTCAGATAGAATGGTGTTCCGTTCATTGCACTTGAAGCCCAGGACTATGTGTCACACTGTTGACAGATAGAGCAGAAGACGAGGAAACTATCAGACCACTGTCACATTTGGCCAGGAGTAATTGGCCTCTCCTGACAGAGGAAGGTGGCCAGCTAAAGCTTCCCTGGGATGTAGCTGAACGTAGCAGAGTTATCCAGGCAGAACAGAGGCAGTGGCCCTCATCACTCCTAGTTGCATCAAAGATGGGCAGCATGGGAATAACAAGCTATCGACTACTATTCATTTCACTGCAGGGATCTTTGAAGATGCTGCTATAAAACATTGTTGTCTAGCATGAATGATAATTGCAGTTTTTTTTATATTTCTCCGTAAAATTGAATAAATCTGTGGATCTGCTTCTTTACATTATAAATTGTCAACCTGTTAATGAACACGTCTTATTTACCTCATGTTTATCACTACTATAAAATATAGAAACGTTTTTTATTTCTCAAAGGGGTAATTCAGCTTTTTGGAAGTAGGTTATATGAGGTAATTATAAACTGTAACTCAGCACATGTGCTGCTTTCAAAACTAATGCAAAAACAAAAAGGCTTTCTGATGGCAAAGTAATGTGCTGGAAATTTACCAAACAGAGCATACACTTGCACTAAGAATAATGTCTTGGCTGGAGTTAAAGAGCAAGCAAGCTAAATGGAGTTGTAGAGCTTGTCCCATCAGCTGCATTTGATAGACTAGCTTCTGTTCCAGGACTGTAATCACTTTCTCTACAAAGAGGCTGAACTGAGTGGATAATACTCTTACTATTGACAAGCATCTTTAACAACCCCACTTCAGAAAACCGAACTGTCCCTTCCACTTTAAGTGAGCCTTTACATCTACATAAAGAGTAGATTTCCTTCCACAGAGGCTGCCCTACCCATGTACGACTGTTTCAATCTGGATTCTGGCACAATGTACCTTCAATGCGTTTCACTATCAAAATATCCAGATTTAATGTTTCAAATAAAACAGACCTCAGTTGCCGTGTCTGTTTGTTTTTCTTTGCTCGAGAGCATCAGTAATATTGTTTAAAATTATGATCATATAAGGTCTCTTCTCTGTCCCCCTTTGAATCCTCAGGGCAGGACGTTCTTGGTATCTGACAGCTGTCTGCAGCACGCCTTCAGTCTACACCATAGCCTTTGCTCCAACCTTCTCCAAGCCTACAAGGGTCTCTTTGACTACTTCACCTCTATTACGAAGAACCTGCCCTCCTCCCATCGTATGGAGCTAGGTAAACTGCACTGTGGCTTCACATCAACTCACCGCAGAGTTTGGATTCACAGCAATGAGTTGTTATCCGAGACATCAAAACACTGTTTGGTTCTGCACAATGTTTATTGAACCCTAAAGCACTGAGCGGGAACCATGTCTCCTCAAGGTGATACAATGATATACCTTCTGTTTCATTTTGCTTTGGATGGAATTTCATTGCTTTTGTCTTTTCAGCGTTGCTGTTTGTTGCATTTTGCAAGTTTGTTATGTTCCCATGTCATTTCCCCTGCTCCCAACATATTAACCTATTTTTCCCCTCAAACAGACCACACAGCCAGCTACCCTCTCAGTCTAATGAACAATCTAACAGCAGTTTATTTATCTTAGATCATTACACTGACTTACTAAATCATACTGTCTGTTAACCAGTAGATGAAGGCCAAAATTAACAGCCCCTAAACACATCTAACTATTATGAGCTTAACCTTCTCCACACAAGTAAAAAGATTTTAACCCATTCTCAAGGAGAAAATAATAAAGAGGTTAAACTTGCCTATATGTGCAATCTTACTAGCCAAGCCCAGCATGCAAGTCCTATATGAGAGAGTACTCAGAAGACCCTATCCCAGAAGTCAAAGACACGTCTACATAGGTATGTCCCGAGCCTACAGTACCTCAAATATTCCTACTTTTCTCTCCCTTTCTCTTTACTCCAGCTTTACTCTCCTAGAAAACGCCATTTCCTCTCCATGCCCCATTTACAGAGACAACTGCTGTCATTTCACTTTTTCCACACTGTCTGCCTTTCCATCTTTATAACCAGGCCGTGGTCACAGACGACCGAGGCCTGACTTTGGTCATATCACTTATAAAGCACTTAATAACTCCGGTGTTGCCTTAACACCACTTTCCGATTCAGCCTGTGTAACAGGTTCTTCTAAAATCCTCTTTTTGACTGACTAACTACAACCTCAATTCAAAAAAAGAAGGGGTGCTTTGTAAAATGTTGATTTTTGAAGGTTTGCTAATCATTTAAAGACTATATATAGCGCAAAAACAAAATATTGACAAACATGTGCTCATTTTGAATTTGTCGCTTGCATCAAATTCACAGAAAGTTGGGACAAGGATTTCAAAACACTTCGAAGGATTGTGTAATGCTAAAAAAAACACCTGAAGGTAGCAACTCCTGACTAATTATGTTAATTTGCAAAAGGTTGGTGAGATGAATGTGGGGAAAAAAGAGCATTCAAGGACAGCCAAGTCTCTCAAGTAAAGATGAGAGGAGGTTGACACTGCGAGAGAGTACATGAGCAAATAGATAATCATTTTCATAAAAATGTTCCTCAGAATAAAATTGCAAAGAGTTTGTGTGCATCTGCAGAACATCTTCACATTCAAAGATTCAGAGAGTTTGGAGACTCTTTGCAAAAAAGGATGATCTTTGGGCCCTCAGCTGGCACTGCATTCAAAACAGACATAAGCCTTGAGTGGAAGTAACTGAATGGATTTAAAAAAACATAATCTGTGGACAAAGTTTGTTACTGCTTTCAAAAATACACGTTCAAACTGTAGCATGTAGAGAAGAAACCATAAACATGATCAGAAACGGCAGCAACCTGACAAGTAAATTCATTCCTGTTGTAAATCATGAATGCTGCATCCTCTGGACCTCCTTGCTCTTTATTAGGGCACAGTTCAAAGCCAGCAGGAGCTCATTGATATATGCAGGTTTTGGAGCATCACATGCTGCCACCCAGATAATGCTCTTGTCTGTTCGAGCGAGACGTTGCTAAACCTCATTCTGCATGTATCACGGCACAACACAAACGCACAAAAAACAACTTCAAAGGGGGAGTCCTCAAACGGTTGAGCAGCTGAAATCTTGCAACAGGCAAGAATAGAACATTTCCCCTTCAAAACTCCTGAGACTGGTCGTCTTAGTACCCAAATATTTAGAGTCTTGTTTAAAAAAACAAGATGATGCAACACAATCGTGAAGATGTCCTTGTCCCTGTCTTTTGGAAACTTGTCCCTCGCCTCAAATTAAAATTAGCGCATATTTGCAAAGAAAGCCAAAGCTTTTCAGTTGCAGCATTTAATTTGTTCTCTCTGCATTACTTTGAATTAAATAAAGGCTTTAAATGATTTACTAACCATCAAATTCTGTTTTTATTCACGTTTTACTCAGTGTCCCAACTTTTATGAAATTGAGGTTGTAAATCATGAAAGGTATTCTTAGTAATACTGTTTCTCTGCCTCCTCAGAACAACTCGACCTAGAAGCCCGTCTAGCTGATTTATGCGACCAAGTCAAGGTAAGACTTGTTGGGTGCTGTTTTATTTTTTCTTTCTTTCTGTCTGATAATTGTCCTTCAAAAGGCAAAGAGGGGAAACGGCTCGGTAGATCATCAAAGTAGTGAGGCAGGAGACATTAACTGTATGTATGAAGCTCCCTGATGGGTGTAAATCTTTGAGGGGATGAGTATGTCTGTATGACTGGAGGGCATGGGCATGAGTCAGTGAAAGTATGCAGTCATGTTGAGTGATATAAATGATAGAAGTGGTTGAGAGACTGACCAGGGTGTGTTGGAGATATCACTAATTCTGTGGCACAAGTGTTGGGTTTCTTATACCAGCAGGTTTTTGTAGAAAAGGTGAACCAAGCAGTACCAGCCTCTTTACAGGCGAAAGTACCCTGGAGTTTTAGGCTCAGGAGCTACTTTTCAAGGGATTAGAATTTCTCTCTTGCCCTTTGTTTTCTGTGATTCCCTTGAGCGCCAAAGGCTGGCGAAGATTTGGAAAACAAGGCTGCTGAGGAGAGGGTTTTCTGAATGCTGCAATAACTTGACCAATTAAAAACGTGCAGCGCTGAGAGTCCTTATAATGTACAGCCCCCCCCAAGTAGAGACCTTTAGGGACATAAAGTAAAGTCACAGAGTGTTTCCACTGCAGGGACTGAAGTCAAAACAAAGTCTCTGAGTAACAACCCAAACCCCTTTACCCTGGGGAAAGCTTCTACACTCGAACATGCAAACCTGCAAACAGACAAGAAAAATGTGTGCGCAGTCTGTGTAACATTAAGGGGTGTTTTTTTACAGTTAGTAGTCTCATGTTCAAAACTATTCCCTGAGAGCATTTTTGACTGTAAGTGAGATGGGCTTTTAGTGGTTTGGTCCTTGAGGCCTGAGAGGTCGGCCCTCTTTATATCAGGAGTGGGAGAGAGAGCTTTGCAGAGCTGTTGAACGATAGTGATTTTTGTGATAGTCGGGGTCACACATTATGCAGGTCAAAGGTCTCTTTTATGTTTCCGTGTTACCAAATTTAGTATTTCATTTTGCATATCAGGTAACAGTAGGTCAAGCAGATGCAGGTAAGGAAAAAGAGTTTATATTTATTTTGGAAACTGTGTGCAGAATCAAGGTTACACATAACAGTTTTTATGAATGGATTAATTATCAGAATTATATGCGATCAACTTTGTTTTGATAAAGATTGCTAAATCCAAAATCTGACAGAAACTGTTTGAAACAGCCCCCCTTTGTAGAACCTTATGTCATCATTTACAGTGCAGGTGTAGGGAATAGATGGCCACTTGAGCCCTCTGGTGGATGACTTGTGTCTTTTTAATTACAGCAGAAGGCCGAGACCCCCGACGAACTGGCAGAACTGGTTAATATGAACCTGGCTCAGCTCTGCTCTCTGCTCATGGCTCTCTGGGGACAGTTCCTAGAGGTGGTGTCCCTGCAGGAGCATGTTGCTGCCGTGCTAGCAATGGAGCACCACACACTAAGAGTGAGTCCCAGCCTCACCACATGTATATGATTCACTATAGCTCTGATAACTGATCAGAAGGAAAGTTAATAGTAGAATCTTGACTGTTTACTCATTCACGTGGTGTTGTTGCAGGTCAGGCGGTTTGCTGAGGCTTTCTTTTGTCTTGAACATCCAAGACAGTCTGCACTGGCCTACCAGGAACTACAGTAAGTTGCACCAGCATGTTCATCTTGATTGCGAAACACAGTGTTGCTGTTATCAAGCCTGTACCAGTATGAGCTTGTCTGAAATACGATACCTCAGGTATGGAAAACCTGACTCTTATTTTTTCTCTTTCCGACTCTTACTACTTCCCCCCTCCTCCCCTCTCCTCCTCTTCACAGTGCTCACAGTCACCAGCAGATGACTAATGCTATCAAAAGCTCCAGCTACTTCCTGTCTTTGCCTCCTCTTCCAGCGGAATGTGCAGATCTTGATGGGGACGTCAGTTCCCTGCCGATCATCTTTGAGGACAGATACCTGGATTCCATCACTGAAGGTCAGTAGCACAGAATAGATCATACTCCCACAGTGGCCTGTCCTGGTGATGTCACGCTTAAATTTAGAAGCAAACAAATTGTGATCGTGTCCTTCTTGTGTGTTCAAAGGCGTAAACATCTAACTTTGATTATCAGTCACGCTGCTGTCATTTCTCAGTTCCTCAATTGATGAACACTGACACAGACAATGAGCCATATCTTCAGTTAAGACAAACATTTGACAGACAGCATCACAACACAGCTAACGTTAACACATTTCCTAATTAACATCTGTGTTTAAAAAAAATCCCAGAGAAATGTTTACGCAAGCAAAATGATCATCTTGTAGATGACTACTTTGGAAGCACTAATGTCTATACTGGAGTCTTTTCATGATACTGTACAGGCAGATGTTGGTGCTACAGTTTAATGAGTTCATCATTAGCTAGTGACATGTAGACACCAACATAAACATTAAAATTTTAAAGTAGCCATCTGTAAAAAAATTATTTAACTTGTGCAAACATTTCTCCTTTCCCGTCATAGATTTTAAAATGTGATTATTTTTGGCTTTCTTGGTTTTCTGGTCTTTGTGGCTGGTTACCAGTTTAAGACTTGTGGTATGACCACAGTGTGACAAATTATCAAGGTTTTCATGGTCCACAAACTGAAAAATAGCATCAAGACATGAATGATAGTTGAGCTTTCCACCCCAAGTATGATGTCAATGAAGATGTCCACTGTGGGAAAGTGGTCCGTCGCCACCTAACTTGGCCCACAGTTGATGAGCTCTTAGGCTGTAATTGAACCAGTTTTTCTTTTTCTTTGTCTTTCATGATACTAAACCTGGGGTGCCTCTTAAGATCGGGATGGACCCTGGCTGGGCGTGCAAAATACAAGAGCCGGCTCAGTGTCCAGCAAATCAGACAAGCCCAACTCCAAGGACTGCAGTGCAGCTGCCAGCCCAATACCTGAGTCACGGTGTGCCCCTGTGGATAATGCCTGGCCAGACAGCTTTGATCCACCGCCAAAGTCCAAAGGAAAATCTGTTAAACTGAAGAAAAACTCAAAGACTGAGAACTCAAAGAAGCTGATTAGACAGGGCTCTAAAGACTCTGTTGTTCTTGTGGGTTACAAGAACCTCAAAGCTCCCTTTAGTGACAGCAGCACCAAGTACAAGGAAGGGGGAGCTCCTCTGAACCAAGAAGAACAAGATACCTTACAGGGGGACTCTAGTTATTTAAGGACTAATGCCAATTCTGCTCTCGACTCTGGTGCCACATCAACACGTCCTGGAAACAGTACTGTTGACTCTGTTACAGATGACAATGTTACTGCTGCTGCTTTTCTAAAAGGTGTTTTAAAAAATCCAACCAAGTTGGACTCGCAGAGTAATCCTCAGGCAGGTACTGGGGCTATTGCTACAAGCAACCAACCACTTCACAAAGACGAACAAGTAGACCACAGTGGCAGAAAGCTGCCTCAGTGGTCCTCTGGACTGAAGCAGATTGAGGTTAAACCAAGTACTAAGGACCCATACCAAGGGGATAAAGTAACAGTTCTTCTACCATGTCGGACTGATGGAGCTCTCAGTCGTAATGTTCCCGAGATAACCCAGTCAGACCTTTCTGATGCAAAACAGTCTGTGGTGGACTCAGTATTTGAAAGGCCGGGTAAAGAGGCTGCACAGCAAAGCCAGTCCGGCCTGGTCTCAGTAAAGGTGAAGAGTGATTGTATCAGGCTGCCAGATGGAGCAGTCCCCAGTGCCTCATCCCGCCTCTCAGATTCAGGGATTGATAGTGAATCCAGCTCTTTTGCCACTCAGTTTGTTGCAGGACAGCCAACTTGTGCAGGACCAGGGAACTTTGAATCAGGTGTTGCTGCCACACAGCCAACAGAGAGGCCTCTACTGAGTCCGGCAACACGGTCTGTTCAGCACAGCTCTGTGCAGAAGCCTGGTGTGACAGCAGACATGCTTTACCCAGAAAACACTAGTGTTGTCAGTGGAGTTCAGTCCTCTCTCACCTCCATCAACTCCTTGCCCTCTGATGAAGAGGGTGAAGGATCCTCTCGAGGCTCCAGTGGAGCTGAAGTCCGAGGCAGGAAGTCAAGTGTCTTGGTGCAAGAGCAGTGTCTGGTGTTCTCTGAGGATATCGCAAACAGACCAGCAGTCGAAGTGACCTGCAACCCTGACTCTGCTCCAGGTGATTCTAAATTTACAAAACCTGCCTTGGACTCTGAAACAGACTCCAAACTGATAGGCTTTTCTGAGCTTGGCCAGGAGGGAGCAGCAGGTTCTGGGGCCAGTAAAGAATCTCGTAGTGAAACCAACACTGCTTGCCCCTCCAGTAATTCTGGCACAAGTAGCACTGACCTGGTTAAACGTGGGATGGTAGAGAACTACTTTGGCTCGTGCTCAAGCACTGATGTGTCAGAAATCAGCCCAGTTGAAACATCTGCTATCACACTAGGAATCCAGACCGGGCCAGGACAGCCGGAGGAAGACGAGGAAGAGACAGAGCACGAGATGATTGAGAACGGTTACTACGAGGAAGGCGACGGCTACGCCTTCGTGAACGGCGTAGCTGACGAGGAGTGCAGTGGGGCCACAGATGCAACCGCTCAAGAGACAACTCTTCTTTTCGAACATCTCGGCATCGGTTACCTCCATGGAGCTACAGATTTATCAAAAGCTCCCATCTGCTCCAATCAAGCCTCCAGCAGTGTCGGGTACAGTTTGGGAAGGCCCCTCTGTCCCTCCACTTCCTTTTCCTCCAACCTGCGGTGGTATGAATGTGCACCCACACCACAGATGAAAGCGTGAGTCATTTTGCACTGTCCCACTTTATATGTTACGCTTGATGCAGTTACTTCCTCTGACTCACACATTTTGAATTCACATCAACCATTTAACTTTGTGTGCAGGTTTATTAAGGCCAAGGAAGAAATGAAACAGCTGAGGCTACCTGGCTTCTTGTATAGTGAAGTTCCTGAGCTGGCATCTACTGTGCCGTACTTCAGCTTGGAGGAAGATGAGAGCTGTGAGGAAGGCATTCATCTAATCGTCTGTGTCCACGGCCTTGACGGTAGGAAGCTGTTAACTTTGACAGCTATTTTAGATTAGTGAAGGACATCAAGCTCATTGCTCTCCAAACTGCATTATTATCTATGAAAATTAAGAGTGCACCAGAGTCATGCAACTTCTCACTTAATGTACTCTGCAGACGTCACATATAAGTTGACATTGTCAGTGAGAATTTACCTGCTATGCACTTGCTGTCAGTACGTGGCAAAATTAACTATGACCCTCAACGCACTCAGCCTGTAACAGGAATGCAATGCTGGTAATTCGAGTAACAGATGAGGGGGGACTGTGAAGGATTTTGAATGTCTGGCACTCCATCAGTTCAATTTTAGTCCCCTCTCTTTAATGAAACGAGGTATTCATCCGTCAAAGTCTTTACCAGTGAAGCATCTGTAGCTCGTAATCATCTTGTCCTCATCACTCATGGAAATAATAGTCTTTAATGAACATTTATCTGCAGAATTGTCACATACAAATGAACACTGGGATAAAGTAACCAGGAAACTTTCCATCCAGAGTAAAAAAAGTTCTTGTACTCAAACAGATAAAGTGATGTTTTGACTGGTTGTTGCTGCAGGTAACAGTGCAGACCTGAGACTGGTGAAGACCTACCTGGAGCTTGGACTACCCGGTGCTCGAATAGATTTCCTCATGTCTGAGAGGAACCAGGTGAATGTCTAGCATCGCTGTCAAAGATATCAGTTATAATGAGCTGCAAATGCACCTCAGAGCGGTGTCAGTGCTTTTCATTTAATACTCTTCCTTCCACAGAATGACACTTTTGCTGACTTTGAGTCCATGACGGACAGATTGCTTGATGAAATAGTCCAGTACATTCAGATATACAACCTCACAGTGTCAAAGATAAGGTATAGAGATTTCTTTTGTCTTTATGCTTCATGTTAAAGAACATTTTCAGTTGATAACATGTATTGTATTTTCAAAAATATGGTATAAAATGGAAAATGTATCACCAAAGTTTAGCAACAAGTCCAATTTTTTTCCATTTGAACTCTAAGATCATGATTTAGATGCGTATGGAGTTTGTTTGCTGTCTCTACAGTTTTAAAAGTATTCTTCTTTTTCAGTTTTGTGGGCCATTCCTTGGGGAACCTCATCGTTCGGTCAGTGTTAACTCGACCAAGGTTCAAATGTTACCTGAGCAGACTTCACACTTTCCTTTCTCTCTCTGGACCTCACTTGGGCACATTGTATAACAGCTCTGCTCTGGTCAACACAGGTGAGCTTCATCTGCAGTATTTTAACTAAAGGTAGAAGATGAAATTATTCTTTTTCGATATTTCACTTTCTCTGCTGTTGTTTTCAAGGACTTTGGTTCATGCAAAAATGGAAAAAGTCAGGGTCGCTCCTCCAGCTTACGTGTCGTGATCATTCTGATCCTCGCCAAACTTTCCTCTACAAGCTCAGCAAGAAATCTGGTTAGTTTTGCTCTTTTTGAACCACAAAGAATTCAGTCTGCACATTTTAAATATAGAATTATATGTTAACAAATCTTTTGTTATGCTTTTGCAGGTCTCCAGTTCTTCAAGAACGTGGTGCTGGTGGGGTCACTGCAGGATCGCTATGTCCCTTACCATTCTGCTCGAATAGAAATGTGCAAAACAGCATTAAAAGACAAACAAACAGGCAAGTAGAGGAAGTGTGCTCACATCTTTCCAGGATGTTATGTGCTTGGTAAAAACAGAGGGTGCTCAGTTTTCAATGCATGAGGAGTATGCAAGCAGAACAAGCTCTGACCCTTGGGCTCTGACATAACAAGAAGGGCAGCATGCCATCTGGCTCCTTGCGTCTTATTTAATTCATTTTCTCCTTGCTGTTTGGATTCTTTAATGCAGATCAGAGCTCAGGCAGTGGAAGATATATTTTCAGCTCTTGGTTTTAAGAAAAAAAAAAAAACGTTTTACTACATTTTTAATCCCCCCCCATCAGGTCTCTATCTTTCTTTTCCTCTTAAATAACAGTCAAACAAAACAAAAGGCACTTTTGTGACATCAGATAATTAAATTCTTCCTCAACATAAATTCGACCAAACCTTTCTCTTACTGGTATTTCCACTCTTTTCTTCATCAGGTCCAGTGTATGCTGAGATGATTGAGAACCTGCTGCTGCCAGTACTCCAGAACAAAGACTGTAATCTAGTGCGATATGATGTCATCCACGCTCTGCCCAACACAGCCAACTCCCTTATTGGTCGGGCCGCCCACATTGCCGTCCTTGATTCTGAGATCTTCCTGGAGAAGTTCTTCCTGGTTGCGGGCCTCAAGTTCTTTCAGTAGAATGAGTAATGAATCAAAAAACGTGGCTAGAGGAGCTACATGTGGAGCCAATACCTCACTGCATCTAAACCTTATTCTGATTATGGTATTTGAATTATTATCATTTGCTTTTATAAACACATTTACTCTCTTTTTAAAAATCATTTGAACAAAATCAGTTTATTCTGTTTCGTGTTGGAATCACGGTGGACACGGAGTTCGCTACATTATTTTTCTACTGCCATTTTTAAAACATTTATTTGTTTTTGTTAGGGAAATGATTCCCCTTCATATGCTCTATTTTCAGTGTTATTTATGTGTAATGTTTTCACTTGTGATTATTTTCCTCCCAGTAATGATTTCATTTTAGATGCTGAACTGGAAATGTAGCTGCTACAAAAAAAAATGAAACGGCTGTTTTGGTGAGCTGGCCCAAGTCAAGTCTGCACATACTGTCCTCACCATTGCAAATGTTTTCCCACCAGTTCGAAGAGAGACACTGCATTGATTTGCACCACAACTACATTTTACAAGGTTTTGTACTGAAAATGATCATTTGTACAACTTACTTTTTTATCAACAAGTTTCCATCATTTGTAAAGGCAAAGATTGCATTTGAAATAGGATTGTTGCTCAGACTTTGCAGCCTTGGCTTTGGACTTTTATGCTGTTCCTAACCATTGCAGCATTCTGCACAGCATTTGCCCAGCCTGGTGTTGGGAGAACAAAGCTTTCCCTTCAACATAACTACATTTTATTACAGGGGTTTTAAGCTATGATCATGATTCAGCAAAAGCACATGTTGGTAACATGAACTTGTTTTTTTGAAAGTATTTGGTCGGTATCTTTGGTGATTATTTAAGTGTTTCAACTGGAAAGTATTGCTTGGAATTAAAAAATGTTTCTTGGAAAATTGTTTATACAGTATGTCATCATACTCTACCATTAAATATGCATATTATGAACTTGTTTAAATGACCTTTCTTTCATTCTTGAGTATATTCCTGATGTTGCCAAGTGGTGTGGCTCTGCGGTTTTTTAAATTTATCAATTCAGCCTTATTTAAGTTTACACTCCTTTCATGTTTGGTAAAGGGGGTGTACATCTATTTCAAGGTTTGTATGGATGCTTTTTGATTTTTGGTAGTAAGGCTTTTATCTGATGTGTTAAGAATGATTTTTACTATTGCTTAACTGTAATTCACCCAGCACTTTTTGTTAAAGTTTCAATTGCTTGCTGTGTTGTAAATTCAGAAGGGTTAGTATTCCTCTTTTTAATCCTTATTTACATTGTTGCAATGGACTCCTTTGCCCTGCAGGTGGCAGTGTCTTCCCAATAGGGTTTTCTGCTGATGAATTCAAACGTGTATGAATGTTGACACCATTGCATTCAAAATATTAAAAATACATAGAATATTTAACGTGTCACAAACCACCAGGTAGCACTGCACAAACCAAAAGACAGTGATGACTCTAAAATCACATCTTATTTAATTTTTGTGCGCCTCTGTTATGAAATTTGTGCTACCTTATTTATTTATATAGCCTTTCTGAAACTCACAGACTATTGTTTCCCATCAATTCATCAATTAATTTGAATAACTTAGTACTGGACAAAGTTTTAGATTGGTACACTATCTTTTTACAACAGAAAGTTCATGTTGAACCACTTCCCCCTAGTTTTGACAGGGGGCCAATCGCTCTTTTCACACTCATTTTAATTCCCTTTAAAGACACTCTGATTCACTTCCAATAGTTATTCAGTCTGTTTTGACTTAAAAAACTTAAATGATCTCTGATCAGTATTTATATCCCACATCAGTTCATTGTTTTCTCCTTGCAATGAGAACTAACAGCACTATATCATTGCGATGCCTATAATTATCCATAGATGAGCGCCCTGGCAAACAATAAAAGTATAAACTAATTAAAATAAAGGATATGTTAATTAAATGATGACTCATTTCCGAGAAAGACCCCAACCCGCTAATCTCTTGACTGGAAGTCTCCAATTGTCCGTTCACTAGTGTTGTTTCGTTCACGAACGATTCGTTCAAGGGAACCGAATCTTTCAAGTGAACGTACTAAACCAAATCACTTTCCCAAGTGATTCGTTCGTTTCTCACTTCAGTTGAGCTGTTAGCAGAGCAGATGCTATAGCACGCAGCATTGCCAGGTGAGTAGCCGGTGAACAAGGGACCGCGTGCACCGACGCCTCAATCACTTGGTAAACAAATCACTCATGGAACTACGCTCTCAGGAATCATTTTTGTTGTTTTTTTCGCTGCTAAATTGCCACCACAACAACTTTCATACAACAGGACACAGAATGTAACAAGTAGCGCAATAAACCCGCTGCATCCTATCATTGCAGCGGTTTGCGAAGGAATGGTGCATGTTCAGTGTAAATTCTTATAAACGTTCAGTGAACGAATCCCTCACTGAGCCCAATTTACCAAGCAGACCTGATAAATAGCATACCATAGGACAGTACACTTAAAACGTCATGACTTATAAACAAGTTCATTTTTACAAACCTGAGTGCCAAAGCAATGCAAACAAAAACTCTTGTCTCCCTGTACCAGAAGCTCTGAATTGAACTGAATCCTGAACCGTTCAGTTGTGTATCAGTTCAGGAGGTCAGAGTCGCAGGGTTCTCCCGCCAAGCGCTACATGATTCGGTGATTTGGTGAACGAATCTTTTTATAGAACTTTTTCTAGTGATTCAGTTCATCTAAGAGAACAGCCGTGCCCATCACTACCGCTCACTTGAGAGGGAACCACATTCTAATTGGTACTGGAGCGTTCCACTAAGATAAGACACGGAGGGTGGATGGGATGTGTTAACTATAATTACTGTATCGAATCATTACCGATATAATAATTCATTCAAGGCCAAAAAATGTTTTTAATCATAATAAGTACGTAAGCTCAAATTAGATAAAAGTTAGACAACACACCTGAAAAGTTGTACGAAATCTTTCAAAACTATTGACCCCCGCTTGGGTCTCGAATGGTACGTCCCAATCGTTAGGGCTTCACCGTGGTTGAAGAAGTTACTACACGCAATGGTGAGGAGTACATACTATTCACACAACCCCTGTCATGATTTAATTGAGACAACAAAGAAGTTTGCGGGTTTGAACAAACTTTGAGAGGACCTGTGACTGAAGTTACCCATTCATTGCCTCGCTTTATGTCACGGTAAGTGATTTAACACCACATATCGAGCTAAGAGAGCAGTTAGAGTGAGGGATGCACTTGTTGCTTCGGGGCTTTAACGTTCAGTTACGTTACCATCTCATTCAGATACACACGCACTTTAACGGAGGGAAATATCTCAGTTACGGTGATAAAAACAGCAAGAAACACCTTTTTAACTCTTATTTCTTGACTAAACTTCTCAGAGTTTGTTTCTAATTGACGGTATCTCACTCAGTAATGTGTGTTTTTAGTTAACAAACTTTGGGGTTAGGTCACGCCACTATATTAGCCAGACTAATGCACAGCGTCGTGTTGCGTTTACTTACCGAGTAATGAGACTTTGACATGTTTCTCAGGTTTACTCTTGGGTAAATATAGTAAACCTGCACCGCACTAATGAATATGTTTCACGTGATGCATTACAAATTGATAAAATGTCTGTACATGGTTGTGCAAGTATATACTTATTATGTTTATGTGTGTTTTTAGACTACTAAAGCCTACTCTACATAGGCCATCACTTTTTAAATTGTCAATATTGCTTTACATTTTTGCAGCATTTTATTACTTGATAAGTCAAAACAGCAATTTTTGATCTTAAGGTTGTTTTGTTTGTCAAGCTTATGTAAGAAATAAATATTTGTGGAAATTTTACACCCAGAAATATGAATTAACATAACTTACATGGTGTGTATGCAGGAATACCACGTGTAAGTTGAACAAATAAATCATTGAACTTAATAGAAAAGCCCTCTGGGGGTGAGTTGTTATTGCTGAGCAGGGCAGAATTATCCGGGTCACTGAGAGTAGCAGAAGTTCCCATCATTTGTTTATTCATTAATGAAAGCATCATAAAAATATGCTTTACAAGCTCCTGAAACTCCTTTAACCTGCAGTTTTGCCAGATTCTGGGGCCAACTTTGTGAAAAAATATCATTGTATCATGACATATTCTAACATGTGAAAAGGTCAGCTACCCCATCACTGATATGCTGGTTTACTCTGTTGTTTTTAGGTGGGATAGGTTAGAGTAACGCCGTTTCCTGATTACTCAGACACCTCTTCTTATCTCATTCCTTTGAGGTTTTAGAAGACGGTGAGGGGGAGCATGCAAAGTGCAGAGGGGGTGTTATTTTTTCAGCAGTGTGCTCAGAAGTAGGGATTATGACAGTCTTGGAGGGGAATTAAGACATACAGATGGCTGCTCTCATGTGATGCCAGGTTTCACCCTGGTCAGCAGTAAGGGGGATGTCTGCAAACTTTGGTTAACACTGTTAGGACAGATAGTAAACTTGTACTGGTGCTGCATGTTGCAAAAGTAGTGTGCATCTGGTTGGAGTCAGTTACTCCAGACACTTACACATTACATCAGCTGTTTGTCACCAGCGATTGAGGTATAACTTGATTTACTGTGACAGTGTTGCTAAGTAACAGCTGCCTACACTTTAAATGTAATGTGTTTCCAATTATATGGTTGATAAGTTATTTGTCATGAAGAAATCATTAGTTCAGGTTGACAGACACTTGACTCAGGGTGTATTGAGATGTTTTTTCAAGGTGAATTTTTAAGTAATGATAGCATGACAGTTTTGCAAGCATGAAAACCTGTTAAAACATGAATAAAAACAAATGAAGGCGCTTTTGCAAGTGTAGTACACAAGCCTTAAAAGGATGCTTAAAACAAGTTTTCCAGCTGTTTAAAAGTATACTATGAAACGGTGTGTAAAGTCAGGACAAATGCATAAACAAACGAGAAAGACTCATGACAGTCTGAACACTCCTTTGAGTTCTGTGTGGATTTTAACACCTCACACATAAATTACTCCTAATTTGCAAACAGGTTTTTGAAACCTCTGAGTTTTAAAAAGCAATCGGACACAGGCTGAGTACTTTTCATTTAGTTAAAATAAAAAGTCATATGTATTATCTTAATGTTAACTTGTCTATTAAAACACCTTAAAGTCAACCAGCCAAAGAAAAGAGCTGCAAAACTCTCCTGATAGATGTGACAGAAGCTCTCCATGACTCAATCTGTAAACTAAATCTGTAGATGCAGATTAAAAACAACAATATAAGTTATTTAGGATCTTAGTTTTGTTAAGTTTTTGCACCGTTTCCTACTTAGCGCAGTCAGTTGTAATGTACAGTACGGTATAATTAAATGGTGTCATAAACAAGTCAGATGTTAAAGCGACTGGAATTTCAGGTTTTTGATGTCTGTTTGCTCTGACACACAGATGTAAGTGAGGCCGTGTTTCAACATGTCCAAAAATGATATTTGGTGAGACGAACGTGCAGTTATGTAGCCTCCATGACTTGGCAGCGTGAATTATTTGATGTTTTGATTTGATGTGATTTATCTAAACAGAGAGGCCTAATGGAGACGGCTTTTTATCCGCAGTTTGGATGTTAAATTCTCAAAGAGTTAGTTTAAAAAGTACTCATATATGAGACAGGAAGAGAGCAGTTTATGTTGCTGAAGGATCTCCTTCCCTGCTAGTTAGAGCAGTCGAGGTTTCTCAGGCTAAAAATACAAAATCTGTTCTATTTTTTACTTGGAACAGATCAGCTGAAGATCAGACTGCTTCAAAACAAGGCTGTTTTTCCCCCCTGGTGTATTTTTATCTTTTTTTTACTAACTTATTGTCCAGAGCTGGATTTAAGGGGATCAGAGTCGGCGTACGGCAGTAATTAACCTGATTAATTGATTCTGAAACGCTAATCAGATAAACCACGTACCAGTTGGGGCTCCGGGTTAGAAGAGAGCGGCAAGCTCCAGGAGAGCTTTGGTGAGCTTTGGTCACCAGTGCACCATTCACATTTACCAAGCTCTTTTATTTTTGGTATTTTAAGCAGAATCTGCTGTAATACAAGCCCCTTTGATATCTTTATGTTTCTGTTGTAACTGCTGGAACATAAAAGGCATGCAGAAGGATTATCTGATTGATTGCCTCTAGTTAAGGGCTATTACTAGGATTAGAGTTTAGTAAGCTCATTGAATTTGGCCAACTATTTCTCTGTTTTTTGATCATAGACCGATGTAGTGTTGGCTGGCTATTTTGGTGGAAGTGCTTTGAAGTTTGACCAATTTATGTCATTTATATTAGGCTGGATTTAATTCATCTTTTGGAGGATAATTGTGACGGTAAAACAGTTAGACTCCTCAGAAGAGGACAAGCCATGTTGACTTAATCTTGGTGGTGGGATAATGAGAGAATATCAGGATTTATGTCTGAGAATGGGATTGTTTTTGCAGGAGTTGCTCCAAGGATACATCCCAAAACACCCAAACATGCAAACTCAAAAAGTTACATTATCATGACAATGCTTAAGTATGTTGTATCAGTTATAAAAGAGGCAGAAATTTGATATATTCTAGATTCATTACAAAAAAAATCTTGAATTTTAGTTTTGAAAATCAACCTGGAAAATGTATCTCAAAATGTCTGAGTATTTCATGTCAAGTTTGAGTAAAGCAGACAGTATACCTGTGTTCCTCTCAGTTTAACTCAGTTCACTCAGTTCATGAAGGTAACTGCTGACATGACAGTTGCCTAGAAGATCATTGACGCTCGCCACGGAAAGGGTCAGCCAAAGAAGGTCATAGCTGGAAAGGGGGGCTGTTTCTATCACACCGTATCAAAGAATATAGATGGAAAGCTGACTGAAACGCAGGGGTGTTTTAGGTGTACAAGCAACAGGGACCAACGAGAGGAAAAGTTGATTTGAGAATTTTAAAGAGCTGCATGAGTCGTGACTACAATTGTCACATTATCTAATAGCTGCTCCTGAACCAGAGAGGATGTCAGAAAGATCTCACCGAGGCTGAGGGGGTAAAGAACTGGACTGTTGCCCAGTGGACTTGCAGATTTGGAAATCAGTGTCCTTGAGGAAGAGTGGAGAGGCACAGATTCAAGGTCTTCCTCAGTCTGTTGGTGTTGGTCCACTGTGTTTTGTCAACACAGCCGTCCTCCAGAGCAGTTTTTGCAGATTTCTTCTCCTACAAGACTTAGCACCTGCTCACAGCGCCAAAACTACTATCTGATCATGATATATTGATCCGTCCAACCACCCGGCCTGACTTGAACCACAAAATACTGAGTGTATAAAAGAACAGAATTTTTCATTTTTTGATCCTTTCAGGAAACATTCTGATCATTTCAGATACTATATTTTAGATTTTCATGAGCCACAAAACCATTAAAGCCAATGAAGGGTTTAACTATTTCATTTTACATATCAGGAATATAAGAATATTTGAGAGTTAACCTTTTAGAGAATTAACTTTTTCATGGTATTCTGTTCTTTTAGATGCACCTGTTTAGTAAAGATCAAATACCATCATTTCTTAACTCCTTGGGAAGAAAGGAGGTTGGGTCATTTATTAACTTTGGTCCAGCTCTTAAAGACAGTTTGATAAACCGTTTAAAATTCCAGTCTGCTGTGCTCATCACTCACACTGAGTTGGATCACGCTAACGTCATATCTTGTTCTTTCCTCTAGATACAGTATGGATGAACTGCAAGGAGCAGATAAGAAGTGACGCTGCAGAGACTGAATCGGTTTAAGAGAGAGAAAGTCTTCACTACAGATACTCAGAAGACATCATGTCGAACTCTACCAAGCAGGAGAGAACCATTTGTGTTCTCCTCCCCAACAAAGACCAGCTGGACATCACTGTCGGGGTGGGTATTTAAAATTGTTTGTGTCTATCCACATGACAGGCTGCTTAAAGGTCTGTTTACCACTGTTTTGGCTGCACTGCATAGTTTCTGCACACTGAATACAGACGTCTTTTGTCTTTTCACCTGTTTTTCCAGCCCAAGTCCACAGGGCAGGATGTTTTCACCCGTGTGGCTGAGCTTCTCGGAATCAAAGAGCTGCATTTCTTCGGCCTCACAGTGGTGAAGGGTAAGTTCACTTCTCACTGAGCATGAGCATGAAAGGACTGCCCGCACCAAAGTGATTTCAGACAAAAATAAATCATGCATGATCAAAGGGGGGAACGAGATCTCCGACTGCACAAATCAGATTGATTGTAAACAAAAGCGTGAGTTGGGATTATTCAGGGCTTTGCAGCGCCACTCTTTAGAAAGTTCTTGTTTATGTAACACTCTGGCAAAGTGCTGCTTCACCTAAACCAGAACTATTCCACTCCTCCCTCCTTACTCTGCATAATTGAAATGTGTAATCCACTTGAGCCCAGAAGCAAAGTTCTAAACTTTCTCCGTCCGTGTGCTGCTGCTCCTTTTCTTGAGTACAAATACGTGGAAATGCCTCAGTAATCTTGTGTGGCTCACCACTTGAACAAGCAGCCTTTTGTTTTTGTGGTGTTGGTCCAGCGATCACTTAGGGCCTGGATTCCTGCAATATTAACTTCATTAAGCCAGGAATGCACCCTTGCATTCCTCCTCTTCACTGAGGGGAGGGATGGATTGATGATGGGAAGAGGAGGGTGGGTTTAGAAGGGAAAGAACCGGAGAGGCCGATCATGACACAGACGGCTTCGACTCCTCAGCTCTTACTCAATCGCTTCAGTGAAGGATGAGAGGTGAAGGAGGAGGACTGAGTCAGAGTTAGATATTAAAAAAGCTGAAAGGAGGGATGGTTGTGAAACGGCTCGGTGAGAGTGATTTAGCTACACAAAAGAGATAAGGTGGATCAAATAGAAAAAAAAAGCCTGCAGAGTGACTCATAGGACCAGGCTGAGAATGGTACAAGATCAACTTTCTCATCACATTGTGCAAACAGCTTTTCGCCTCTTAAATGATAAAACTGTGTATTAAAGTTCAATAACATTTCAACGCAAGGCTTTTTGTATTTTTAATGAAATCATCAACATCCTGAAAGCATCTATCGGTGTCTCTCAGATGCTCAGACAAAAAGAGAAAACAGTGTCGCATTTTTATACCATCAAAGGTCAAAGAAATTAAGATCAAATTTGCATGAATACCTTTTAGAGTTGCACAATCAAACACAATTTCCCATGAGTGTTTGCAATTAACATACCAATAAAGTCTGAATTCACTGAAACAAGGAAAATAATCTTACGCTTCCAGACAAGGCTCTCTGACTCAGCACATTTAACCTTTTATGAGGGAGCCTGGATTTCATGTCAACACTTTCACATCAGAATCTCTTTGTTGTCACTGAAGTTGTGCAACCAAATTGACTGCAGGCCAATCCAGAGCAAACAGTAGAGAAATAGATAAATATCTACTTTATCAGTAAATGTAAATAAAGATAAATACGAACTTTAAAATCCCTCAAGTTTATAGTGAACTTAGAAAAACACAATTTTACTTGGATGCCCCAAACTCTTTGAATACCTCAACAAACTTTAGAAAATGAAGCTCTTCCCTCTCTTGCAGAGTTTAGGACTTTGATTTTGAAATATTTCATTTCAGATTGTACATGTTTTCATTGATTCCATTGTAAATTTTGTAAGTGTTTGCTTGTTTGACTGTTGTAATCTGGATGGTATTGGAAATGAGGGAAACCTCAATGCCCCTTCGAGAATAAATAAAGGTTTGAATTTGGAAATACCATCCAAAACTAACTTTAAAATGCATTTTAAAAACAAGAGAAAAAAACCTAGTAAAAATACCGCTCTTGCCACTCAAAGAGGATGGTTTTTACACTCTGTTAGCACACAATGCATGTCTCCTTTGTTTGAAACTGCAGAGGTCAAGTTTGGCAGTGTTATAAGAGCAGTTAAAGCAGCTTTCGAATTAAAAAAGAAATAATAAAAAAGTGTCTCTCTGAAGGTGTCGGTTAAAGAAGAGTGTGTCTAGGATAGAATTGAAGAAGCTCAGTGATTAATGTTACTAAATATGAGCTCAGAAAGATAAAAAAATCTGTTTTACAAGAGAGACCTGTTGCATGGTTGATGAGATTGACCATCAAATATTTTCCTCTTGTTGTGTAGGTGGCCTCTTGATGGCACTCTGTCTGTTTACTGTTTGTGTGGACAAGGGATGGCAGATAAAGCTTGTTTGAAATGTTTAAAGATGACAGTAATGAGCGGTGCTTCTTTGCATACTGGTATGCTACAGAGAATGGGTATATGTGCATTAGCATTGTTGTTATTACCTTCCTGGTAGCCTCATTCACAAATGGAAGAACAAGGCCTTTTTCTTTTAGCCTAATGAATCCCATTGTCGGGCAAATTTCACGCTTGGGCACATGATGGTTTTGTTTGCTCGCTAACTGTCTGCTTGTCTCCTGATCGTCTTTCTTCTCCTCAGACAATGAGCACATATTTATAGACATGGAGGAGAAACTCACCAAGTACTTTCCTAAGGAGTGCAAGCAAGATTCAGGAAAGGTAAGGCAGTCTCTTCTCAAGACTGAAGCGTTTTGATTGAGTGAATTAGGAGCACGTATCTGGCTGTGACCCCGACCAAACTATTGTATGTGTGAGTTAATTGGGAGGCACAGTTCTGTGGCCTACATGCCTCCACTTTTCATTAAGCATGACAAAAAGATGCCAACACACAAACACACACACACACACACACACACACACACACACACACACACTGGCTTTCTCTTACATGTCTCTTCCTGGGTCTCTTACAGGGATCACTGAGGAGACTCTTGCCGCTTGTCCTGTGTCTCAAAGTGCAGTACTACATAGAGAACGGTAGACTTCTGTGGTGAGTATATCTGTGTATGTTTCACTTGTTTTCCTTTAAATCCATCCTTGTCCTCCTCTCTGACATTTCTTCGCCCCCACCTTTGTTTATGTTTGTGTTAACAGCGAGCGAAAGGCACGGCATCTCTACTACTCTGACCTGCGGGAGCGAGTGCTTCGCTCTGAATGTCGTCAGCAGGAGGAGGTGTACTTCCAGCTGGCAGGTTACGCCCTGCAGGCTGACCTCGGTGACCACCCGCTGCCCAGGGAGGATATGGAGACAACTCCTTATTTTGAACCCAAGGAGTACTTTCCCCCCTGGGTAGGCTTAACTGTGTAACACCAGCATGTCGACACTTTGAATCCAAATAAATGTTCAGCTTAGTTTAAAACATTTGTCCTATTACTTACTTTAATGTTCTGAATTTGAGCTTTTTTTGAACTCTTTGACTTAAGTACAGCTGTCTCTTCTGCCTCCTGTAGATTATAGCAAAGCGTGGACTTGCCTATCTCCTCTGCCATGGACCCAAGGTGCATCAGGATCTGTGGGGCATGTCTTCTAGAGATGCTACCCTTCTCTTCATCAGGGAGGCATGCAGACTAGAGGACGTACCGGTCACGTTTTACAGACTTCAAAAGGTATCGAGTCAGTTTAGTGTTTTTTGTGTCGTTTATTGAATGTAGTTGCTTTGTCAGAGTTTTTCTCGCACACATCTTCCTGCAACTTTTCTGATTTATATATATTTATATATAATTAATCCGCAACTGCAGCCTCAATTTCAAAGATTACTCTTGGTTTGCAAACATTAAAATACCATGTTAGGAAAAAATGGCGCAAGGACAACAAACTGAAAAAGTAAAAACAAAAACACACTTTTTGTTTCATTATTAACTGACGATTCAAATGGGTGACGAGTCAGGACTGCAGGCTATCATATTACTTCATTTCATCCAAAACAGGCTTGGTCCCACCAGCGTTGCACAACCATGTTAATAAAAAAATATATATTTTTCCTTTTTGTATGGTTCAGTTTTAACCTCATTTGTGGATTCAGCGATTAACTATTCACAGATCCTGCTTTTGGGATGTGACTTTGAGCTCATGCGGTGATTTCCAGCGAAGAGTCATGTCTGTGACTAATGCAGTCCTGGCTAAGGGCCCAAAGAAGATCATGAAGAAGATCTTTTTGTACAGAGATTTTTACAGATTACCCGAGTTATTTGTTGACGTTATGTACCGTAGATGATGAGGATGAGGAAATCCCCAAATTCTTTAACTTTCTGAGGAATACCTGAATTCTGAAACTGCTCCCACAGTCTCCGACAGAGCAGTGAACCTTTTCATGTGTGTTTGGAAGGTCTCGCTTAGTATTACCATTTGATACCTAGTCTAGCCATGTTGTTAGCCTTTTCAAATCAACCTAAGAAGTTGAAAGATGTTCCTCCAGATGTTTTTTAACAGCATAACTCAACTTTTTCAGTGTTGTCTTTTTCCAGTCTCAACTTTAGAGATACCAGTACGCCATACAACATCAAATTTAAAACAAGCTGGTGTGTAATAAACAACATAATATTCCAGTTTCGACACTTAAACTTTTTTTTCCAATCCGATATAGGTCTTAAATACTTAATTAAGTTTTTAACCATTAAATTTGTCATCAACATCAAACACAGCACCTTCACTTTTGGGTGTTGTACAAATTAGATAGTTAAAATCATTTTCCAAGCAAACTTGTCAAAGGTTTGCTGGTTAGAGTCCATAAATGTTCAGGATTAGCTGCTCTTCTTTGTCATTCAGGAGTAAATGTGAAGTCTTTAGGTTCTGGGCTGTAAAAAAGACTTCACGGGAAATTGTATAAAACATACTTTAGAGTTATTTGACATTTTTTTTAGTCTAGACAGTTATTTGAATAATCCCATAAATAAATGGCTGGTTAATACCAAATGAAAATAGCCGCAGGTTACAGCTCAGTATAAGTCATTAAATGGAAAATAATTACTGAGGCCACTTTGGAAGAAAGATTTGTTTTGAATTCATTTAGAAATAATAGCTATTCCAGGCGTTTCCTCCCTCGCACTAAAATATTATCCTTTTCTACACAAAAACATCAAACTTCGCTCCGTTTGAGCCCCGCAGGACAAATAACTTCGGGGCGATTATGTAACTCTGTATCTTTTCCAATTTATTGTCCTCCCCATTTCAAAATCACTCATCCACCGGGTGTTATTTTGAAAGCTGGTCCATCCATTGCGTAATGTGCTCCCACTTTTAATTTGTTGTTAGCAGCAGCTCTGTGTTTCTAAGCGGGGGGCTCGGCCGCAGAAGAGCTCCCTTATCTGAAGTGCTCAGATGCCTCACTGACATCTCATCATTCATTTGTCCAGGACAAAAAGGAAGAGAGAGGAACGGCTTTGCTCGGTCTGACCCTGCGAGGAATGCAGGTTTATCAGGTGCGTGCATGTGTGAGTGTGTTATGAATGCACAGCATATACGTCAACACATGCTTGCTCAGGAGTGAATCTGCGTTTGCTCAAAGACTCGGGCTTTGTAGCTGCAGTGCTATAAAACCTCTGACTAGACGTGTGAGGAATGTGCGGGATTTCCACCAGCAGCAGTGCATGAGGAGATAGGAGCCGTCCACCCTGCCCGTCAGTTGTTTGATCTGTCCATCAGGGGCCATCTGGGGGGGATTAGGGCTCCAGGCCTGGCTGATTAAAGAGCCAACAGACCGTGAGATACCTCGAGAAGCCCTTGGCCTCTTTGCCAACTCCAGATGGCCCCTATTAGCAGACAAGACAACTGATTATTGATCGCTAATTTGAGGGGGACAGAAAACAGATTACACATCCAGAAAATGATGTTTCTTAATTCAAGAACAACAATGCCACAGATTCTTTTGTTTATTCATGTGTTTGTGTGTTTTTGTAATGATAGGAGGTGAACAACATACGACAGCTGCTGTACGACTTCCCCTGGTCGAATGTGGGACGTCTCACCTTCCTGGTATGCTAATTTCTTTTCTCTGCTAAGATTAAGTGGAATGGATGTTATTATTTAATGGGCATTAGCTATGTACTCTCCAGTGTTTGCAATATGTTGTCCTTGTCAGTCAGTAAATATAATATGTTGTCCTATTCAGGGTAAGAAATTTGAGATCCAGCCAGATGGTTTGCCGTCAGCCAGGAAGCTGGTTTACTTCACCGGATCATCGTTCCGCTCTCGCCACCTCCTCCTGCACCTGAGCAGCAGCCACCGCATCTACCTCAGCCTTCAGCCGGCCCTCAAACACCTGCGTCAGCTGGAGGAGACTGAAGGTACGAGACAGAGACACAAAAGAAGTGCTTTTGAGAACTTTAACTCTTTCTACTGAGAAGAAATATCTGGTTACCATTGGAAGTAAAAGACAAAAATCTGTTTTTTCTGCACATAAAAATCCAAAATTTAGTATAATCATGTTTTTGCTTGTACATTTATTGTAATAGTTTCCATTTTTCTGTTAATTTTCTCTTCTGTCTTTGGAGCAATCCTGATAAAATCAATCATATGAGATTAAAACATTATTATGAAGCATGTTTTAAAGGTCTTTCCAAACTAAAAAGAGGGTTCAGAGTTTTTAATATATTAGAAACCCTCTAAAACTTGTGAAATTACCATCAGTTTTCACTAATTCCCAGGTGACACAGGTCACTTTATCTTCTGTACTTTCCATTTTAACTTATTTATGTTGCAAACTGAAAAGTTTCTATTTTTCCTGCTCAACTGCAATCCTTTTAGGCTACATATTAAAGAGCTATCTTGATTGTTTTAAGTTCAAATGTAGGTTAAGAACAGCACATACCTGAATATTTACTGCCTAAAAAGAGAAAAAGGATGATTTATGTTCTCGTTTTGTTTTTTTCTGTCTAATATTAGAGAAAAAGTGTTACAGGGAGTCATACATCAGCGATGATCTGGACTTGGACCCCCAAGGCAGCGAGAGCAGCCCCGGTCTGTCTCGCCGCTCCACCAGCAGCTCTGGAATTGAAGCGGATGCCCGACAGCACAGCCTCTCCACTGAGATGACCTCCATGGAGGAGGACAATCAGCAGCAAGCGGAGAAGTGTTTCAGCTCGGCAACGAGCCGCGGCAGCTCCTGCACCTCTGGGTTTGACGCGGGCAGTAAGACTCGAATGGATGACGAGGGCTGGCAGGAGGAAGGTGAGAGGTGCAGGGTAGTCCATCAAGCCATAGAAGTGTTGATTTTTCCCTTAAATTCATGTTTGACTTCAGTAAATGAGATAGGTTTCTAAATTAATAAAGTTCTTGTTGAGTGTTTTTTTTTTTAAAACAACAACCCTCTAAAACAACTCTAACATAGGCCCACTGCTCCACCATTTTTTTCCTTATTTTTTTAAATGAATACTTTTGGCCTTCATGTCTTAGTTATCAAAGAAAGGACTTAAAAATTTAGCAAATAAACACATTGAATTTGCCCAATATTAGAGTCAGGAAAAACACTCAAGGGAGGAATTGATTTCAAATGTAGTTAGGTTTATTCTCGCAGCGGACGAAGACAGTGAACATTTCCAAATAAACCCACGAATCTCCTCCAGATGGGACTGACCATACATGCCCATGTGAGATCCTCTGTAGCAACATCAAATACTCCATCAGCCTTTCAGAACACTATGTTCAGAGGAGAAACCTCTCCTCCCAAGAACTCCTTATGGATTTGACAACCTGTTGAGTTAGCACTTCTGCTTCACTACACTTACTACACACTTCTCCCCCTGAACGCTCTCGTCTCACTGGTTCAGCTCTCTGTCATGGAGAAGATCTCTGCTGTGCTACTGACAGGCCCCATGGAGGCCATTTAGGGCCTGTTTGTAGTATTATCAGTCCAAAGATATTTACCCATATTGATACTGTCAAGGTAGGCCTGTTGGATCTATTGTTTTTGATTTTCCTTGGGCTGACAGGGGCGAGTGACTTACAGGAAGAGGCCACAGGTTGGAATTGAACCCTGGCCTCCTGCTGGGGGAAGCCTTAGTACATGGGCCACATATTTAAACCATCAGCCAAATCTATTTATGAGATGATTTTGCAGTTTAAACTGAGACCCTCTTCCTTCCTGGTCTTAAATTCTCATATCTTTGATTATTTCAGAGTTCCAGTCCAGTGTAGGAAGCCCAAAGGAGGTTCTTGTGGACGATCCTGATGAGATGTTCCAATTGGCTGATCTCCTTGAAGGAGTGTCCGTGGATTGTTCACAACTCCTCTCAGAGATTCTGTCGACAGGTGGGATTCATTTATTTGTGGCATCCAAGATCATATTTAGACAAATTTGTGTTTGAATTTTTTTTAATCTTGTTTTTGGTTAAAAAATTGACTATAATATCTTCTGGGCTCTACAGAAATCAAAACGTGTGTCCCAGACAGTGATGAAGATCTTGTGAATGTACACAACAAGGAGTTAATGAATCAGGTTGGTTATTTATGTTCTTTTTTTCTCATTTGGATTTCTCTGTTTTGTTTTCTCACCCTCTCTCCCCCTCCTGTCTCGACTCCAGATCAAAATCCCCAGGGCACAAGTCTGCGTGGATCGGCACAGTCACAGTTTGGATGATGTGCGTCTGTTCCCGCCTCCTGCGCCTCTCGGAACAACACTGCCACCCGACTCCTCCCACAGCTACACCTTTGGCCTCCCAGATGCCTCCACAAACACAAAGACCCCCACAGATCCCTGCAACCCCCTTATACACTGTCAAGCCAAACCTTCCTTTTACGGCCGCAGGTCAAGCAACTGCCTCTCTCTGGATACGATAGGTGATGACCAGCTCCTGGAATTCATACTTTGAACATGTCCACAAATACACGTGCTCTTCCTTTACTCACAGTGCGACTTAACTTTCCAGTTGCCAACATTTGAATGTCTGAGTGTTTCTTTAATGTGGTGATGATGATGACGACGTGGGATGTGTGTGCTCCAAATTGTAAAGACATTGCTGTAAATGACAGAACCCAACATTCCTTTGACAGATTTCTCACTCGGCAGCATCTAAATCAGAAAACAGAACATATTTATTAATGTTGTATATTTGTAAATACTACTTTCACTATTTTATCACATTTCAGCCGCTGAGGAAAACACTTAAATCTGTTTTTATCGTGTTTTGTAAAGTTTACACTGAGAGAAATGTTTTTAATGTTTAAATAGGTGTTGTTTAGGGCATAAAACTTATTAAGGCCTTTTCAGACTATGGGGATTTTTAAGGCCATGTGGCCGTGGGACTTCATTTCCTCGCCCTTCGCCTGTTTGCTAATGTAAACAATGCAATTTCCTTCTTTTATGCGGGAGAATCTCTTTAAGCCATGGTGCTAATGTTTGTACTCCTGTATGACTTTGCCCTCTTTCTTTTATAATGTGCTTTACTTTTGTATAGAGTGCTCTGTCTAGCTTTCCCTGTTAGTCTACCACAGCTACATAGCTGCTGATGTGGAAAATTAATCCTCCTTACAGCTGGTAATGCATTCATCCAAAGCTCTCCTATTCTATAATTGCCTCCTGCTGTCATAATTACAAGAGAGAAGTGTTATTTTAGAAGCGTTATTTCAGTAACCAGTGAGTGCAAAATGAATCTGCAGTATTTTTGTATTATGTAACCCCCAAACAACAAGCCTTACTGTCTGTCTTTTCTCTGCTCAGTGTTCATCACTTATTTTGTAAATGATAATTGGGATACAAAAGTGCTGATGTCTCGGGCCAATTTTGACTCAGTTGGTAAGATTGTCTTTTAAAAAAAATACACTAAAAGAGTTTACACAAAGCCAATAATGTATGAAATGACACGCTTCGCTCACAATAATGTAAATCTCATTTTTATCAAAGCATTTTTTTTTAATGATAGTGAAAATAAAGTCTAAATGCTCTTACATAACACAAGGTTTCACGTTCTTTTTTGTGCTCTGTTTTTTTTTTTTTTAATTTAAGTTTCTCACTTCAACTGAAGTGAGAAACAAACGAATCACTTGAGGAAGTGATTCGGTTCAGTACGTTCACTTGAAAGATTCGGTTCTCTTGAACGAATCGCTCGCGAACGACACAACACTAATACAAAAGGTATTAAAGAGTAAATATCGTCGTATTACAAGCGACGTCCCAGCTGGTAGGGGGAGTAACAGTTTTCTCTATTTTTTAAGTTTTTGTTACCATAGATATTGTTACAACTTAAAAAAGCAGTAATAATATTAATAATATAATATTAATAATTATTTATTCCTCGTGAGGATAAATCTTGTCAAATTATTTCCACACATTGATTTAAATGTCAGTGCATCGAGTGCTTTAACCGTTACTCTCACTTCTCGCGAGAGTTTGAGATGACGTTTACGGAAGTTTACATTCCGCTTGGAAAACGTGTGGCTCATGGCAGCTGTGAGAAAAGCCGGCAGCTGGTTACAGTTAGTTTGCTTGTCCCCGTCAGTGTAGAAACGCTTCCAAAATGAACTCGGTTTTAATGAACGCGGTTTTGTCCAGCTCTCCTGACTGTGGCCTTTTACTGGAGTCTCTGTCTTGGTCGGGGGACTCGTGTCCGGGGAGGGAGCGGGTTGAGGCGCTGACAGCATTTCTCGAAGCTCTTGGACCTCTCATGACGGATCCCAACGCGACGAATAAGAAATCTATCATAGCGAAAATAGAGTCAGTGTTATGGACAAAATGTTTACCCCTTTTCTCCAGAATATCAGCAGGTGGAGACACAACCTGCAGGGAGAACACCGCTGCTGCTTGCCGCCTTCTGAGCGTCTGTGTCCCGCTGTGTGGTGAGGCAGCTCCGGGGAAGGTGGCTCTCACTGTCCTGCCATCGCTGCAGCTCCCAGAGGAGGAGGTACCCGCTCCTGGGAGACTCAGTGTGGAGGTTGCAAGCGAAGTGATGTCTGCTGTTTTACCTTCTCTATCAGCGGATGAAGAGCTCACACTCACAGTCCTCACATCTGCCTTATCCTGCGTCAAAACCCTCCCTGATGCTCTGGTGTCCAAAATCACAGTCAGGCTTCTCCTGACCATACTGAGCTGCAGCAGTGGACTCAGGTTAAACAGCATCCTTGGGTTGATTTTGGAGGATCTGTGTCACTGGCACTCCACCTGCCGCACACCTGTGGTGACAGAGAGGGCACTGCTGTGTTTGACAGCCCTGTCCGACCACCTGCTCAAACCCCACAGCCTCCTTTCTTCCTCTCCCTCTTGTGACCCTGACCCCCGTCTGTGCCTTCACTTCTGGAGGATGGTTCAAGACGGACTCACGCACAGAGACAGTGTGTCACGCAAGAGGGCTTTGTACCTGCTGAAAATGTGTGTGGCCCTGTCAGAAAAAGCAGGGGTGGACTGCCCTCTTTCTCCCTCAGGGGACGGTAAAACATCTCCTCTCAGATATGTTAATACTAATATAAAAATGACCCCATCGGTTTTTCAAATGGTGTGTGTTTTCCTGAACTGTTGCAGATGAGATCTTATTCAAATGGTCTTCAAACAGGAGCAAACTCCTGAGAGAGTTTTGGGTGGATTATGCTCTGGTGATGGAGACCCTGGAGGAAAACCAGGTAGAGAATCCATCATGAGCGTTAATTAGAAGACAGCCTGTCATGAAACAGCTTACTAATGTTTTACATCTGTTTTCTTTACAGGTTCATGTTGTCCGTCCAGTTTTAAACAGAATAGACACTTTGATTCAGACGACAGTGAATGACAGTCAAGGTGAGTTTACCGAGCAAAGTGGGCAGCCTTTCTGGAAAAACTTATTTTAATGAATGTCTGAAAAGATTCGCTTTAAGAGGACTGAAATGTGTCCTTATATATTTTTTGATTATTGGAAACTGTTTGGAAGTGATTGCACTTTTTTAAACTCTGAATAGCCGTTTATTTATTTCAGAAGTGTTGTTCATTGACAATTTCACTGTTTTGGGTTTTGATTGCTCTGTAAACTGTGTTTGTGTTGCAGCTTCAGGTCAGGGTCTCTTCCACCCCTCCTGGCTGCTCTGTGTGTACCAGCGGATGTTTCACAGTGAGAACAAATCCTTAATGAGAGAGGGAGTGTGTCATCTGCTCGAGCTGCAGGTGCTGCAGCAGCCGGCCTTTGCTTTGGCCCTTTCTCAGGTACATGTCCGGACAACATCTCAGACACACCGTTGCTGTGTTTGTGCAGAATTAAAGTTTCCTCTCTCCTGCTTGTTTTCAGTTCATCGTTGGCCCTTTCATGGATGTTCTGTCTGAAACTTCACTCTTTCACAGGTAAAGTCATGTTCAGAGAGCAGAGGTCTGAGTTGTACTGGTAAAAGAAAATAGAGCATTATCTTTCTTATAAATAACTAAATGTTAGTCTTATTTTATGCTGTGGTGACTGGTGTTTACATATATACATTAAATCAATAAGGCTAATCTAATATCACTAATTCATAGTACTCTGAAACAAAATTACATGTCATTTAGGTGTCGCAGGTAAGTTTGCTTCTTCCAGATAAATGTGACATTTTAGGCTCCTTTGTCACAGTGTGCACGAGACATACCAGTATTTCTCAAGAGCCAGAAATTGTCATTATTATGTGTAATTACATATTCTATGATGGCAAATTTGGTTTAAAAAGCGATTTGGAAGTCTGGAAAATGTAACTCCAATGTTTGTAACTTAAAGGAATCCAATACTGTGTCATTTTGTGTGTTTTTCTTGCCGCTGTCACCCCTTTAATGCACCTTTTCTTCACTTGTAGATCAGCTGAGCAGCGTATTGGAGATTGTCCTGAGCTCGGGACTAAACTCCAAGTCTTCATGACCACCTTCTTCAGCAGTCTACCATCTGAGCACAGAGGTAAAGGAAAAGAGTAACCACACAGAAATGATGTTGTTAAACTCAGAATAACTTTGTTAAACCTTCTCAAATGGACTGTGTGTATTTATTTTATCAGGCTCTACGTTACTCCAGATGATTCAGCAGTTGTGCTCTAAACACTGGTGCGCTGTACCCCTCCTCTTCCTTGCTCAAGCGCTGTCCAAACTCCCTCCGAGTCCTCTGTTGGGAGTGGAGGGTCTCTCTGCCCTCAGGTACCTGTCTCTACACGTGTGCAGTCATACAGTATATGATAGGCTGTTGTGTTTAATCCAAAAGTTCATTTTCCCTGTGGTGTCTGACAGGGAGGTGCTGCGCTGCACTATGATCACCCATCAGGTCCTGCTGAGAGGAGCTGCTCAGTGCTTCCTGCTGAAGAGTGCCCTCTGTCTCACAGATGTGGTAAGACACACACACAGTTAAAAAGGGAGGGAGTGTGTCACCTGCTGCAGCTGCACACTGAAGCACATGAAACAGAAAATGACAGCCTATTATAGTATTTTAATCACACGTTTAATTGCTGCTTCAAACCTCATATCATAGACAAACATACAGGAGTACAGAGTGAGGTCAGAATGATTATCAGAACCAGCTACTCTGGCCAGGTAGATGTGAGCATACATGGATTCTGATTTAGGATTTACACTGCTTTCACTGTGTATACAACTAAATAAACATTTTTAAGAAATAACAATACAACTATTAAAGAGCGGTTAAAAAGAACAAGCATCATACCAGAATGTAAACTTCTTTGTACTACAAATGTAAAGCTGAAGAAGCTGAGCTCTTTTTTACAACTTTCCTCATAAAATATTCACAAAAATGAAAAATACATCTCTTAAAAGTCAGCAGGATAAGTTTTTTTTGTCTAAAATGACTATTTAAGCAGGTAAAGAACAAGATTAGTAAAGTCATTTTGTCCACATGGTGGGGCCAAACTGACAGAAACTGAAAGTTCCCCACAGGAGCTTTAATTTGTAAATTCAATGAAAGAAATCAGAGAGTAAAACTGACAGAACTCTGTCTTTCTTTCCTTCAAAATGAATGTCAAGTACCTCTAAAATCACACCATGACCTATGACAAGTAAAACATTCATATACACGCAGAGGAAAAGATTGATTTAGGGGAGAAAACACACAAGTTTCTACTGTTATGCACGTACAGAATAGTGTTTCTGTAGCAAAGAGAAAAGTGGACCATAAAACATCCTGTGGTAAACAAATAAAAAGGGTTCAGGAAATAGTATCAGTGTTTACATATTCACTTTTGACTGAATGCCAAAACATGCAGCAAAAGAAAAAGTTACATTAATTAGTATAACATTATATGCACAAATGCTAGTCTTTGAAAAATGGTCCTAAAGGCACCATCAGGAGTTTTTAAGTGGTTGAGAAACAGTTAGAAACTGATACTGATGCCTCTTTATGACTCTCAAAAGCAAATAAGCGTGATGGTTTAGGATCTAAATATGTTGTTTCAGAGCTCTGTGACCCTGGATGATGTCTTCAGTTTCCTGGTGGATTTTCGTGCCGATGAGTCTCTGTGCAGAGGGACTCAGATTTGGAGTCAGGTATGCTGTGCAGAATAAAACTCAACCTGATATACTGAAACAAACCCTGAAAAAGTGGTACCATATATAACTGCTGCCTTATTTATTTGTGACATTGCTGCAGACATGCGAATGGTTAAGGGACAATGAGAGCAGCTTCAAACCCAGAGTTATGGATGGAGAAGTTACTGATGCTGACACAAAGAAAGAAACTCTGAGAAGTTACGTACAACATGAGATATATGCTTACCTCCAGGTCCCAGCGAGCACGGGTAAGTTCAGTGTGGAAAACAGATTATTCAAGTCTTTCTCTTCTGCTGTAGTAATTGCTATTATGAGTCTTAGAAAAAGGCTTCTGTTTGAAAAGCATAAGTCATATAGCAAACAAATATAAAATAGCTGCCATATTGAGTCAATGAGTGTTAGTTCATTGGATAATAAGCTTGAAATCTGTCGGTAAAAGTGAGTTTTCGCTCCTCAGGTCACACTGAGAAGTTGCCCGACCCCCGAGAAGCTGATAAGTTGGCCCGTGCTGTTCTGCTGTGTTTGGACATGGAGAGGGGTCAGCCCGGGGCAGAGATCGGTACCACTCTGGAGTCATTACTGTCTCCTCTGCTGCATACCCTGAGCAGAGTCAGCACCAATATCTACCTGCCTGTACGCAAAAGTGACAAGAGCCTGCAGCTCCTGCTGCGACTGTTCCAGCTTGGAGGGAAACCAAGCTGTCGGCGTGTTGGAGAGGAGCGAGGTCAGTAATGAAAACACTGATTCATTACAGGAACAGGCTTTTCAAGTTGGTTGCTGTAAATCTTGTATATGCCAATAACTGTATGACACAAGGGCGCAAGTTATCTATTTTTTATCATTAAAAACAGTCTGTTCATACTTTTTAATATTTAAAAAACAACTTAAAAAACATCTGAAGAGTTTGTGTTTCTTATTGTAACCTCTAAAATTTCCTCATTTACTGGAAGATGTATATATAATCCAAAGACTGTAAACTGAGGCAAAGCTTTTTGGCTTTAGTTTAACGCTTTAAACCTGCATTTTTTCTTATGGCCACTAGGGGATGCTCCACGAGCTGTGGTAAGAGGTCAGATTGCATGAAACTAGATATGAAAATGAGACCTGTCAGCCAAGATAGAGATGAAGCACTAGTTTCAGCCCTGATGTCTATGAATTGTGTATTTAGGCTGTAAAAACATTAGACAGGGACATCAAATCTGTCAAAACTCATAAGTCATGAGGACACTTCTCAACCCTGAGGAGTTTTGTCTGATCTCCAACTGTTTTTCTGCTTGAACCCCTGTTTGCGTATAAGTTATTGAAAAAATGAATTGTATTGATGTGTTTTGACTCAGAAGGGTTTTTTTTTTCCATCCTGTCCTTCACAGAGGACGTCCTGATGGTAGCCACAGAGAAGCTCATTCTCAAACTTATTGATCCGATCCTTGAGTTCATCCTGAGGCGGCTGTTTGGGGAGCTGCAGGAGGTAAACAGCAAGTGAAACAAATCACTCCGAAAAGGCAAAGCCGCCTTTAAAGTGAAAAGTGCTGAAGTGTTTGTTTGTTTGTTTTATAGCTGTTCGATGTGGAGCGGGCAGAGCTGTATCTCTCTGTCCTGAGGCAGCTGGTGCTCTTGTGTGATTCTGCATCACAGCACCAAAATAAAATCCAGAAGACCTATTTCCCCAGACTCATCAAGAACAGCCTCAAGGTCCTGCAGGAGCCGAGCCAGGAGGTAGGCGGAGGAAAACTCAAGGTGGAAATTTCACCAATCAGTCTGGTTGCTTTTGTGACTGAAAAGTCATGACTGATTGTTTTGTTTCCATTTACAGATCAACTCTGTGTCACACCAGGTGGCTAAAGCTGTTGCCATGGCGACTCTTGCAACAGTTTGTGATCTTCTGCAGCAGAAAGAGATCGATATTCAATCAGGATTTATTTCTGATATAAAATCACTCAACGAATACTTCTACCTCCGAGAGTCCCCGTCTCCTCAAAATCTGGGAAACTTCAATAAACGGCTGCTGAAACCACAGACCGAGGATGGTTCAAGGTTAGTAAAAGGCTGTAAATATATTCAGGATCAAAGTATTCATGCTGGTTTGATAAGTGTTTTTATTTCTCTTCAGTGATGCAGGAGTGCAGGGTCTGCTGCTGAAGGACTGGGGACGCATCTCTGCCAATTTCATGCGGCACCAGTGGATATGTCTAAGCTTCCTCATCAACGCTGTTGGTGTCCCAGAGTCTGCAGAAACCTCCAGATCATCTGAGACTCTCAGAGCTGCTCTGAGCTGCAGCGTAGAGGCCTTGTCTCTGCTGCCCAGTGACCTGGTGCTGCCTGTGCTCACCTTTATGGAGACGCTGCTGCCGCAAGTGAGTCGAAGCGTGCAAAAGAAACAATAGAAAAGTTTAATCAGCAGTCTGAACATTTGATATTTGATGCCTTGGTTGTCCCCTTAAATCTTCAGTTAGTGCTCCATGAAGAGGCCTTGTGTGTGGAGGCTGTGACTCTGAGCTGGGAGCTGGTTCAGGGGCTGAGCACTAACCCCCAAGATTTCTGGTTGGCCCTGAAAGGCTTCATCTCCATGGCGTTCCATCATAAACTGCTCAAGCTGACAGACACGCAGAGTCCGACACTTTTGGCCACACTGAAACAGGTGATTAAAACCAGCAAATCAATGAGGAGGAAAAGAGTTTTATGATTTTTACTAAATACATAAAGTATTCTTTCATTGAAGAGCATTTTATTTTAAAAAGGATTAATTCACATGCAAAGGAGTTGTATTTGGCGGTATAGCTCTGCTTTGAGAGCTCCCTGCTTTTCCACCGACTAATAGGGAATACCGAAGCCTTAGATGGGGAGAGCAGCAGCAAATACCTGGTACAGAACTGAGTGGCTATCAGTGACTATATGCTATTTTATTAGCAGCCTGTGAATCTGCCTCCCTCTGTCCTCGATCTGGACCTTTGAACATCTCTAAAGATTTGATGAACTTAAAAGTTTAAAGACAATTAACTTCTGATATGATCATTATAAGCTGATGTAAACTTTTCAGTGCATTTTAGCTTTTCTCACTACATTAATTGGCTCATTAATTGGTTATATCATTTTGTTTTCTACAGAATTGATATTCAAATTTCTAACTTTATTGTCCTGATTTAGAAAATTTAATTTTCAGACTCTTGACGCCCTCGCTTTTCAAACCCAGTCTTGCTACAAACATACTCTGAATCCCCCTGATGAACTATATTTATGTGCTGTGTTGTTGTTTTTAGATCACAGCTGAGCTGATGGAGCTGTCTCAGTCAAAGAGTGGCGTGTTCGGGGTGCTGCTTCAACACTGCTGTGAGACCTGGCTGCCCACAGACCGAGACTGCGACGACACCGTGTTCTCCAGTGTTTTCAGCCACATCAGCGTCCTCACTGAGGCCTGTGTTTACGGTCCAGTGTTCAGGAGAGATCAGCGGTAACTCTCAGCAGCGTTAACCATGTTTGCTCTCTCGTTTCAGAACCTGTGTGACATCTCTTTTTGTCTTTGAAGGCTTATCCAGGATGTTCAGACGTATGTGGAGCAGCTGGGTGAAGACTGTTCAGCCAATGTCGCAGTTATCAGGTGGGCGGCAGTCCTCTTTTGCCCCCTCATGTATGGCTGTAATTTAGAGTACTGCCACTAGAGGTCTCTGTCGCCCTGCAGATGTTTTCAGACGCTTCTTCTATTTTTCAGTGATAACAGAGACGAGCAGCTGCCCCGCACGTGTGCTCTGGCTTTCCTCGTCCGCCTTGATTCTTTTAAGCAGCAGCAACATGAAAGATTGATTGGGGAAGTAGTTATGGATTTATTGAAAAAGGTAGGTCATAGATTATGATGCCTTATGGAAGTATTCACCTTGTACTTGAACTTTTCCATATATTGCCAGGTTTTATCTGCATTTTTTTATTTTTATTTTGGTGATATCAGACAGAACAAGACATTTGAGTGAACATACAACAACTACAAAATTAAAGACGATGTGCAAACATACAAACAAGAGTTCATCTGACCAAAAACCCAATACTAGTGTTTTAAACAGTCAAGGTGTGTTTGTGTGAATATTAAATGTTAAACAAGGCTTTGATCAGCTGTTAGGATGATGCATGTGTGTGTGTGTGCATGTGTGAATTTGCACATTTGTGTCTGTATATAGGAAAGTAAATGAGGAGAAAAGGAAAAAATAATTTAAAGTATCTGCAAATTAAAGGATTTTGTTTGGGTTTTATGTAATAGACTAGCATGAAAAAGTACTTGATTTTGAAAGAGGAAAGAATGGCACATTTTGAAACACCCAGAAGGCATATTTAAGGTAATACAAAGCCACCAAACAATCATAATAACTCAGCAAACTTTATAAACTTCATATCAGATATCATGATTAAACTTTTTTTAAACAAGAAAGACTAAAGACACTGATTTCATTTCAACCCCAAGAAAACATCCAAATCTGTCCAGATCTCCTGTTTGATGGAGAAGATGTAAAAACAATCCCAGCTCTGACTGTTACGTAATTTGTTTGTATTTCATTCACCCATAACTCCTAATGCTTGTGTTTCTGTGAAATCGTCTCAGTCATACTCGCTGTGCTGGGTGTCGTTCATTAGGATAATGAGCTGAGCATCAGTCACAGCCAATTTAACAACACTTAACAGAATTTTCCATTATCTCCCCTCTGCCTCTCCAGGATAATGACATATCAAAGTCAAAAGTGCGTTACTATAGCAACTCCCTGCAGCATCGTGTGAAAAACCGAGTGTGGCAAACGCTTCTGCTGCTGCTGCCCAAACTCAGAGAGGTAGAATTATTCCAGTCACACTTACAATCGCAGAGGTAATAGCCACTCTCTCAGATAGTAATAGAGTTTCTGTGCATGTGTGTGTGTTTTCAGGAGTTTGTCTCCACTCTAGTCCAGCGTGTGTTTGAAGCCGGCTTCTGCAGTAACCAGGCCTCAGTCAAATACCTGATCGAGTGGATGATGATTCTGATCCTCGTCAACCATCCTCAACACGTGGACAGCTTCTGGGACTGCTTCAGCATGGTGAGCTCCCACTCTGGACACCCCAGAATAAACCTCCTCCTGAGTGGAAATAACTCAATTATTAATCGACTTTTCTGCACAGGATCATGAAAAGACAAAGACGAGCGCTTGCACCTTCCTGTCAGTGCTGGTTCACTTCAGCGTCATCCTTCCTCTACTCAAGGACAAGGTGAAGCCTTTGAAGATTTGTCTGGAGTTACTCACTGAAGTTTCCTGCCCATGCCCAAATTCAAACACGGTCATGTACAGATATTTATTTGTTTAACTCGAATAATGCATTTTTTTTAATCCAAGGGGAAAAACAGTAAACAAAAGGCATAAATATTGAGTTTTTTAAAAGTATAAAAGGTAGAAAAGGTGCCACACAACTCCTGCTGGGATCATATATTGGAAATGTATTTATGCAGTTTAAACAGGGTGATGTGTTAAAGTCTTATTCCATCTACCTTAATCACAACATTTTATCCGTGTGTTTTTAAAGGCCGTACAGTTGCGAAAAGCGCTCGACGTCATCCTGCAGTGGTGCTTCAACCACAACTTCAGTGTGCGTCTGTACGCCTTACTGGCCCTGAAGAGGGTTTGGAGCTTGGCTAAAGATGTCATGGCAGAAGAAGGGGACTCTGGTTTTGGAGGTCTGTCCACCGTGATCGAGGCCTGTCTGAACCAAGCGGAGGCCATGCAGAACACCGGGTAAGAGCTGGAGGTCTGTGAATTATCTGCAAAGCGGTAGTTGTTGCATGCTTATTGATTGAACAGAGAGTGTGTTTGTTATTTAGAAATGCCAACAAGAACTGGTTGAGGATTCAAGAGCACTTCTTTTTTGGGGCTTTCCATCCGATCAGGGATTACAGCGTTGAGGTGAGCTTGAATCATTTTTCCCTCCATACATGACGCCCTCCTAAATACGCTGACAAAGTGTTGTGACATGTATATTTTTCTGCCTGCTTTGCCTTCCTAGACCATATTTTACACCTTCCCCAGTCTGTCAGAGGTGGCTGATGATGAGTGGATCCCAACCCGGAAGTTTGAGGAACTGAAAGGTTTTCCTAACAGCTCTCCTTTAAGTTTAAGAAACCCCTCTCCTGATCTGAGCCAGCTGCAGCCTGGAGACTGGATCCAGCAAGACAAAGGTGCGTCTTACTCCACCTCCCTTACTCACAGGCTGCAGGACCCCTTGATACAACATATCGTAATCTCCATCTGTGATTGTTTGCTCAGGTGATCAGAATAAAGAGGACCGCTGGGCTGAGGTGCAGAAGAAGATCACTCCTTGGAGGTTGGGGATCCAGGGGCAGGAGCCCGAGCTTCAGCTGGTTCCTCAGCAGAGGGCTGCTCGACTCGGCAAACTGCACGGGGCCCTGCTGGTGGTAGCCTCACTCATCGACAAGCCCACCAATCTTGGAGGTCAGGATAAGCACTAGTGTGTTGACATAAGACAGATGAGCTTTTACTTAAATCACATGATTGAATAATGCAGCTAAAAGTTCATAATTGAAAAGATGTCATTTTTAGGCCAAGTTTTCTTATGTTTTTATTTCTGTAGGTCTGTGTAGGACCTGTGAGATCTTCGGTGCCAGCGCTCTGGTTTTGGACAGCCTCCGCCACGTCACCGACAAACACTTTCAGTCCCTGAGCGTCTCGTCTGAGCTCTGGCTCCCTCTGCTAGAGGTAAAGAGAAAAAAAGGAGAAAAATAATCTCAAGTTTCACATAATTAAGAGTGATGTACTCCAAGTGTAAAAACTATACATGCACTAAACGGTACAAAACTAATTCATTGACAAGAGGCAAAAATAATCAAACCTAACTAGGCATGAGTTAAACACACATGGACAAAAGCATGATATTGTGAAGAATGTTTACACAATATTGCTCAATATTATCAGCATTATATTAGTATTGGCCAATAAAAGCTTTATAAATAAACTATCAGTACAACCAGATATGAAAGATTCTGCAAATATATATATATCTGCAGATAAAATAAAGCACGTAGCAGATACTATATTCTGTGTGTCAGTGCTCAGTGTTTGTCATCAGACTGTTTGTAGCTCTCAAAATGCCTTTAAAGCATAATTTTACTGTTCAAAATATATATATTTTAGATTAAAATGCTGTTTGTCTTGTTTTATGGCTGTTTTTTCATCTCTGGAGTATTGGCCTGACAAATGTGTAATTTGGTTTGGAAAGCTGAGGAATCACAACTATGATTGAACAGGATTAAAATAGTTATAATGAAGAGGGAGCTCAAGATCAACACCAGAGAAGAGCTAAACTATTTCTGCTGGTGGGTGATTTTTTGTTGTGGCCAAGGGACCGAGATGAGGAAAGTATTTAATTTAGCAAAGACTTTAAGGGTTTCTGTATCATAATTTACTTAAAGGGGTTTATCTTGATTATGGCCATTTTAAACAAATGAAGGTCTTAAAAAGCGAAGGTTCAAAGCTGTCTCCTTAGACCTCAGTTCTCATTTAGAAGTGGTGGTTAAAGCCTTGATCCTTGAGCTAGGTCCCAAAGTAAAACAACTAAGATTGTCTTTTATTCTTTAATCTTTTAAGTCAAAATTTTATATAACTCTTTTTTTTTTCAGGTGAAGCCTACAGAGCTCACTGACTTCCTGCAGATGAAGAAGGGTGAAGGTTACTGTATAGTCGGAGTGGAGCAGACCGCCAACAGTCAGAGCCTCCAGGACTACCAGTTCCCAGAGAAGACGCTGCTGCTCCTGGGGTAGGACAGATTTAGCTCCTAATTTTTCCATTAGCGCGGTAACCTGTGCAGCCAGCTGTGCATAAATGCACGCAGGCCTCCGCTGTCCCGCGCCCTGGTGGCTTTCAGGTAGATTAAAGGTGCAAGCTGACGAGGCTGTTTAACATTATCTCTGAGTGTTTCCCAGTGAGCGCTGCAGTTCTGCTCTCAGTGGAGTGGACGTGTCGGGGCATGCTGGGCTGTAATTGGCTCTCCCTGAGGAGGAGAGCACAGGAAATGAATTACACCACACAATACCAGCAGTGTGATGACAGCAGCACAAAGACCTTAATCTTCATCTTGTGTGCTTTGAGTTGCTAATATTACACCTGTTTCATCAACGGGGTCAGTAAGAAACTTGAATGCTTTTTCCTGTGTTTATTTCTGACAGGTTTGCAGCCGTGCACGATGAATTAAACTCCCAGAAGAGCCATACTATTATTGCGACGACAATAAGATATATAGAATAGCAGCACAAGGTTTTTACCTGCAAATTTACACTCCTCAGTCCCTTCCCTACAGACCTACCTCTGCATTCCTGCACACAATCAGGAAACTGTCGCGCTGTTTCTCAAAGTAAATCATGAAACAGAACTGAGACCAGTGCTTGCAGCGTTTGGTGCTCCATCCTGACCTCAGGCTCAACCTGGACTGCTTGGTGGCTCAAGTCACAGAGCTCCTCAGATAAAATCTCTATTAAGAAGTCAATCCACTGAGGAACTGAAGGAGTGTGTGTGCGGTACTCTCCACCTCCTGGTCCCTCATGATGTCTTTTAGCAGAGAAAGTCAGGCTATCTTTGCATTTTAAAATGAGAAATGAATAAATTTCTTAAAGAATTATTCTGTTGATAAGGAGAAGCTTCAGGACTATCATCTGGCACTCTTTCTGGAGCTAAGAATTCAGTTTAAATACCTGTTATTTGGGGCATAAAACATAAACAGGAAAATGCTCTTTTCTCTGTCCTTGGCTCCAGGTAGCGTGCCTGAAGATCTCCCTTGGGTTTCTCTCCAAGTGTTTGTATTTTTTGAGTTTTCAGAAGCACTTGGAGTTAAACACTGGGCAGCCTGTGTCTCCATTAAACCCATTATTGACAAAAGTTAGAGATTCTTTGTGCTGCAGCTCTATTCCTACGGCAGAGGTCAAAGCAGTGCTGATAACTTCCACACTCTGTATGTGAGCTGCATCCTGAGCACCCTCACAGCTGCACTCTCTCCAGCTCAGCACGGCACGGCCCGGCTGTAATCTCTTATCGGGTCTCCATTATCTCACCCGCTGGCACTTCTGATAAGAGTAGCTCATCAGATGGCGCTCTTAAAGGGTAGTTGTGTGGGCTCATTCAACGCCAAACTCATTACCTCTTTATGTTAGCTGTGCATGGTGCATGTTGCTGGATCTTAATGCAAACACTGTTGATTACACATTATTCTTTGCTGCTCATGCAGAGGGTCCTTAAATTCAATTAACAGAAACACCAAATAAATGTTCAGTTTATTGAAATATTGTTCGGGTTCATATGAGGCGCAGCGTGTTTGAATGAAAATAGATTTGTCTGATGTAGGGCTGGGCGATAAAATGATAACAATATCAAAAATTAATTTCCCTCAATATCAATATAAAACATGGTCAATCTGCTTTTTGATAGTCATCATTCTGCCATGTTTTGGTAGACTAAACGCGCAATGCAAAAGGTTACAAACCCTGAGCGGCGAAAGGAGCCCATGGTGCCTGTGCAGCTGAAACAGCCGACCATTCAGTCCACTTTCTCGAGCACAACACTTTACAACAAAACGCCAAAGAGACACAAAGACCTCACAGATGCAGAAGCTTAATGTATTGCAAAAGACATACTACCATTAAGCACTGTTAAATTTCATTTTGTATACCCTGTTTTATCGATATCAACTGATATGAAAAAACTATATTGTGATAAACTTTTTACCATGTCACCCAGCCCTAGTCTGATGTTTTATATTATCTATTTTGTGGTCTCAATCCTCCGTCATATTTTCACACAGCTTAGTCCAAAGAATGGAAACAAGTGAACAACTAGCTCTGTCAAAAGTAACATGATAAAAATGTTAAACGGGACAACTCAAGTTCAGAAATTAAATGTCATATCTTCTTTTCTTTTCTTTTCTTTCAGTAATGAGCGAGAAGGTATCCCCGCGAACTTGCTCCAGCTATTGGACGTGTGCGTTGAAATCCCTCAACAAGGAGTCATCCGCTCTCTTAACGTGCACGTTAGCGCCGCCCTGCTGATTTGGGAATACACTCGACAACATCTCAGCTCCAGTTCAGTTGAAGCGAACTCTAACTGCAGCTGAAGGAGAGGAACCAGCTGACTGGGACACGACCTCTGACCTCCGACTTTGTCAGCCTCTGTTTCGGACTCAGAATGAAATTGTAAACCTCTGAATATGAAGATGTTCCACGGAGGGTTTAATATGTTCAGAAGTCATTAGTGGGCGACCTTTAACGCGCCTTGATGAGAGGCATGAACAGCGATCGGCTCTGGTTATTACATTTAAATATTCCGCTGGGCATGTTGGGATATTAATGAAGGCAATCTCTGTGTCAGCAGAGCAGCAGCATTTATGGAAATTTCCCCCTTTGAGGAAGAAGTGTCATGTTTATGTGAGCAATTAGTTTTTTCCTCAGAACTTCAGGACTGGACTATCATCTTCATCCCCAGGAGAATATTATACGTATTATATTCGAATATATTAAAATGCCTTTGGGAAAAGGCATAATCTTCATTTCTGCATGTTTTTACTGCAACTTTTGGTTTTTTATTGTAAACTTTTTTAATGTGGTTAAATAAATAAGCACTGTCAATGACATATTTTGCATTGCACATGTTTTATTCTCACCCCTGCTCGGGTTTGCACCAACCAAGGAAGCAGTGAAGGAGTTAAAAGAGGTGCTCGTGCATCCTCCCCTCCTTCCCGTTAAAGAGTGAAGCACTTGGTTCACCTGGAGACCGTCCGACCAGAGGGAGAGCAGATGGGAGCACATCTGATCACACTCATTTCTTTTTCCATCAAGTCACTCGTGTACAGGGTCTAAACATGTGAGGACAGTGGCTCTTTGGATGGGACATGGGGCCCGACACGGGGACCTCTCTTCAGGCGGTGTCAGCGCTCAACACGAGCTGGATGGGGGATGCAGAGCTCGGTGTGTCGGGACGGGCCCAGATGGTCCTAGAGATTCTGCTGGTGCTGATGTGTTTGGGAGCCGTGACAGGTACAGGGTGATTGTATTTACCTGATTTTAATACAGTGCCACCTCTACACTTTTTTAATGATTTAAATTTCTTTATTCTCTCATTTTAAAAGAATCCTGACCCAGTTAATTTTCCTTTCCTGTTCCTCTTACTATGATTGCTTCACAAAGTAGTGCACTTCAAAATAAAAGCACAGTTTGACCATGCAGTAAATAGTAATTTAAGCGCATGACAGAAAAAAAGTCAAATTAAAATCATAAAAATAGTTTATGGGGCAGTTTTTGCTCCTAAAAAGTTTCTGTCACAGAGCTGGTGATGTGGATAAATCATAAATTTAAAAATTATTTGAAACGTAAGGTAATTGAGTGTCTTAGTGGAGTTTAGGAATTCATATGACACCCCACCCTTGTCTTGCATTTTCTCAATTTGACTGAATATCGTTCAATATCCTCAATGGATATCATGACAGATTTGTTTTTAATATATATTAAGAGTTAGTAAACTTGAAATGTTAACAATGATTTTTTATCCTGTATGAGAGTTTATTTCACCTGTGTTTTAAGTCAGAGTCATTACACAGACCCTGCTAACAGACAAGGTTGTATATTTGAAGGAACGGTCTTAATTAAAATCTCAGAAACCCTTTTGTTAATTTTTGCAATATTTTACAACCATCAAATTGATGCCTGGTAATAATAATGTCCATTTAAATAAAGTCCATTAGAGAGAGAGGAGAGGCAGCAGCTAAAATGAAGTGTTTCAGACAGAGGCTAAAAAAAGATATTTTGATACACCAGAGTAAGAAACACAAGGTTTTTTTAAAATCTGTAAATCATGTGAAGAGGGATCCGAGAGGAGGTATAGTCAAAAATCTTTGTGATATCCCATCTTTAAATATGATAAATATGTAGGGTTAAAGAGAGACAGCTTTTGTATTAAAAATGTTGAATGCATACGCAGCGAGACTGTCTCTTCCTCATGTTAGACTGATATTTGCACGAGTGTTCAATGATTTGCAATCTTGGTTTAACTGTTTTGAAGTCCTGAAATGTAAAAAAATCAACATTTCAAAGTGCCAGCTAGTCTTGATTTTGTCTCCATTTAGCTGAATGTGCTAACTGTGCAGTAATTGTGTGTATTTCTGTGTAGGTAACATTCTTGTCATTGTCATTGTGGCTGCAACCAAGACTTTCCACTCGGTGGCGTCAGTGCTGATCATGAACCTGGCCGTCAGTGACCTCCTGGTGGGCGTGGGAGTGATGCCCTTTGTAGCTTTGTCCATCCTGAACCGTGGGTGGGTGGATTTTTCTGTGAGTAACCCCTTTTTTGTTATGTTTTGTTTTGTTTTATCACTGGATTACTCATGGTTCAGCTTGAACACTCTTATCTTTGAAAACCAGTGTTCAGACCCCCAACCTTGCTCCCTCAAAAAGGATTATACAGTTAATTTGAAATCCTGCTTCTGTTGCAAGATAAAAACCAAATCTTTATTTTAAGAAACACATTAAAAAATTGATGGAAATCCTTAAATACAACTTGACAAATGAAACACAGAGCTGTTCTTTTCTGTCAACTGTAATTATGCATGCTTTTTTTTCTCGCCACATGCCGTATTGAATCACATGCTGCAGGCGAGCTAGTGAGCGAATCAATAAACCAGCGGAGTCTTTAAATAAACAAACCCTAGAAACATCCGAATAACAAAATCAATGTATTAAAGCCGCAGTGGGATACTGGTGAAGTATCATCATCTGTAAATCTGAGTATTTCAAATGATAATGTTATATATAACTTATTTATACCTGTAGCTGTGTTTGACCGGAATTAACTAGTTAGTTTGTCTGTGTGCATTATGCATCTTTGTACCACTCTTTATCTTAAGTTATCTTTTTTTTTTTCCATTATGTTTTATATTTTGTATCCATTATAACTGTGACCAGCTGAAGGACTGTAGATGTAAACCAGCTTTAAAGAGGAGGTGTTACAATATTTAAGATCAACATGGAAGTCGATCCTAAATGTGACCAAAGTTTCAGACTGGGAGGTAACGGTGTGTTAGTGTTGTCCTAAAATGAGACTGCAGGCTGGATGAGGATTGTGTGAGAAGGATAAGAGATATGCTTAATTTGTGACATCATTAATTGGTAAAAGAGTGTAACTGGCACAATACTTACCTGGGTCCAAAACATAAAACCATATTTCATTATTTATCATCTTAAATTGACCAATTTAACCTTGTTATCTAAATCAAGTAGTGATTGACCTTTTTTCAGTGTCTGATGCAGATTTGTGTCTTTTTTTATGTGTGTTTGATAAAAACAATTTCATACCAATACTCACTATTCCATGCACATCACACTTACTGCATGGTTGTCTTGGCCAGTAACTACAGAAGAGGATTAGGGTCACTGGAAAAAAAGGTCCAATATAATAATTCTGACTTAAATCTCAGAATTTTGACTTTTTTTCTCAGAATAACAATTAAAACAAATGATACAGGACCTTTTTTTTCACAGTGGCCCTAATCCTCCTTGTAAGTAACTAAGTTTTGAAATAGAAAACTACACTTAGTTATGGGACAGGCGACTGAATTTCTATTATACACCCACCAGTGTGTGTTTTACATCCGATATCCTGTCATTTCTGTTACATTTGAGGAGATGTTAAAACTACTCGGAGGCGGCCACACTGACAACGCTGTTTGCAGTGTCTGCACACAGTTATCATTATTATTTTTTAATGCTGTGTTTTTTGGGGCATTTTTTGCTTTTATTAGATAAGACAGCTGAAGAGAGAGAGGAAATGGCATTAGCTGGCCCAAGTCTATAGCTTGAGGCAACAGTGGAAGAGGCTGCTGGAGTGCTGGGGGTGGTGGAGAGGAGGCCTTAAAGTAAACGACTAAAATAAGCGCTTTTGAAGGCATTGGCCTGTTTTGCACTGTGTCTTATATAAAGAAGTGCATTATGAAGGCTGAAAATGAGCTTTATACCTCATCAGGTAATTGTTGCAATAAATCAGTGGTAGTATTAGTTTGAAAAATGTTTACAAATAAGCTGAAAAGATGTCTAGATGCACCTTTCTCCCCTCTGATCCTGAGTGAAAACATGTGCTGAGATTGTCTCTCTGTCTGCAGGGCCTCTGTCTGTACGTGGGTTACACCTCCTCCGTTTACTGCACAGCCTCTGTTCTGACATTAGCTGCCATCGCCCTCGATCGTTACCACTCCATCATGGACTGCCTGCGCTACAGCTCCCGCTGCACCCCGTGGAGAACCTGCGCTGTGGTGATGTGGATCTGGCTGCAAGCTCTGCTCACCAGCTGCCCTCCCTTGCTGGGCTGGAGCTCCATTAGCTATGTGGCTCCCATGTACAGCTGTGCAGTCAAATGGTCCAGCAGTCCAGGCTACACGGCTTTCATGGCTGCCCTCTCCTACCTCATACCAGCAGGGGTTATCCTCTTTTGCTATGTGAACATTGTAAAGGTGGCGCGCAACCATGCAAGGAGGATCCATTCACTGGAGGACTCTGTTCAGCGCAGCAGGAGTCCAGACTCTGCCCTCTCTCATGGTAATTCATCTCACCTGCGCTGCCCCTCCAGGCTGGTTTACCATCTAAGTGGGGAGTTTTTGTCTGAGGTCAGGAGGGAACAGGGGACTTATATCAGCTCTGCTCTCCCTGACACTGCAGCAGAGCAGAATAATTCAACATCCAGACGGTTGTTCTCCTTCCTGGCTCAAACCACCTCTCAGCAGCATAAAAATCACCACGGCGTGCTGCGACTCCTCCTGGTTGTTGTAGCCTTCTTCCTCTGCTGGACGCCTTTCATAGGTGTGGCGTTGGTCCAGGCTACGGAAACGGCAATCTCAGGCCGGTCCAGCCTCGTCCCGCCTTCTGCTGTCACCTTTTCATACCTGCTTGTGCTGCTGAACTCTGATATCAATCCTCTTTTGTATGCTCTGCTCAGTAAGCGTTTCCAGGGCGCCCTCAAGGGACTGAGGCAGAAAATCGGAGCTCGTCTGGGGATTTTTGTGGGCAGTGAAGGGGAGCTGAGAGCGGAGGAGGATGCTGGAAGGAACAGTGATCCCAACTCCCTGACCACCACCAACCTTGGTCCACAGTCCTGGTCTGAGACTTCAGTCTGTGATGTTTACTCCTCTGTTTTTACCGTCAGCGCTGACTTCAAACAGTACTCAAAGGAGCATCTATGCAAACTGTGCCACCATGGAAATGTACCACCATCCTCTGTGATGGAACAAGACACGACGGGCAAATATACCAGGGTGGACTGCCTGCAGGTCCCATCTTGACCACAAGAGGGCAGCAGACTACCTTTCTCTGCTCTAACTCAAGAGCGTCAGGCCACTTTCTTCTACGGACAGATTACTGTGAGGGTGGAGCATGATGTTTGTTAGACCATCCTCACAGATTAATAGGAAATCATTATCATCTATATTCATTATTGATCTGCCAAACGCTCTCTCAATTCATTTCTTCTGATGAATTGTTGATAAAGTCAAACCCTAGCCACCATTGGCCTTATTTTGTCGGACCCGTGTAGAAAACTCAACTTCCCTGTTAACAAAGACATTAATAATATAAATATAAATTTTTAAAAAAGTTTTCAGAACTTCACCCTCAGATAACTGACTTAGCATCATTTAGCTAAAAAAATGAGATGAATTTTCCAATTTCTGATGTTATCCAATAGATTTTCCAGATAATGCAGTAAAATAAAAGCTGACTTAAAGTGTGAGAGGCTGAAACAGTCGACTGTTATATCTCAGCTTGAGATACAACCCTGATTCTTTAAGAGTGAAAAATACACAAACCATTTGGTGCCTATATTTAATTGAAGATAGTGCAAAGACAATCTATCAAATGCTGAAATTAAAAACATTGATCGTTAGATAATGAAATCCCCAAATTCCCTGTAGGAGCATTATTCTGAAACGGTTTAACTATTAGCTCACACAGTCTCTCGCAGAGATTAGCTTAACTAGAAAGATTTCAATCTAAACATCTGATATGTCATCTTTGCACAAATTTTAACTAAAAATAAGGTTTTAAATCATTTGCAAACTATCAAAATCTATTTTTATCAACATGTTACATCACTTCCCAAATTTTGGGGTTGCACATTTAAGCGAGTGATATCCCACTAAATCATAACAGTCATTAACTAGATTGTCTTGCTGGACTTTTTAAGCTTTTGTGTGACCAAAATGCCGATAAGAAAACAAGCCTGGACAAGGAAATGTACTGAAAAGAAATTTTTTATATAGTACATGTGATTACACTTGAAGACACCCAGCAGTAAATCTAATAAACCCGTCTTTTATTAGCGCTCTAAATATCTCTTCCTCAATTGTGATAATCATATGTTGCATCTCAGTGTAAAAATCATCATTCCTTACAAAGGTTTACATTTATGTCTAGCAATAATTCCAGAGGAATACAATATAATTATTTATTGTCATAGAGAATGACAATGGGAAACAGTGCTGATGTACTCTATTGCAAAGAAACAAAGAAAAGGCAGTGAAGTGGACCTGTCAGCTGTATCTGCTCGTACAGTATGTGCATGCTCCTCCTGCAGATGTCACTCACTGTCCCCTCCAGGTTAGTAAGCAACCAAATGCACAAAAAGAAAAAACAGAAGTAGAAAAGTAGTCCAGAACGAGATCCCTCACCAAAAAAATGCAACGTAGTCAGATGGGTAAGAAGAAGAAGGGTAGTATTAAAGAGTCAGTCTGCAGCAGTCTGTGGTGGCACTGTTAAAATCAGATAGCGAGCGTGTGTGTGTGTGTGTGTGGTCGAGTGATGTTCATACATTCACAACAAGGCAGAGTTTCCACCGGTCAGTTTCCAAGGCGCGGGCCTCTTTTACGCTCAGGTTCATCTCTGTTGACGTTAATTTGCCAAAGAATGTAATCTATGAAAACAAATACAGATGTCTGATAAAAGTACAGATGAACAAACTGCATCATTAACACAAAACAGCCATTTTCTTCTGACGTTATGCTCAGGATGGGAAGATCAGACTCTATGTACCCTCTGATGAGTTTTCCACATCAGTAAAAGCAGTAAATCTATCAGTATGTCAGAAAAAAAATAGTTTTATATTATTTAAATGGTACTGCAGCAGCTGCGGTGGTGGTGGTGCAGTGGTTAGGATTGTTGCCATGCAGCAAGAAAGTTCCTGGCTCAAACTCTGACCTGGCAGGAGTCTCTCTGCGTGGAGTTTACTCCTGTACTCTGTGTCTGCAGAGCCAGAAGCTGCAGTTCAAGGATCATAACTCTGAGACTGCACCTCCTGGACTGAGGCCTGCTAGACTGGAGCAAAAATCATAATCACAGTCATTTTGACTGACATTGAAATCGGTATTTAAAAGTGGTTACCCATGATTTTAACATCTGCATCACATGCATTTTATCCACTTAAAACAAATATTCTTAAGTCTCTGAAAGATTAAGTAAATGATGAAATCAACTGTTTTGGATTTTTGTTCTCTGTCTAAGTGGATGATATAAATTTCATATGTACAATTACAATAAAAAGGGACCATGCAACAATTCTACACTTTAAGAGCTTTAAATTGATTTTGGCGATAATTCTGACTAGATTAAATGTCAGATTTTACTTCTAGTTAAGTTTTTCTACAATGTGTCATCAAAAATAGGAGGATTTGACTTTATCACAGGCTGCAGATTGAACAAACGTTTACATAACGTCCTTCATAATGTTAACATCAGGCTGAAAAGTGTTTGATCGCTACAGTCTTTCCTTTGGCTTTTCAGGCACAAACAGATTCACACCCCTGCCGCCTCCTCCTCCTCCCTTCTGCTCTTCTCCCTGCTCTCCTCTCTCCACCTGTTGCTGCACGATAGTTTGTTGTCTCCCGGTCTGCAGACACTTGCTACTCAGAGTTTGCACCTTCTCCCTTTGCATGCATTGGCTACTGGGACTGATGGTGTGAGTGAGTGGTCGTTTATTTCTATGTTAGCCCTGTGATTGACTCGTGACCTTCTTGGATTTGCTCTAGCACCCTTGCTACTCCCAGACAGATCTTGCAGCTGTGAAATTTCCCCTGGTTTGTGTTCTGTTGCGTCTCCAGCCCTTCATGCAACAGAGGTTGTCAACCATGAATCTTTTGAGACTTAGAGACTGCTGTTGTATTTTGTGAATTTAGTCCATCGTTGATCTTTGTTGTACGGTTCCTAATAAATCCAGTGGATGCTTGTGTTTTAAGGGTTTTATTTGGTCTGTTTTAGGATTTGTTGTTTGCAAACATTGAGCCCAGAAGAAGGATGGTCTCAACAGTGTTTTATCTTCCCATCCTGAGCATAAAGTCAGGAAAAAAAGGCCGCCATGTGAATATAATCAAGTCTTTTTTGTTAGCGTACCTGTTCTCCAGGTTTCCATCTATTATCTGTTATTTTAGGAGAGAAAACAATTAAACTAATAAATGTTGTAAATGACAAATGACATTAAATATGATTGGAGTTCAGAGGGAGGCTCAGCGACAGCTCTGATTGAAGTTGTTAAAGGGGTTTTTCATGAAGCCTGTCTCTTATGTAAGAGTGCTTTTAGTCCATCAAAAGTCTGGGGCACCTGAAGCATTAATTGTGAAAGTGGGTATAGATTTAGACAGGTGAATAAAGTCACAGCTAATGCATGTAGATACATGTGTTACCTGTATTGCTTACTTGGTGAATGATAGCACTGTTCAGTCAGTGTCTTGGTTCGAGAATATGCAGGAAAAAAGTGCTGCATGGATGGACTGAAAGCACTCCTCGATAAACAAATCTCAGCCCTCTCATGCATTGATAACTTATGCAATAGGGATACTGGTGATAAATCTATCGTGACTCATCTGTGGGCCTGAGCTATGGGTGTCAGCGTTGACATAGTGGGAGTTTAGCCACAGGAAAACACATAACCACAGGGGGGAGCCAATCACTGTGATCGACAAAGACCTGACCTCTACTCTCAGGAGGAACAGAGTGAGGCGTCGTGAAAGCTTGTATTTGATCCTCAGATGTCCAGACAGGTCCCCTCGCGCCAGATGAGCCCATCGGGTCACAACTCCAGGACATCAGAGGTGTGAAAAAACAGCTATGTACAGTGCATGAAAGGCAGGTATTTGTCATTAAGTTAAACCTGAAGGCGGCCTCAGTTGACCTCCCCTTTTGTTCTCAGGCATTCAGCATTTTTAGGCATTCTTCTTTGGATCTTAAAAGGTGTGTAAATGTGTACAACAGCGAGTCCACGTGGTGTCTGTCTCTTTTTTTCTCAGAGCTGAAAAAGTCAGGCAAGTTGGCAAGTCTTCCCAGGCGTGAGGATATGTGAATGGAATGATTACGAGGTAACAACGCAAACTCAAAACATGATTGGATCAGTTTGACCTGATCGTGTTTCTTTTGGTGAAGTAGGAATTCGATGATATGAGTCCATGCACCAGCTCGGATAACTTCAGAGTGGATGGACGCCAAATGAACGGCACAGTCTGTTCCTCTTCCTTCTCCTCCCTTTGGCTGACACGTAACTGACCAGAGAACAGTCTGTAATACTGTTTTCTCTCAGGGAGCTGCAGGCCAAATATCCCAACATAAACAGAGAGCTGTTGAGTATCCCCCTCCCTGCGTTTGTCTGTTTGCTTCGTAAAACTTCTCGGAGTCAATGTGCAAATGTAGACATAGACGTCCTGGTTCTGCCTCTCCAGTTGAGCCCAGTGGTGGCCCCCGCTTCACTGCTGCCCTCTGCTGGTTCGTCACGTTTGCGTAGCTTTGTGCTGAGCTGGATGATGCACTGATCCCAGTCCTCTGGTAACAGCAGCATGAGGAAACCCAGGCAGATGATAAACACCGCGATGAGGCGCACCGTGTTGAAGTGAATTTCACATGTGTAGAGGTCCACCACTGAAAGACGATGAGAGGAGATGTTAGTTTAGACTCGTTTCTAGTTTATCTTTCATGTTATGCTTTGTTGAAGTCTGGTTTTATCTCAGAATACCAGTTCTTCCAATGTTTCTATATCAGCGGCAACCAAATTGGTTATTTATCTACAGTTATTTTTATGCATGTAATCACTGCCCCAGCAATGTGGTTGCCAAAACAGCATTTATCCACATTTTCCACTGTGAATATAACCAGTGATTAAAATATTTGTCTGCCAAGAGAAAGTAGGAAATCTGCAACCAAATGTGAGGTACCATGGGAGGGTGCCAAAAGTGACACAGTCGCAAAGTCTGAGTCATACTGGGCCAAGTTAGAAAGTTTCCTAACTGAGTTAATTGGCCTGGTTGTCATTGCCTCCTTCCTTCACTATCTCCTTAAACACAGGATACACTGGACCCTCCTTTAGTACCCACAATTCTTTGCAGTGACAATATTCAAAGTGATGTCCCTCTCATAATTGAAAGTTGATTTGATTCACTGGATTAGACATTTAATCGAATTTGATCTCTGTGGTTACATTTAAGAGGAGTGACAGAAAGAGTGATATTCTCAACCTGCCAAATATTTATATTCGTATTTAAAGCTTTACTTTCAATCTCAAATTAATCAACCAGAATATTGATCAAATATTTTACATATTAATGCAATTAAAAGTTTAAAATGAATATAAATGAATATAGTGTGTTAATTTGCTATAGCAGTACCTTACATGCTGCTTATAAGCTCATTTTAAGACAGAGCCAGAGTAGACTGCACTAATAATCATATTAGAAAAATACAAGATAGAATAAAAACAAAATAGAATAACCTTTTATGGGTTTACATTTGCAATTGATCCGGAGAGGATGACACTGTAAATACAGTAGGCTTCAAACATTAAAATAAGAGGTTAAAGATCATTGATTAGATTAACTGAAGTGATATGAAACTACAGACTGTCACGGTGTCCCCATTCTGGTTTCAACCCTTTAAATGTTCAACAATGTCATGTTAGTTACTGAGTTTTCATAGTATATGTAGCTGCATGCTGTTAGTAGTCTATCTGTAGTAAATTGTAGTTTTTTACAGAATAATCTCATACGATCTGTTACATCACTGCTGCTGTCTTTTCCCAATAACTGTGACATTTCCAGTCAAGGTCAAGGAAAATGATTTCTTTTTGCACAAACTGTTTTCTGGTGACCGTAAAGTTGCAAAAAAAGTTTAAGGGAGTTTTGTATTTTTGATCATCTCGCTCTTCTACAACGAACCTCTCCATTGAAGCAATCAACAATTTAGTCCAAACCCCGTCTGCATTACACTGTAGTTGAATTTCTTGATAATTCTATGAATAAACAGGTTTTATATGTCAAATCTAAACAATAAATGTGCAAATTTGTGAAGAAATAAACACTGTTGGTCTGTATTTTCCAGAAGATACCAGAAATTGTTGAAGGAGAAGTATTAAATATGAAGGACTTTGGAGGAATTTTGGTGCCTTTGAGTGTTCAATGCTGACTGGATCTAAAAAGTCATTTAATTCAATTATTTGTGCAAGAAAGCCGAGACACTTACTGGCATTCACAGGGACACTTAAGACAATGCCAAGGGAGATTAGTGTTGGGTACGTTATGGCAATGCCAAAGTTCACCAGGATGTTGAACGCTGTAAAAAGATGCACAAAGAAGCAGGATGTTAAGACATTATTCAAATACTCCTGTACTATTTTTATTGTCAATTTTCCTCCATATAAAATCACTCCGCACCAAAGAGCAGGGCTGCGACTCCACAGAGGTAGGCCCAGGGGATGTCTGCAGGCGTGCCGATATACTCCACCCGTGTAAAATACAGGATGACTGGCACAAAGCTGACGAAAACAAAGTTTGCACTCCCTACGATGCTGAGAAAGAGCGCAGCCTCCCCGAATTTGGCACTGCCCAGGACCATCTTGAAGAGCACCTGAAGATAAACAAGGAGGGAGTAGCTTTGATGAATGCTCAAAAATCTGCCCCCTCATGGAGCAGAAGGATAACGCAGAGGCTGCACCTGCCAAGCACCTGTCATGTCTCTGGCAAAGGGCGGCTGCTGTCTGTTTATCACATTAGGCCGTACAGACAGCAGGGCAGCGAGGAGCAGCACCCCGTCAAAATAAAGCTCTCTGTCCCGTAACCTTCTCGATCAGGACATCACAGCCTGAGGCCGGCAACCAAACTCTCACATCGCACATTTCTGTCAGCTAAACGTCAAAATCTGCTCTCTAATCCACATGGTTATATAACTGGGAGGAAGCTGGTGTGACTAGTGAACTTATAATACATTCAGTCTATTACAATCGACAAAGCTTGTTAAATTCCTGGTGTTTAAATCAGTGGAAGGAGTAATAAATAAATAATCCATAGAATTATTTCATACCCCTGAATTTGTTCTTCATTTTTCTCAAACTGTAAAAAAGTTAATCAGGGATCTGCAGAGTGAGATTAATTTGGGAGCTTCAGATAAATGACTTCTGCAGCCGGGAGATAAACAGAAGTAAGCCAACCTGATTACAAATGTCCCAATGCAATCATAATACTAATACCACTTTTGTTTTCTTGTATTATTTTAGCTGTTTTTCAGATTTCTTATGACTTGACTGTCATTACTTACCAACATATACAGGGGTGTGTCCAAAGGATGGCCAGGGGTGGCTTAGGCCTCTTTTAAAATCTGATTGGCCATCCCTGGTGCTACCCAACATGCTTAAATCTAAAACCTATGGTTGTCAAAGCCAGTTACATGTTTTATATGGATTTTCAGAACCTGTAGCCATGGCAACACTATCAACCGTGGTATTGAAAAAAATATCCGTACCAGTGTCATTTTTTATTTAAACAAAAACACCTTTAAATCGACATTTAGGATCATATATTTACAACTTTAGTCAGTAGTTGTCTAATAGGCAGGATAATATGTGGTGAACATTGGAATTATGTTGTGTACCAGTTGTACTCTGAAGTTGGGATTTCCGAGTCGGAAATTTGGACGATCCTCGCCCACCCCCGACTTGACGACACCATCATAATTTAAGATGGCAGCGCAGTTTATCGACATTAAAGATTAAAAGCTCTGGTGTTTGTAGGAGTAAAATACTGTGTTGTGCGTTGTTTACAACTGGTATCACGACGCTAACAACAGCTGACAACCGCTAACAACGACTGACAACGGCCAACGACAGCTGACAACTGTAAACAACAGCTAACAACGGGTAACTGTAGGCATCCACCTTGGTTTTCCAACTTGTTTACTGGATCGCCGTCAACTCAGGTCTAACGTCATTCCCATCTCTGACATCCAACCTCCGAGGTAACTGGAACGCAGCATTAGAGTCCCTTCAAGGTGAGCTATACCGCCCTGTTTGAGTCAGGGTCTAGTCTAACCCTTTAGGGTATCTAATGTCCCTACAAGGCTAGACTAGAGGGAGACTTGTTGCATGTTTGAGTTTATAAAAAGTTTATGTGCAGGAATTAAACATTTGTGTGAAACTGAAAAGTTCAGACTAAAGCAGACATGATCATTCGAGATAAAAAGGGCACACAAAGGCAAACATCGGTAAATTCCCTATTCAGAGGACACTAGCATCTGTAGGAGCAAGGCTATTTGTCTGAATATATTTGTGTTAGTCCCACTCAAAATAAAAGAAGGTCAGGATTATAGTGTGTGAGTTCAGTAATGTGGTTCTTCAAGTGTATCAAATGAAAACAAATACCTTGTAAAGCGCCGACATTGAAGCAGAGGCCACAACCAGAGTAATACCGATGACTGAGTGGCTGTGGAACCCATCAGCATAGGTCATCATTACAATGCCTGCTATGGCCAAGATAGCAGCTACGATCTGTGGAGGGGAAAAGAGAGAGAGAGAAAGAGAGAAGGGGGGATCAGCGAATGACGGATGGTCCACATGCTGCTCACAGTGCGGTGATAAAGACGCCCGAGCCTTCACTGCTGTGCTGGGACGCAGCAGGCCCACATGGCCCACTCTCACAGAAATCACAAGCCTTACGGGACATGATATAATTAGTCTGTGGGTTTTCTTTTATAGTCGGTGTCTGCAGGCAAACACAAGCATGTAGACTCACCGAATGATCACAGATTCACACAGCATGTGCTTCCAACACAGGACAGGCAGCCTCTACAGCACTGGGGCGGCTGTCTGACATTGATTTTCTTTACTCTGCCATCGTGTTTACAAACCTAACACACTCCTTCAGTCCAGCAACCCCCACCTCTTACACCCACTCCCACTCCCTATCTCTGCCATTATCAGAGCTTTAAGTGGCACCATCCCAGGTCTTTCATCCCACTCTCCCACAATGCATCCCCCAAGAATCTGAGCCAGCATCTTTCATCTTCACTTAAAGGGATAGTTCTGATTTTTTGATGTGGGGTCGTACTCACTGTGTGTTTATTCATTGTCTATTATCTTTTAACTGATCTTGTCCTGTTTGCATGTCATTGATTCTTTAACAAATAATTCATTATGCCTTTTTTTAACAGTAAACTGTGTCACTCAGCAAGAATCACTGCCATAGAAAATGAGACAAAAGGCTATTTTGGCGGGACGCAGTCAATCGTCTGATACCTACCCTGAGGCTACAGTTTATCACTTACAAGAAACAAATACTCCAGCTTCAGGCACTGTGTAAAATTTAAGTAAATCCACAATTACATGGTTTGCAAATCCATGAAAGCATTCAGTATCTTATTACAACCATGCAAAGATAATTCAAATGTCAAGGCTGAAAACCGTTATTGTGTTTTTATGCCAGTGCATCGGCATGTTCTAAATTGCTGAGGATGCATGGATAAAACATGAGCCCATGCAACGGTTTCCACTCTAGAGTCAGATCTTTTTTTAATGCAGTGCCACTTGACAGCTCTGATAATCACAACCATCCAATGTTGGTTAACACGCTTAGCATAACATACGAAAGATGATGAAATTCCCAAATTCCTCACAGTGTAAACTGAGGAAAATTATTCTGAAATCGTTTGCTCGCCCCTGCAGAACATTCTGAGATCATAACAGTGACCAGGACACTCTTGATGGAGCCACTTCGAATAAAAACAAAGATAATCTTGATATCTTAAAAAAGGTTTGAATTCAGGTTTGCTCACAACTCCATGGATCAAAACACCTGATGAAAAATGGTGAACTCTGCAGAATTGCAGAACTTCTGAGGTTGGGGGACAACACAGTGCCAAAGGCTGTGGAAGGATGCCTAGCCCTTGTTCACACTTTAAAAATATGGAAGGTCCACACAAATGATCATTTTGACAAGCTTTGCTGGTTGCAGGTCTGGGTTGCAGCTTCATCATGACACAAGTGTAACACAAGTGTCACCTAAGTGTAACAAAAACTGGTCTGAGACTGCTCAAGTATATATAGCTGCCCATGTTTCCAAACATTTCGCTTGCGTCTTGTTGACCTAAAGGAGAGTCCATGTAGGGTAATAACAAAGCACAACATATTTTGGGAGCCCGAGTGATGTTAAACATGGGTATGAGGTCCTTGTTGGGGATAGATGTTGGAGGCCCATGGCTCCAGAAATCTACCACCAAAGAATCAAAGGTATTTGAGTGACACAGCTTCACCGCCCTAAAGGCTGACATGACTGGCTGAAGAAAATCACCCTAACAGGCTGCCTGGAAGCAAATTAAAACTTATAAAACATATATGAATGTAACATAATTTGTTTTCTGCATATTTTTATGGAGGCATCTGAATTCCTGTTTCTGTTCATGTTAGGCTCTGCTCAATTCTGCTGAAAATGTGTGTTCACGAAATAGAAACTCATCATTTGGTTCAAGCATCTTAAAGGGACTAAGGTTTGTTTTGCTGCAAACAACATCCACGTTTGCAGCACATCGCTCAGCTTCTATGCTCCGCTGGCTCCTGCAAACAGGGGCTGTGCTGACTTGCATCAACTGCAGGTAAAACACTGACTTATGACCTGTACCTCACACAACCCCAGTTGAGAAAGCCTGAACTACACCTCTGATACATTTGCAGCACATGTCTCTGCTGAGAGTAAGAGCGCATGTGGACATCGTTGTGTGTTCGACTGATGAATAGGGACAGGGCACAGTCCAGCAGAGTGGATTAGCGCTGCATTAAGGAGGTGTCAGGGAAGATAAATGAGCCGTGTGTTTTTGCTTGGACAAAGCCCCTGGGCGCCTTTGGCAAAGTGGCTCTTTCTGCACTGCAGGCAGGCCGTCACTCACAGAAACACCTTTCATTTTCTGCAGGACTGTTTGCTTACAAGGTCAGTGACCTGGCATGTGATGGGGTTTTGGTTTCTGGGGTTGCTTCAGCACAATGAGAGAAAGGCGCATGACACCTACACACAGAGTAGCTTATGTGATTACAGCGTTTTTACAGCTATGTGACGATTCGGATTAAGCTGCATCTAACTCTTTTTAATGACTGATAAATCCAGCATAGAAACCCAAATAAACAAACACTCTTTTCAGTTTATTTTATAAGCTTACAACCTGCTCTGATGCTGCAGTCTCTACCACACAGAGCCAATTAAATCCCCATATTTTCATTCAGACAATAACCCCAGATTATCGCTGTTTGACAAGAATGATTTTACATTTCCTACCAATCTCTCTCCTCTACTTTACTTTCATGACAAACTCGTGCAAGATCCCCTGCATTGCTGCAGACATCCAAACACTGCAATCCTCACTACCAAGAGAGGGAGAGAGAGAGAGAAGCTGTGGGTGGAGAAGAGAGAGAGAGAGAGAGAGAGAGAGGGAGAGAGAGCAGAAATATTACAGTATTTGTCTCTCACCGAGGCCTTTCATCATAGATAATGGGGGTGGGGAATAGGGGCATGCACGTAGGAGGAGATGGGATAGTTGGGAGTGTGTGACGGAAAAAAAATGGGGGAAATTCATCCTGCAGGGTGCAGGACAGCTGCAGATATGAAAGCATCCGAGGAGCGCAGCGAGAAGAGAGAAGATACCTCAATTGACAGAGCTGAGCACGCTCACTCTGCTGCTTTCCTCTCATCATGCAGAAAGAATCAGAGACAAACAAACACTCACAAACACACCAAGAGACACATTTGAATGACACAGCAAGCGCTGGCGGGAAATCACACTGTCACACAGGTAAATTCATTCCAACGCGCTGTGTGTAGCACACACAGTCAGCTGTAAATCCAGTGAGCTACAAAATACCGATCATCAATATTCCTTTAGGGAGAGTAAACCCTGAATCCTTCCTTATGTCTGAACTCATGTGCAGCAGACAGAGTAAACACACTCTCAGAAGCAGCTATCTGAAGCTGACAATAGAAATGAGTCTCCTGCTGCTTATGTTGCAGTTTTTGCTCATCAAAATGTCATTCTTTAGGCATCTCCAAATGCTTTTACATTGTGGAGGGGTGCAGGAAGAGTAGACAGGCTAAAGCAAATTAAATTTAACGCCCATACTGACATTTGGGGATTGGATGAGAAGAAGGTAATCGGCTGAGCTGTCAGCTGTTATGGGCTGGCACTGGGATCATCTGATGTACTGTGAGCTTGACTTTGTGGCCTGCCTGAACTCAGACTATGTTCAATAGTGAACTGACAACAGTGCAAACACAACAAACTAAGTGTAGAAAATGAAATTTTATTGCTATAGGACAAATATATGCTCATACAAAATTTCATCAATAACATGTTTTTTTTTTTAATTTTGAATGTTTTTACATTTTTGTCTATATTTTTGTACTATACTATGACATTTTTATTTTACTGTAGTAAGACATTTCTATCATTTTTATCATAGTACTCTACAACTTTTTTTAACGTAGTACACTATGACAATTTTTTCATCCTAATTTTATTGTACAATACTATTACAATGTTGTGTCACAACACAATGATATTATTTTATATTAAAATTAGAATTTTTTATTGAATTTCATTTTATTACAATTTCATTGTACTATACTATGACATTTTTTTTGACCTAAAATGTAAAACTTTTATCATATTATCCTTTGACATTATTTTCATACTGTACTATCATATTTTTCAAATTAAAATTATAATTTTTTATCATACTATCATATGACATTATTTTCATACTGTACTATCATATTTTTCTTTTTTTATCATTCTATACTTTGATGTTTTTATCATACTATGCGATGAAATAAAAAATTCAACCAAAATTTTCAAATTTTCATCATACTTTACTATGATATTTCTGAACAACAGTATGATGATTTTTACATTTTAAAATTTAAAATTTTTACCTCACAAAACTATGTCATTTTTATCATACTGTACTATGACATTTTTATCATACTGTAGTATGACATTTTAACATACTATACTATGACATTTTTATCACACTATACTATGACATTTTTATCACACATTACTATGACATTTTGATCATACTAAACTATGACATTTTTTATCATACTATACTATGACATTTTTTATCATACTATACTATGACATTTTTATCACACATTACTATGACATTTTTATCATACTGTTCTATGACATTTTTATCATTTTATACTTGGAAATTTTTTTAACAAAGTACACTTTGACACCTTATAACAGACAAGAGAGCAGATCGGGCCTACTGTATACACCTCCACTAAAGCACAGCAAGAGAGATTAAGCACCCTAAAGGCAAGTGAAGGTTACTCTGTTATCTCCTTCTGCACAGTCTGCCTTTGCTGCAACACTGTATTTAAGTTGCAGTGATACACCGGTGAATCAATACACGAGATGGCATTGACTTCATACATTAAATGCAAATTGAAAAAGAAGCACAGCAAAAACATACAGCACAGCAGAAACACTTTAGTCTGTGCTCATACTGATGGTTTCTGGTTGTGACCCTTCAAAGGCGATGTGATAACTGATAAGATAGGAAGAGAGAGAGAGAGGGCGACACCTCTGCTAAAGGTCAAATCTGTTTGACCTTTATGTAATGTTAACTTTCTCTTGTTTTGACTGGAAAACAGCCGTAACCTCCCCAGATGTCAGTCAAATCAGCTACACCTCTTCTTATGCTCTTATCAAGCATAACTTTCAACCTTTATATGATCAAAACAGAAGAGTTATCAGGTAATTTCAGCCTCAAGAAGTTTTGATGAGTGCAAAACTGAGGCCAAACTTGCAAAACAGTTTTTCTACCAGGCTGTAAACATGTTTATTCCTGCTGTAAAATATGTTTTACGTTCCATTATATGGGCTCAGATGGGGCCTTACAAAATTTCAGAGCCAGCCTCAAGTGGACACTTAAGGAACTGCAGTTTTTTGCACCGCTATCTGCAGCAGTCGACGTGAATTTCCCCTGTCAACTGAGGTACACACTTTGAGATAACTATCCTCATTCCTTCCTTGCTTCGACATAAGCAAAGAGGTCAGATTGTCCGATCAGAGCTGAAGACCATCAGAGTCCCCTAAGTTGAAATCTTAAATACTAAACATGTTCAATATCTACGGTCAGAGATCCTTACCAGTGTGGCGAACATTGGAGACACTGCACTCTGTCGGTCGTCAAGAGGAACAAAATGATAGCCAATCAGGAGGAAATACAAATGTAACCATGATAGCAGTAGTAAAAAGAAATGAACTGTCTTTATAACTAATCCAATAACACCAAATCAATGACTGCAGTTTTGTTCGCCATTATGTAGTTTATTTCAGGTGAAAGCCGGCTGAGATGTAGCCTGAAGGCTAAATCATTAATTTTCACCCTCCCTACTTTTTTTTTTTTTTACTCTAATCAAAAACTGCAGCAGCAACATTTTCTCTTTCAGGTGGTTAAAAAAAAAAAGAAACAACAAGAAAACAGAGACAAACAGACGCTGGCAGATGAACTCACCCTGACCCCCATGAAGCGGTCTCTGAGTACAATCCAGGACAGCAGGAAGACGAAGGCCTTGTTACAACAGAAGAGTGCTGACACGTCTGTTGTGTTGATCTTCCTGAGAGCCTGCAGGTACAGGTAGTTGGTGAGGATCCACAGCAGGCCGAAGGGCGCCACCTTGGTGAAGAACACCTTGGGTGTAAGGCCGTCGTCTCCAAAAAACCGACAGCACTCCCTACGACACAGAGACAATGAGGCGAGCAGCGTTAGAAGACTGAAAGTCATTTAAGATTTGATGGATATCATTATAGTGTGGGAGATTTTAATCAATATTTATGAATATAAATGGCTCCATCTGAAATAATGCTACCTGAGGGACCAGGGCTTTTAATCAGTGATCAGTAATGAGCGTACGAAGTAATTCCCATTTTAACAGTCACATCTTAATGATTATTGCATTGCAGTGCACGTGGGAAATCGACTATTGAAGGAGCGAATAAATATTTACAGAAATAATCAGATCTGCCACAAGAAAGTGAAGTTAGAGGGGAGATAGAGTTCAGATGTTTCTCTGCATAAAACTTAACTATTGATCTCTCCCTCAGGCCTTTTTTTGATCCGTCTCTGCCAGTTTCTGCTGCACAGTTTGAGTTTAACTGAGGGCAACACTGAAGAAGATACAACACATTTATAAAAACAATGTAGAAGAGATTCATTTGGAAAAATTCAACAAATATATCCCTCTTTTGTTTCCCTCCTCTTCTCTGCATTGTCAGAAAACTCAGAGTGCTCATTTTCTGGGTATAAAGTTCCATATGCGTGTTGTGCTGGAGGCGTGTACAGCTTAATATTTTATGAATACAGTTGGGACGCACACAAAACAATCTGTTTTCAGGACTTATGCATGTGTTAAATATCATGACTCAGAACAAAGGGAGGCACAGGCTGTACCCCATGAGCTGACTTTTTATTTATGTCCTTTGCTGTTTCCTGAAATGCTCACTAGCTGCAGTTTTTATTCTTTTAACAGACTGGACTGTAAACATAAGTAGGTAAACAAATGGCTTGCACACAGGTTGCCCTTTGCATTGTAGGAAACCCACTTCAAGACATCAATGTTTTTAGCCTGCTACCTTAATATGAAACGTATAGTCTAGTCTAGTCTAGATCTGACATGTCCAGGCTTAGTTTTTCTAAATCAGGGTTTGTTCCAGAAATACAAACAAATTTTGGCGCTCCCTTTGATTGAAGCAGCCTTGCCTCACTCCTCTACATGCTTGAATAGTGATTTTAGACCAAAAATCTCACCCTGCAAACTAAAAACCTTTAAATGTGTCATTTATTGTATTGTATATCTAACATGGAAAGTGTTTGTAAACAACCAAGATGGCCACTTCTCCTACTGGACCATCCACTGAATCTGCTGCTGCAGCTGTTTTGAATAAACCAGATGATGTATTTTCATTTTCGTTCATTTTCCATGCGGCTTTTGCTAACACCCCCTAAAAAATGGGATGAATTGAACAGTTTCAGGCCCATTTACCAAGGTGACCCCAGACTAGTCAAATAGCTCATCCACATTTGCATAGATGAGCATATTTGCTAAATATTGTGCACCACTTACAACGACACAGAAAAATATTTACCACCACAAATAAAACCCAGGTAAAGAGAGCATGTTTTTTCAGTGATATTTTCCGTCAGTCGGCCTAAATCTGGACTTTCCGCCTGTCAAGAGCAGTTTAGAGTACAAAAGAAGAAGCTGCAGGATTTTAAACATTTATATTGAATAAAAACACAATAGCATAACAGCAGACACTCTAAGCTATTCGCCTGACAGTCATTGTTTCACACCCATCGTAATGTGAGACAGGAACAAAACCATTACATTATGTGTGGGTATCAAAAAACGACAGACTGATAGATCTGGTCCACTCGTGTTTCAGTGTTTTGAAATGTCATACTCCTAAATACAACATCATCGCTCTTTAAATGCTGTTGTTTATGCTGCTCCTGAGTTACACAGTTTAGCCTGAATCCATCTGGCCTTGTGAAAGCAATGAAGCAGCAGTAAAGGAGGATTGGCAGGTAACACAGTGAGGAGAGCGCTGCCAGATGCAGATGAGCAAGCTTTGTTCTGAATAAGCTGAGTCAGCGCTAATACACACACACACACACACATACACACACACACACACTCCTCACTCGGTCTTTTCACAAACACAAAGCCAATTCAGAGACAGTAGCAGTCAAGTCCATCATCGTTTCTTCACAAACGTTTGAGGCAACAGCTTTACACTCAAATTATAGATAGTGTTCACATGACTGTATGAGAAAGTCAAAGGATGGAGAGTGTTAAAGGGATATTCCTTTCTTTATCATTTCTTTGAAGTAATAATCATCATATTGATCATTTTGCACTGCAGACGCTGTAGTTCTTCTGCCTTAGCATCTTGGTCTGATTGCACTTCCATAAAGTAATGATCATAAATGTTCTTCCTTGAGCTGCGTCACCCTGCAGTAGTCCGTAATGGACTGGTCGAGGTTTCGCTACAAACAAGTGGCTGCTGGAAGAGAGTAGGTGAGTTGTGTTTAGTTTCTTTGCTGAAGAAATTAGGCAAAATTAAAAAGATGTTTGGTGGCTAGTGCTATGGCTTGGACCCTATATGTCCTGTTGATGAAGTTAGGCGCTGTTCTGAGCATTATTTGTGGCTAGGGAGTGGCGTTGTGGTTGAGGTTTGTGTATGGCTCCTCAGACCGCTGTGTGTTGCGGTGGATCGTCCAAAATACAATATCTACCATGCAATTTATGTTATTTTCTGTGCAATATGCATTTATTATTGTTCATTTTTGAGTGTTTCATTCAGTTTAACAATGCAGTATAAATTATCAATCATGCAGTCATAGTTTCCTTTCCTGCACAAATTCTTTCTGTACAATATACAGTATATTATTTATCCTGTGATCTATGCTGTTTCTAGCACTTCATATACTATGTAGTCTACATGATATCCTGTGCAGTATAAATTGACAATGCATTATCTATTTTAACAGTGCATTAAATTACTTATGGTGCAATACATAATATAATGTTTTTATGGTGCAGTACTCCTATTTACAGTGAAACAAATTCTTTATTTAGCAACGTACACATTATACCATTGAATATACCAGGGTTAGGGTTAAATTGTATATTTTTTGTAAACTGCACTAAAGTATCATGTTCATTTATACCATTTTCCTGTCTCTCCTGGAGGATGTAAATGTAATATAGAGGAAATTGTCAGTTAAAGCTCCTGTCAGGAACTTTCTTTAGCACTTTAGTCAAAGCATTATGTCTTGTCTCTTAGCCAATCCTCTTCTTCTTATGTTACTCAGATGTCTCACTTAGTGTGAAACTCTGGAAAACGTGGGCAAAGGTTCCCTCAGCGGTGTTCAATCACCTCATCTGACACCAACATGGCGCCATGATGAAAAGTCACTTTCTGGTTTGCTTTTGTAGGGCATCTATTAATTTATTCATCCCATTTATTTATGATAAGGGGCAGTGCACATGAATGAACATGGGGATGTAAATGTGCCAGATTGCCGCCATGGGCTAATTTCCGATCATGGCTCCTGCCAGGTCGGTGGTACACATAAAAATGTACATTAAGCATGTACATAAAATTAAATTTAAAAGAGAGGAATTCAGAGGTATCAGTGTTTGTTTTACTGCTGATTGAATCTCTTCATGCGAGCTTTTCTGTACAAACATGGGTTGTACACAAAAAAAGCTACTTTTCATGTACATCACAAACCAATAAAGCAAAATAAAATGGTGGACAACATCCTGATACAGTGAAATAAGTATGAAGCTGCTGCTACAAATGTCAGCTCTCTATCTGTGTTCCTCACCAGGGGCATTTTCGAAGAACACAAAGGAAACCTAGTGTTTGATATTCGGAGCACATCATCTCTGATAGAGGATTGGGAGCCCCTGATCCTGGTGTAAGCCCTCAGAGAGGAGGAATTACATCACAGAGGTGCTGCACTGACACAGAACAAACCCCGCCTGCACCACCACCACCACACCTTCAATCCCACTGCCTTTTTTTTGTCTCTGTACACTAAAGTAGCACAGCAGGTAGCAGAGATAAGACTTTTGTCTAAAGACCGTGATTAATGGAGTGTTTGAACTGCGACAGCTCTTCTGACACACCTAAGATTAACTTCTTTCTGCTCGCTGCAGCAGAATAACTCAGCATAGTACAGGATCGTTCAAATTAAATAAGAGGAGAGCTCCTTTTGGAAACCAAGAATGAACAGGGAGAGAGTGTGCACAAATAAACAGCAAACACAGGAGGCAAACAACTCCAGTTAGAGTTCATCAACATGGTCTAATTAACGAGGATGAAGCTGAAAGATAAGACTGTCCTTCTCTAGAGCTGAAAGAGTCCGCTCTTTGTTGGACACTGTTTGACCAAATTAAATGTTATAATGTTTGAGTTCGGACATGTAAGGGGCTACTCTCAGGGGTTAGCATAATTGATTTACTAAACTATCATCTAATATTTAGAAGTTGTCATTATGCTTAAGTATGTAGGTAATATGAGTTCGTTCACTGTTCTAGTAAAGTTATTAAGAATATCAATTAAACCTTTTTTAAATATAGCGCCAAATCTGAGAGTTTTAAAAAGTTTTATGAAATATGTCTGAAAGGGATCATGCATCACTCCTTCACTTTCCTTTAAGAGTTTTTGCAGCTCGAACAAATCATTCAGTCTTTTCGAGCTTTCACAAAACGCCCTTCAGAGCGTGACGACTTGGGTTTATATTTTATGATGAGTCAGAACTATTTGTTCAATGTGTAGGATGTAGTGGGGGCAATAAGCAGGTGGCACAATACCGTTTAGTCTCAATTATTGTATTTTTAGGATCATTGGGGTCCATAATCATAATCAAATAAAAATCAAGCACCCAGCTCTCGCCCCTGTCACATTGTTTGCATGAGGATTAACTTCTGGCAATGCAAACACATATAGAGAAGGTCATCCAGTTCATGTTTTATGGTCCAATTTGGAAGGATGGATCAATATGTTGGATACAACTTGTATACCTTTCTTGGAAGAGTCTTGAACTGTCCTGGAGACCTTTACAAAATTCCCACAAACTCAACTGGACAGAAAGTTTTGTTCTGTATCTTTATAAAGTTTGAAGAGGTAAAAGTCATCCATTAAAAATCAAAGATCAGATAAAAGTATCAACATTAAAAAGTCCTCTTGTCTTATTCATGTTGTGTGAACCTCTACGCTCATCTTTAAACCTCCATTTCTTGAAGCTGACCACAGGCAGCATCTACAAACCTCCCAAAAGGCTTTTTAACAGTCTCTGCAGGATGTTTCTAACCATTTCAGCCGCTAGATTTTTTCTCTACAAAGCAGAACAGTGAGATTATTTGTTATCAGGGAAGAAAACATCTTCCCACAGAACGATTTCTAATTGTATTCTTGTCTGCCGAGGCTGCTGCTGATGGAAAATTGCTTTCTTTTCTGATGTGAATGTTGATGGTCGTGCCTGATTGGCGAATGTAGAAAGAAAAGAAAACAAATCTATCTGCAGTTGACTGGACGATTTTGGTGAATAAGCATCTCTATTTAGGCTGCAGAGGAGATTCCGAATACATATTCTTAAAGCGAAGGAAATACGTAAAAAGAAATCTAAAGCGGTACAACAAAAGGGAAAGTGTTAGAGAAAGCTCAGGTACGGTCGCTTTGATTGCTTTTGAACCCAATCCTGATTTTTGGATTTGTGTGAAAAAACATGGTCCCATCCTGGTTTCTCCTTATCCAGGAACATTGGAAACCATCTCAACAGTTGTTTTTAATCTTATCTCATCTCACCTGGTTCATCTCAACTCGACCTGAAACTCTGCAGCAACACTTTTCAACAACACCTACACATTCGGTATATAGGACACAAAACAGGTTTCAGCTTCTCACAGCTAACAGCCTTTAGGATTGTGAGGTTTTACAAGAAATTCAAGGGGATTAAATAAAACCTGCCCCTGGCTTTTTCTTGAATAATAAAGTTTACTCTCCATTTCACAGGATGGCTGTGGCTCTGCGGTAGAGTGGGTCATCTTTCTGCCAGCCCCTTCAGGCCAAATGCCGCTCTATATATCTTTTTCTTTGTTTGATAAACTCATATTATGACTAATCCAAACTTTAAGTTTACTTGCTGAGGCAGTGATGGCCTCCTCACCTGAATCTCTGTCTGGGTGTCTGCCTCTCTGGACTCTTGCACAGGTGGCCGATGTAGTAGAGGGGGAAGAAGAGGCAGTTCCAGGTGGTGGCGAACCAGGTGAGGGTGAAGGGGGCGTCAAACTGCTTAAAGGTCAGCTTGGCCAGCTGGGTGGAGCCTGCCCAGGACGAGCACACGCACATCACCATGGCGACCCCCCACAGGGCCTTCTGCACCTGCACAGTTGTTACTTTAATGCAGCAGTGGAGTCTCCGTCTGCTGGAGCCGGACTCTGCTCCTCCTGCGGTGCACGCTGACTGTGCTTCTGTAGTGCCCACCACATTCTCCCTGATGCGGTCCTCTCCTGTAGACAGACACACATTTTACATCAAACACTCTAGTAATGGATATCTCTTTAACTTTGCTATTTGACACTTAAGGACAAATTGGCAAAAGTGGATTTGCAATTTCCATACACTGTCAAAATAAAGCACTCTAATAATATGTCACTGCTTTTTAATTGCCCTGCAGCTACGTGATGTGCATGTCAACCCCCTGACCTCTACAATAAAAATGTGACATCAAGTTAGAGGCAAGAAATTAAAAACAGCTCCTATCAAAACACACTAAAGTGTTGTGAAACAGAGTCAAACAACAACGTCCTACCAAAGTTAAAGTACAAACAAATAATTAAAGCTGCAAACAGCGTTGAAATGGACCATCTGTCAGCCCACTGAGGATAGTAAACACACATTAAGACAGAAGAACACAGTATTAATTCAAAGTAACTCCACTAAAGCCTCACCAGTGACTGAGCACGCAAATATGTTTTAGCTTAGACTCTCATCACTATTTGTGCTTCATAGCAGAATGACTTTAAAATCCTTTTTCATAGTCTATCTCAAAGTTTGGTAACAAATACAGAGTTTAAACTTTTATTGTCAACTTTTTCTGACCATGATTCGGTTGTCTAAACATAAATAGCTGGTGTCTTGTTGGGTTTAGAGTCCAGCTCCAGGGGTTTATAGAGATCCTAACTAACAGATGTGTTGGGCCAGATTAACAAAATATATTAACCATTTATCCTATCCAACTTTGGATTTTGTAGAGGTTGCTTTTACAACTGATGTCCCCACACCTGTGTTAAAGTCATGATTATTGTCATTTAGTTTGACAGCGATGAAGGGAAAAGTTTGTTTTAAAGGATCTTAAATCCCTAATGAAAGCAAGAAAGCAAGAAAGCAAGAAAGAAAGAAAGAAAGAAAGAAAGAAAGAAAGAAAAAGAGAAAAAAGAGAAAAAAGAGAAAGCAGGAGGGAAAAAAAGAAAGAAAGAACATCACAAGAAAGGAAGAAATACTGACTGATGGACAGGAAAAATGACCAAAGGACAAACAGATATAGAGAAAGTGAGACGAAATTGATAGAAAGAGGGACAGACAGACAGAAAGATAAGAGAAAGACAGATGGATGGAGAGAGGCCCACAGGAAGAAGGATGGGCAGATGGAAATAAAGACACAAAAACACTGAAAAACTGATTCTCAGAAAGACAAGCAGGCAGTAAACAGAGATACAGACGGACATGATGCAGACATTCAGCCTGACAGACAAAAAGACAGAAGGAAAGATGAAGAGTATATCAGTATCCTCCTCAGAGACTGAAGCAGATGAACTTGTTCAGATCCTCCGACTGTTTTTGCTGTAGATCTGGATTCAAGGCCTCCACAGGAGACTCTGTCATCCATGTGAGGGACCTGAGGTCAGCCGTGTCCCGCTGTCTGTTTCCAGATAAAAATAGCTCCTTTCACAGTTTAATTGAACTTGAAGGTAATCAATCAGACATCTGGGTTCAAAATGTGGTGATCAAGTGTGACAGGCTGCAGCCAAACAGAGGGCAAAAGAGGACAGATCTGATATCCAATCCAACCCTACCTCCTCCCCACCTCACCCCTAACAATGACGCGCATGTGAGTGTGTGTGTGTTTGTGTCTGCGTGTTTACTGAGGTGCACAAATGCAGACACAGCAACACTTAACTTTTCTATTGCTCCTGTCAAAAGCTGATAGCCTCCATATTTGCTCAATAATGTGTGAATTGAAGCAAAGTGCTGTCGTGCTGTTTATCCGTCCCACTCACACCCACTCACACCCACTGTGATGTGCTTCAAAACCAATTCACTTACCAAGGTTATTCTGTCTCCAGAAGACACTGAACTAACTTTTGCAAACACTGTCAAGAGTTGAGCGGCCGCTGTGAAGAAGTATGAAGACAAATACGCACCAAAAGCAACGGTAGATTGATTTTGCAAAAGTTTAACTCCTCTTGGTGGACATATAATAACTGGAATGAAGGTTTATTTGCAAAATGTTGAAACTTATATGAATAGAAAATAAACTAGAAAGCAGGTAAAACGCAGTGTTGAATAACTTTTAATGACCTATTTGCATATCAAAGTTTTGAACATTTTGATGCAGATGTGCAAGAAGTGTGTACAAAAAACTTGCACACAACAATGTGCAATGTTCAGACAGTAATTCATTGTGAGTCAAAAGTAATGCACAAAGTCAGATTTGGATATATTCTGCATTATTCACGCCGCACATCCCTCCCTCAGACAGGTAATCTGCCCCTTTCTATATCTCAAATATATTGTTTATTGATGAAACTACAACATAAGGGGCCAAGAATAATAGCTATAAAGGACGCCAACACTATCATCAATAAAGTAGACCCTCTTGGGGCCAAAACAACCTAAAACTATTATTTTATAGAAGAGGAAAAAGCTGCAAGAGGGTAATAGCAGCATAATATCTCAAACTGGTTGTGTAACATGCCTCATGCATCTTTTGCAGCTTCCTGCCTTCCACCGAGTTAAATTTGAGGGATCTCCCTAATGGTACCTCCAGAGGTAATGATGCACCGCAGAGAGGCTTCTGCTGATTCATCCGCACTGTACATCGCTGACTGGAATACAGAGGGCACTTCAAAGAAGCCTCTATGAGACAAGATTAGATCTATCACATTAAGTAAGAGTTACAGAGAAAAAATGATTATCATGGAGCATCGATGGGAAACTGACAATCACAATTTGATTTTTCGCTGTTCCTGCAACACTCCCAGGACTGATGACGCTGTTTGTTTTAATGTTAATGTGATCTCTATTATCAAAAGGACACCTTTGCAGGTTATTTCCCAATAGAGGGAATCTATCATGTGTGATGGGGCGGCTCATTCTTCCCAGGAGAGCTGCCTCTGACCTTGCCAGGTGGCCTCATCATATCGCAGATTAACTCTCCTGATGTCTGCCGCCTCCCATGCTAATACCTCCACTTCCCCACGCTGTCTGTTGGACGCACACGAGATTTGTCCTTTTGTTTACCTACTGTAGAGACAAAAGAAAAAGAAATCTACTCAAGACAAAAAGACGCTGTATTGTTTGGACCTCCTGAGCAATGCTCCCGGCTGAATGAAGCATAAACAGTACACAGCTCTGACGGCACCGGGTCAATTTCTGTAGCACTGAAAGGTGACTCAAGATTGTTTCTATTTCTGCAATAATGAATTGGCTGAAGATCTGTTTTCGCAAATAAATCAATAACAATTTATACATGAATCAGCAGCGAATGCTAGATGAGCCCAGCTAATTAGGCTTAAATAGGTTAAACATGATGTATTTAGATGAAAAGATGTTGCATTTTTTGGACACCCTGACTGATTTCACTGGCATGAAAACACTGTTTGCTGTTGTGGTTGTTCTTAATGGCTATGGGAAAGTGGGCCAAGCCACAAATACCCTCAAAATTGGGGAAAAAAAGCGCATTTAAGATGAAAAGATTTTGCATAATTCTGACAAGCTGAACAAAACCCTTTCAAGCATGCAGCATTAACACTTGATAACAGCCCCAAAGCCAAGTTTGCAGCATAGAAATATGATTCAAGATTCCCTCTCTTGTCGCAATAAAGCGATGAATCAGCGATGACCGCAAAAAAAGTGGAGACTGACACGAATGTCAAAGTCTGTGTCACAAGAGTGAGCGTTAAGTTTCTCTATTCTGAGCTCCAACCCTGTCCTTCTTGTCCTGAAGGTCATCTCTTGTTTACGCTGCACTGTTTCTGTCCTTCCTGGGCTTCCATCCCACATCCCGTGGTCTTCCATACTGCAGCACAGTTTAATCTTCCAAATGCAGTGATGGGCCAAGCCAATCAGCCCCCAGAGCGGGACTGGGGTCCAGCTAAGCATTTCCAGCTCTAGCACATGTGAGAGATCTTTGTGGCTCGCCATGACAACACGAAGTGCAGCAGTATTCTCGTCACGCAGCCGACACTTTACAATTAAGCTCTTAACTTTATACTTACAATATAATCCTCTGAAATTAGTACTCATCTGTATGACCTACAAAGGGAAGTGAGATTCATTATAAATAAAGATGGACATGGCATCTCCACCTCCTCTCATTTTAATGAAGGCTAAACGCTTCCCGTGATGGGCGCTGGCATTTTGTGCCGGTGCTGTTCTTGGAGTCAGAATCATCTTCACAATAGGAATTAATACCGAGGCTGTGGTATGGACAGCCTGCCAATTCTGCAACAAAACAACTTACTAATGAAATGTCAAAACGTCTCTCGTGTCAACATGGTCTACGATGATACAGATCCGTCGGGCCAGGAGCCAGAACCAGTCCTCAGGATGAGTTTTTAGTTTAAAGATGTTTTATTTTTACTGTAGTATTCACTTAAGCAGAAAAGATGAACAAAGTGTTGGATTTAGGGCTTCATAAAGTGTAATTTTTAAGATATAAAGGTCATCGAGATCTCAAATTAAAGCTCACAAATTCAGGAAGTTTTTGAAAAATATGAATAAGACAGTTATACTGAACATAAAGGGTTCAAAAGCAGCTGTACTTTAAGATTTTGTCAAGCAGACATGGATTCTTTTGCCAAACACTGAATTCTGTGGAGGATAAATTAAAAATGAGAGGTAGCAAGCACCAAAATTTGGTTTTATTACTTTACTCTATACCAACTTTCATACTCGTGTAACTTAAAACGCCAGAGTAACAACTTATTTTCTGTTTTTGGACCCAAAGGCAGCAGAAACTCTCCTGAGGACTGGTCCTGGGTGCCAAATTTTTTTTTGTAGGATAGTAGGGGAAGGTCCCGCCCTCATTTGCCTCTGATTGGCCATAGGTGCTGGGCTCCGATTGGTTATTTCTTGTGGCTGTGAAACGATATCGTCTGTCGGGTTAGAGTTAGGAGATTCAGAAATGCGATAATGTACTGTAAAGTTCTGTTCAATGTACAGAGGCGACAGCCTGCATTTGGCTTGAGCGTGTGATGACGTTTCCAGCTTTTCTAGCCAATCAGATGCGAAGGAGGTGGGACTTTCCCCTACCATCCTACAATAAAAATCATCACGTCTTAGGTCCTAGTTTGTTAGAGTTCCTCTTACCTTTACTGTACTAATCTGGTGCACACAGCCATAGAGGGTGCATTTGTCAACAAAGCTGTCAATTACAGCCTTAAACCACCTTAAAAGCATCTATATCTCATATTTTTACCTACTATCAACTTTGTGATGCATGTGTGTATCCCCAATACTGAATAATTCTGCAGAATGGTTTGGGACTAACACTGCAGGCAGTCCATAGAAGGAGCACATTATGCTTTGGCTTCACTTTTGAGAAGTTAATCCATCTTTTTACGGTCTGTGAGCAGGAAGTAGATTAATTTTTTTATGTGGTTCCTACCCCAGGGTGGGTGTGTCAGATGAGGCGATCGCTGCAGAAACAGCATTATTTTTTCGAGAAGTTTAACAGCAAAATAGGAGGCTGATAAATCAACATACAATTAAAATTCCTCATAAGATCATTCATTTATATCAAACTAATTAAACCTCTATTATTACACAGTAAGACATAAATTGACTGTTTTTTCCACTGTGACTCAGTGATTAAAAGGTAATTCACTCGCATTACACCCAGCCTGACACTGTATCAAGCCAACCTTGACAGTCAGAGATGAACAATATGAAGCAGAGCAGAACTCATCAGTGTGAGAGAGCCGGCTGAGCGAGGCTGAAAGGTTCCTCCACTAATGACACTTGAAGTCGTTATTTCCACCAGTCAAACACCAAAGAGGAGTCTCTCTTTCTGTAACTGCTAAATTATTAACTGAAGGCTCTGAGGATTATCAGCTGCTAATCAACTGTCAGATGTCAAGGTCAACATGTGAAGAGAAAGAGAGAGCTTCAATGATGGAAATCACAGCTCTGTGAAGGAGGCCATTACCTATAGCTCTGCTGTTTTTTATGAACCTTTCATCAGACCGCTGAGTCCTGGAAATGATGGACGAAAAAAAACCCACTAGAAGCTACAATGATATGACTCACTGACTTTTAAGAGCGTATGCCTTTGTGTTAACTCAAATTACTATATTTTACAAGTGCATCAACATTCTGCTCCTTCAACCTCTCTTCAGATAAGTACAGAGACAGGACTGGAGCAGAGTAACGACAGGTTAACATACAGCATCACAGAGCGTAATTTGGACAATCAGTTTTCTGCATAAAGTTCTGTTGACTTTGTCACACAAGTGTTATTATGATTCAGTTTATTGTGACTCCGTTTCTGTAGTTTTTTGTAACTGTAGCTGTATATTAGTTTTCACTGTTTATATAAAGGGCAAAGTAGCAGTAAGCAGTAACTCTACACAGTGTATACGATTCATGTTCTGTATTGAAAGGAAAATTGTATGTGTATGCTATCACGTGTATTTTATCATTATATACGTATGTTAATCATCATTTACTGAAAACCACTTGGTGTGAATGCTTGCAGAGTCATATCTGTTTCTTTTTAATGAGCATAGTAAAGAAGAAGTATGGCCTTGGAGTTGGGACTGATACTTTTCCCTATTTGGATACTGTTGTAATGTCATGCCACTTGTGTCCAATTGATTCCAATTAGTGCTATTCCATATAGCTACATTCCATTCCATTCCTTTCAAATCCAATCCGCTCCATTCAATTCCAGTCCGGTCCATTTAATTTCATTGGACGTTCCATACAATTCCATTCCAATCCATTCCATTTTCGATCTAATCTGATAAATCCAATCTGATCAATCCAATCCCATCCAATCCATTCTGATCAATCCAATCCAGCAATTCCAGTCAACTCCATCCTGATTTCATTCAGTGTAAAGTGAATGAATTCCATTCCACTGAATTCCATTATGTTGAACCATAAATCTTCTTTTGAAGCCTGGAGTTCAGGATTCTGAAGTTGTCATCTGCCTTCTTCTTCTTCTTCCTAGACACTTTAAGATGACAGTATGTATATGTATCATAACATGTCTATCCTAGTCAGCAAATCACCACAGCAGCCGGTTAATGACAGGTGGCCGAGCCCTAATAAAGGGACTCTAAAGTAGCCATCTCTTGAACTACAGGCATACAAATCAGAGCAAATACTCCTGGGGCTGTTAATGCTGATGTTAGAAAAATGTGTTAGCAACATTATTGTTAAGTACTTTAGTTAGTGATCTAAATTTAATCTGTCACCTCAAACAAAATTTCTCGTATTTGTTCCCAAATTTATTGTCATGCATGAGAGTGACAAGGACACACCAACTCCCGGGGGGGGGGGTTACTTTCATATCTGACATTCATCGAGGATGAAGATGTCCAGCATGCCTCTCCAGGGGCGTTTCATGGACTCATGAAAGTCTGGATGAGAGGGAACATCCACTTCTTTATACGTTTAGTTTTCAGTTTAAACACAAAGAGTTTCTACTGAAGAGTAAAGCTGCATTAGTGCCACCAACTGGAAATTTGTAAAGCGGGTTTGTGAACATAGAGCAGTCAGAAAGGTCTGAACGCAACAAAATATAACTTAGTCCAGAAGAGCCTTTAAAAGAATCACACTTTTTACGATTATGGATTATTTATTAACTTCTCTGGTGTCTCTGAACAGATTTTTATCAGGTGTAGCTACAGATTACAGTAAAAGCAATGATGCTTAATTTAACACCAGATGAAAATATCTCTCCTCATTTAACACATTCTTTGTCCACATGTACCTACACAAACCTAACAGACATCTGTGAAATCACTGCAGACATGAGGAGAGTGTTTGGCATCTTTGGAGGAACAGCTTTGGATCCAGTCTGACAGCCGTCTTTGCTTCTCCTCAGATGTATTCATCTCAACCACGCAGTTAAATGTGGGCATACAAATACATTGGAACTCAATATGCAACGCTGGAGGTGGTCCAAGGTGCGGAAAAATGTTTAAAAAAGATTTTGTTTAGAGAATTCATCAGTTTTATTTCAATCCTACGAACCATAAAATACTCATTCCTCTTAATTAAGGTGAAAAAATACACTTGTTTAAGGCTTACATCTCACTGCCTGTGTGAGAACCTGTAGATAAATACTTCTCTTTATCACTAAAGGCAGCGTAAATCAATCTCTATCTCATATACTCATTTGTCTGCCTCTGGTGTTTTACACTCAGCACCTCATAGGCGGGTATTGAGTACATGTCCCCCTCCCTGCAGGCCTGAAACACGCCGATTGGTGTTAAGATTTATCGTGCCATTAACTAACCGGTTTTCCAGTTTCTCCCCAGTCCCAGTCCACGCTTCCCTGCGTCCCAACCAGCCTTATTCCCGCTCCCGCTCTCCCTCCCTCCCCCGTCAGACTCTGCAGTGCAGATCTCTCCTGCTGATAGCTGCAAATCCCAAACGTGCCAGCAGAGCCCTGCCTGCTCTCACACTTCACAGAACCTAGCTGACAGGCCCACAAAGCCCCAATCCTGCCCTGTGTGGCTTCCTGAACGGGCCGCCGCCTACGCCGTCCGACGCTCTCTTTGCACCCAGAGCGGAGAAAGATCCCATCAGGCAGGAGTGGCGATAACATCAGACTTGGGTCTCACTGGAGCCCCCAACTTGGAGACGTAGAGGTAAGTGGGGTTTGTCTGCTGGCGGTTTGGTGACACCTCTGTGGGAGTGAGAGTGCACTGCAGCGCTCTGCCTCACTGATTCAAGAGGGTAAACAGATCAATCACTGATACACACTTCAGAGCAACTCTCCCCCTTGTCTCGCTGTCTGCTGGCTTTCTGCTGAGAGACGAATATGAATTGACTGGTGCAACGTCTTCATTCTGTCACTCAAAACGAATCATTAAAGTGTGACGTCCTAATTGAGCTAAAATATGCACACTTCAAACACCGTCAATTTGGGTTGAATAATCAGGATTAAAGAGCTTCTTAGCCAGATTAGAATTAAAAATCATGTTTCATCTTCGGCTGTCACATAATATCAATCAAAGCATCACATCTTGCAATAAAAATAAACCCCTCAGTCTCATGTTGATTTATACAGTTTGTCATTTCTGACATGTTAGTCTAAGTTTGAGTTCTCAGTTCATATTTATAATAGAATTTATAATAACTCCATATTCCATGTGTCACATCATGGTGGAGAAACAGTCAGACAGACAGGCTGCTCACAGGCAGACAGGCAGCAGTGACTCTCTTTGTAATCTCTGTGTCTGACAGACAGTGGGAGTCTGCGATACTTGGCTGTGACAGCTTGGCCTGACCGTCCTGCCAGTCAGAAGCCTTTCAGCACACCAGAGCAGACTCCTCATCTGACAAAGCCTGTCCCTCCCAATAATGCTACAGAGAGACAGGCCGAGGACACACCCTGCTGTTTGAACCAGCTGATACTTGGGACCACACGGGCACAGGGGACAGAGGCCCAGGAGGGCAGACAAGGGCGGGACGGATGATACTGATCCCGCTCTCCTGAACTCCAAGACCGCTTCCTCCTTCAACCCCGAAGGACGAGAGAAAGACTTCTTCTCGGAGCAGAAAACAAGAGAGACGGAGAGGGGGAACATTAGAGCCACCAAATCCAACAAATCACAGCATTTTGCCCCACCCTTGTCTTAAAGGTGAGGTAAAATGCTGTTTAAAAAAGCATTTATTTTGTGGTGTATATACAAAAAAGTTTTTAATATCAGTCAATAGCTGTTAGTTATTGATGACATTTGGGATTATCACAATATCACTTTGTTCTGTTATGTCTGTGTAGTCAACATTTAAATTTTTTTAAGTGGCCCGCTCTTTCTAAATGTAAACAAAGCCATACTCCATCTTCCTCGTGCTGACTGGTTGTGAGTGAGATGCTGCTCCCTCATGTTGTTAGGCACGCTCCACATCCTTGAGTAACGTGCATGAGCCCAAACAAAGTTAGCGTGCTACAATATCGGACTGTGGAAACTAACCAGAAAGTACGGAAAAATGTCTGAATCCTCCAAGACTGCCACCACAAGTAAGAAAACAAAGTGAATACCGGAGACTCTGGCGGAACAACAGGCGCTTAAAAAGGAGGTAGACCACCCGGACAAGAGCTAAAAAGCTGAGTCAAGGTCAATGAAGCTAGCATAAATGATGGGGGACGCTTCGGGATCTTAAGGACCCTGTAACCTTTCTTCTGGACAGGTAAACCGCTTTAACAAAGTAAGCCAAGTGTCTGAAACAGAAGTGTTTCTCGTCAAACGGGACCTGCTGCATGTTGTAGCGCCTCTAAACTGTTGACCTTGGGTCCTGGACTATGTCACTTTATCCTCGTTGTAGAAGTCCTGCGAACATTGTGTTTGTTGGTAGTCTGTTGGCCTCTACAGTAGCACCAATGCTTGAAGTTTTTATCTGCATTATATCTGAATTTAATTGGAACGATACGAGCGAGCAGGAGCGTCTGTTTGTAGGCGGGGCTTGCTGGAGAAGAAAGGGAGGGGAGAGGAGGAGCTGAGGCGAAAACTGGTTGGGAGGGGTAGAGTTTACATTCAAGATTTCTCCCTAAAACTGGCACTTCCTCAGATTCTGCCTACCCCACCTTTATTGCATTGATGCAATATTTTGTTTCTACTATGAGAGGAGACGGGGAAGTGTTGTCATTTTAATCCAAGACAAATCTGTTTCTACCTCCCACACACACATGCTTCCATATTTCAATGTGTGAACTTTGTATTTCTGCTTGAAACAAATGAAGATACAAACTTAGTGCTGCTGCTCTTTTCTTTGTTTTTTAGAGAAATTAAAAACTTAGAGGCCAAAAGTTCAGCACTTGAACTATTCAATTAAATTGAACAAGGTTGTATCTCCGTTTAGCCAAAGATCAAAACAAAGCCTTAAAAAGCTTAAATCCAATTTCCTCCGTTTGTCTGTTTCAATGACTGATTATCAGGATCACCCAGTTTCTCAGTATTTCCTGTTGTTGCCTCATGTCTCTCTGCCTGCATCAGCTTTTCTGTTTTTAAACGGTTTCTCTGTTTTGATGTCAGAAAACCTCGGCTCCTCTTTGTTCTGTACTCTGCCGGTAGTGCTTCCCATCTCAAATAAGCTTTAAGACATTTTTTTTCCCTCTTGTTTGCAGGCAGATCAAAGTGAGGAGGAGGCACCTTCACACCAAACAGCATCATCTGTGAGGAAGAGATTGTTTGCACTTTGTTAAAGGAGGGACTGAATTGGCCCCTGTCTCTTTGGCCTGACCTGCCCAGCTGGTGCAACAGATGCTCACGGTACAGGTCAGAGCTGCGGCCCTCTGATTGTTGACACAACAAAACAGTGTTGCGAGGAAGCCAGAGTTTGTTTATGTGTGTCAGAGCTGCAGCAGAGCAAAAGCATTACTCATATTTGGCAGAGCGGTGTATCCCCCTGGTCTAGAAGCTTCCCTCCATCTCTCTTGCAGTCCCGTATTACAGTGAGTATGGCGTGATGGAGCTGCAGTTTAACGCACTGGCATGAGTCCCAGCACTTTCCGCGACAAATCAATATTTAAAAGATTGGCCACGGCGTCAGTGTTAAAGTAATGGATCAGCAGCCACCGCAGGTGCACAGGCTGTCTGCCCAAATAGCGGTTTCACCCCCCGCTCTGCACCCGAAGGCCGCTGAATTCAGGGACTATCAGACACACAGAGACCTGATTTATAATTTTTCCATTTCCAGACATATTCAAAGGTGGAGGAGTTCACACAATCTTTATTCAAGTGGAAGTGAAGGCTCTTTTGAAAAATGTTTTACAACTTAAAGGAGCAAAAGTGAAAAAGTACAGTCAGTGTATTTCTATCAGCTGTTTGCACACATGAACTCAGATTTTTGATCGTTTCAATGTCCTCGATTGAAATAAGAGAACAGCATATTTCAGGTAACTTTCAGTTCAAGTGTCAGTGGGTTTCTTTTAATAGTACATTTTCATCACTAATGGAGAGTTTCTGCTGCAGAAAACGACTAAAAGGCTGTTTTGGCAGCATGCTGTGAGATATCATGTCTGACACTAACCCTGCGGCAGTGATTTTAGGCGTTAAAACTAGCTAAACAGAAATATTCCATCGTCATGCTGATGGTCCTGTCTGCTTTTGCAGCTGAGTAACCAGCTTTAAACTCCTCACAGGAGCTTTAATCAATAAGCAGCCCCACAGAAACTCTCAGTAAGGTTGAGTTATGTTGGCTGGTTGACTTCACCCGTGATCATAAACTGTGGTTCACTTTTCACTTTCTCGTTTGCTTTGTCTTAATTTATCTTCATGTATTCTTTGTTATATCTGTTGTAGAGGCTCTGATAGATAACTGTTGTCACTCCATGATGTTGTCCACTCCATTTACACTGACAGACACAAACTTAACAGATGCTGCACAAAGAGTTGTCCCACTTATGAGTTATTAAGAAATGCTAGCAAGATTATAAAATGTTTGATCTGTGCTTTTTTCTAGCTTGGATGAATTTTACACTAGTGTTGAAAAAAATGACCACAAAAACAATGGAGATTTTCCCTCATCTGCATACAATACCACTGCCTATATGCTTGTGTGTGATTTTCCAATTTTGCACCTCTTTATGCACATCCCGAGTGACTTCCTCTCTGCCGAAACACGACCAGCTTGAGTCTGCTACATAATGCTTCCTCAAACAGCAAGAACACATTTCGCCTGCTGGATGGATGTAATGGTCATGCTTTTTGTGTTTTTATGCAGACAGATGAGGCTCAAGGTAGCCATCAAATTGCTGCCAATTTAGTGTTGGAGAAAAAAAACAGTTTTTCGGATTTATTTTGGATTCAGTGGGGAGATGCTGCAGGTACTGTGAAAATCATGGAAAACAGCGGAAAGACAGAACAACTTGGAGTAATTCATTGCACACACATTGCATATTTTCTCAGTATGCACTAGCCAAATAATTACTGTGTGCTTTTTACTCAGCTCTCTTACTGTGTTTAATACTTGAATCCTGTTGGTTTAAACCCAGAAACAACGGTAATTAACTCTGTATTGCAAAAGAGACGCCAGGAGCATCCAAATCATGATGATAGCACCAGTAAGAACATGACAGATATTTTTTCACATTACTCTTCCTAATCTATTTTGCAAGAGGAAGCAGATGTTTGTGTCTGTGTGTGCCTGAAAAGCCAAGGGACAGAATAAGCACGAAGAGAGAGAGAGAGGCTGTCACGATCACATGGGTGAACGACGACTGCTGAGAGACATTCTTCTGAATCATTATATAATAGGGTGAACATACGTCCTCTTTTACACGGACATGTCCTCTTTTTTGGGGTTTTTTATGGAAGTTTTGAGTTTGTGTCGCATGGACTTACGTTAGAAGCACGTAAAAAACACTCTCAAAATTTACTATGTGTGACTCCACCCCTGCATAGTCATGTCCTCTTTTTGGGGATTCAGAATATGGTCACCCTATTATATAACACAAGTTCAAGTCTCAACATTATAAAGAATTAGTAATAGATCTTCCAATTAGATATTGAAAAAGCAGAAGTGTTTATTTCACCACTTTTTAAAGCAGTAAGAATTAAGTTTTAAAGAGGTTTTAAGTTGCTTGAATGTGTGTGATGCAGATGTCCAATCATAAGCAGCTACGCCTCTGTATAAAACCACTCCCCTCCTCTGGTTACATGTAAATCATGACCTTCATACCCCCCTTGTAGGACGACCTTAAGAGTTTGCTGATGGATACATTTTTTAAAACACTTTAAAAGGAAAGTTTGTCACAAAAGATTTGGACCGAGTTAACTGCAAACTCAGTCACTTTGTGCAGATTAAATGCAACGCAGCACACGGTGCATATTTTGCTGACGCTATTTTGTGCTGGTCACAATCACTGCAGTAGGGATGGAAATATTTTCTTATTTCAGTTTTGTAACAATTAACCTTCTAGGCACACCATGAGTGTAAAACAGGAGCATCTGGTTGGAGTCTGTGTGAAACATTTGGAGAGGATGGGCAGCTTTCCTGCACCCCGAAGAAAGCTTTTGGATCCACTCCCTCTATTTAGGATTAGAGCTTCATCTGTGCACGTCTGTGCCGAGGATTTTGCTCTGAGATCAAACTTCTACAATCTTTTATTGGATGTTTTCTTCTATTGAAAATACAAACCCAGCAAGTAAAGGCAGCAGACCTCACATGAACCTCTAGAATGAATTTATAGAGTACTTAACATCAGTCCATCCATTTAAATCTCCTTCAATACAATAAGACTAATAGCATTTCTGTACACACACACACACACACACACACACACACACGCTGCTTTGATAGACCTCCCTCTTAATAAAATAAAAGCGCCGCTTCTGAGTGTTTCAGACACTCTATCAAGCACATAAAGAAGTGTTTCACTGGTTTTTAAAATGAATCAAGACTGAAGAGGGCGCCTCCTCCTCCGACTTCGTTCAAAGTCGACCCTGATTACATTCAAAAGATGAGAGTACAGACGCAGGATTTCAACGGGGTTTAGAAAATAAGATACAGAAGAATTCATCACTGCTGCCTCTAGTGATCTTTCAACCACACTGACGCAAGTCGAACATGGGCGTGCGTGTCTAAGTGTGACCTTCATTTTGGCAGGTGCAGCTTCATTTCCATACTAAGGTTGTCATGGTTCACACAGGCCTGGTTGTACATTTACATACAAATAGGACACATGCAAACAAGGACAAGATGTAAGACTATATAATGTTCTATGAATGCGTTAAAAGGGTGTTTTTCTTTTGTTTTGATGATTACAGAGTCGAAAAAAGTCCAGGAGACTCTATCGGATCTGATGACTTGTTTATCCTCTAAGTGAGGATTTTCAGTCATAACTTGACGGTTTGACTATCTAGTTTTAATGAGTTTGACTGCAAACACTAAGGAGACCCTCAGCCTTGGGGTGCATCTAGAAAGCTCCATTTTTACAGCAGAAATGTTTACAGCCTAGAATAAAAAAAGCTTTGATGTCTCTACCTTTCAAAGACCATAAGGTGAAATGGAGAAAAAATACAAGGTTAATCCCAAGAAACTTTTGCAAGATCTTGCAAAAGTTTCTCAGAATGAACCTTATGGGGCTTCATATTGCTTCATATTTGTAACGACAAGGATGTGATATTGTTTCCTTTTTTTACCTCATTTATTTTTATTACTGAGGCTAAGATTTCTGCATAATTAAGCACAGCTCTGGTATGGCCAATTTAGCATGCATTTGAGTAGATTGTAATTTTCCAGTAGGCTTGGCTGTGGCTTCAACTCCACCTCTTTTAGATTAGTCACAGGACTACAGAAGTCAGCATTTTCAGTATGGAAGTGATAAATCTTTGAGCTTCAGAAACCAATGAATGACGACACTGAGACTAAATCTTTGTCTCATACAGTCTATGCAGAAGACAAGAAGCTATCCTAGTGACCTGTTGACTAGAACTGAAAGGTAGAAACATATTTCCACCCTGTTGTCTAAGCATGTCCATCGATAGCTCCAGAAAGCCAAGATGGGGACATTAGCATTGCAAACGACAAGATAATTGTGGTTCGTAGATTGTCTTGTTGATCTACTCTAATAAGAAGGGGAACGTTTCATTCAGAAACGAAGTGTCAATGTCCCAACGTTACAAGCAGGCTAATATTTGACCCTTTAATACTCCCTGAGTCTCCAAAAATAATGGAACCAGAAACAAGAATCGATAAACATCCACAAGAGGATCGGAAGTCAGGATTGATTCAACTGAAATGGCACCCACCCCTCAAGACAAGTTAAGTTCTTAAATGAAGACATCAGACTACACAATGTTGGCAGGATGATCAGTCAGTCTGAGAAATACAAGGTGAATGATAGTCAATGCCATGTCTGGGACAACACGTTTCGATTTTTTTCTCTGCCGTGCACCGTTTATTCAGTCTTGCCAGTGACATTGAGACATACGAGTAAAGCCCACTCTGCACATGTAAAGGTCACAAGCAAATTGGCAAGTTAAAGAGAAGCCGTGAAGTTGGGAACAACATCCTTGCATTTGTGACGTGGCGTTGAGGGATCACGACAGACCGAATAAAAAGAAACGTAGAAATAACGCACATATTTTAGCAACTGGGTGAGTTGCTGCTGTTAGCTTTTCCCTGTGTCATTTTGACAGGCATCTTCTCCTTCACTGGTCAGGCACCATCATGTCGTCTGTCATGACTGTCACTCGAGTCGCAGCACAAATTCGCAGCTCTTAAACCGCCTTAATCCGACACAGTGACTGTTGCAACAAAGCGATTGTAAAGCGTGAACAAATTCTTAAGTTTTCTACCTCTTCTTTTATCTTAACAACACATAAACATGCGTATCCTGAGTTAATCCACATTAAAATCCTGAAGGACATGGAATAAAAGGACTGCAGAAATTTCCCACTATATCATCGTCTTCTTCTTATTCTGGGAAAATCTGTCATATTTTTGAAGATGCAATCGTACAGTAAATGATTTAATCATCTGTATACAGTTTTTTTTTTTAACCCTGATGTCTACTCTTGTGTGTTTCAAAAGTTGATTTGCTATTATTCAATTGATTTACTGAAACCTCGGGTTCAAGGTTCATGCTGCCCTTGGGGGAAGATTGAGTGTGACCAGAATAGCAGCTCGTGAAATATAACCGCCTCCCCTAGAGACGATTGTCTTTTAAAAAGATGCCTGTTCCTTTTCACAGTGTGTAATGAAATAACAGAGATTAAAGGAGCTTTTATGTACTTTTTTGACGACTCATGCATGGCAACAGACATTCCCTGAGAGGTCATCAGTAGCAGCAAACTCAAGGAGGAATCAATAGTTATCATCTATGGGCTGCTGGTTGGGTGAATTTTTCTGTAAATACTGCAGATGAGACCGTGAATCAAAGTTATAGCTTAGGAAGACAGCAGTGGTTCCACAGAAAACACCATTTGTTACACATTCAAAGAACACTAAAGGAACAATGAAGGATTCTGGGATTTGCTGTCGGATGATAGATTGGTGTGTTACCAGCCTCAAGACGACGATCATTTGATGTCAGAACTGACTAGTCTCCTCTTAAAGACCTGATACATCCCAAAGATGAACCAGAACTGTGAGCTGCTTTTGAGAAGGGGACAAAGGCACCAGTTTGTTGAGTTCATCCAAAGTGGCTTAGCTTTAAATTTGCATTTGTCGTAATGGCCAGAAGACGGATAAAGTGAAACCAAAGGAGAAAATGGACCCTGCTTTCATTTGATTCATCGCTTTAGAAAGTAATCAGAGAGAAGCTCAAACTACTTCATGTGGAATTGCTGCGGCATGGGAACTGAACAGCAAAATATGTAAGACTCCGTGTTCACTTATCTGCTTAATTTCCTCTTATTGAGAAAAACGAGCATGTCCACATGGTCAAGGAGAGGGGGTGCACGGCTGCAGCCTTTCGCCATGTATCTGGAAACTTACTGGTTTGCACTGAATCATGCTTTAAACTTAAAACACTCCCTGGATAGCTCAATATGATATAAGATTACGCTTTCTTCATCTCTATTTTTTTTCTTCATCTCATCACTAAGAGCATGATAGAGATTGAGTTTAATTTCTCTGTATTGTCCTGATAAGGTTTCGACTATGTTTTGCATTAGTTGTCACCATATCAACAGAAAAACAGCACCATCACCATCACTGAAGACTCCCCATCCTCATCCTGCATGTACTTCCCAAATGGACTATTCTGAGATGTGAGAGCACAGATGACTATGACAATCTCCTGCTGTGAGAGACACGTGTGAAAGGCAATTTGGGGAAACACTGGGACCTGAATGTCCTGAAATTATCAAGGAAATGTCATGAGTTCATGCTTAAAAGGGGCTAAATGCAGCATGATGCCAATTTTGTAAATTATAAAGCAGGGTGTCATTTGGTATGAGGCTGTCTGTGATTGATATGATGCTACAATGGCAGCCTGATGGCCAGAGATAAAATGATATCAGGCCAAGGAGAGGTTAACATGCCAAAGAGTGATATGGTGGCAGTGTTTGGTCTTTTATGTAGTTTATGGATCCAGTTTGAGGTGTAATTGTGTGAAAGCAAATGAGAAAATGAGCCGTCTACTCCATCTTCATCTTTATATATGCTGTAAATGGATACAACCAAATGAAAATCTAAGCTCCAGTTGAAAATCTGCCAATTAGAGTTTGGGTTTTATTCTGCAGAGCTGGACATGTCCCAACATCTCCCACTTCTCTTTGAGGAACACGCAGTTCTTTTCACACTGATGCTACGATGGAGCCGTGGATGTCACACAGGCATGTAAAAGGACAAAAAAGAAAGGTTATAACTGATGCCGAACTGGGGGAAAATGTCTGTCTGCAGCAGGTTGTTAGTGAGGAGAACAGAGGTTTCGGAGCTGGTGTTACATAAGCATCAGTCTCTCTGAAAAGCTGCATGTTGAGCTGCTGTGGACCCCTGTGATTTCCTCCTGCTTTCATGCAGCCCGGGAGCCACATCATAAACTCCACACAGCTCTGAGTGCTTTAAAATCTACAATACTGTATAGTCACAATCATAAACAGGCACATTTACAACCCTTTCTCTACCCTCGGCTTTGTGCAGCAGCAGAGCTTATCTTCGACTTTTGTGTTCGCCTAATATCAGCTTGTCATCTCAGCTCTGCTCAAACTAACATTAGCTGACATTCACACTAATAAGCTTAAAAGTTATCCGGCAACATTGCAGCGGCGATTCTTCCGAGGTTACCCCGAATGCCTCACAGTTGCAGATTATAGTCAACACAGTTTAAACAGCTTCAGCATCTTGATGACTTTCTCTGCAGCGTCCATATGAAACTGCAGGAGAAATCCTCATTCATATTCCAGCAGCTGGTGTAGTCATTAATTATGAATAATGAAGTACTTTCAGATATCTCATATTAACAGCTCTGGATGTAGCGAACCCCCAAAACAACAGGAGCGTGAACAGACAGAGAGTTAAGCTTCACTGACAAGTCTGAGTCAGCAGAGTCTGTATGGTTTAGGCTTTGACTCACAAAAGTGCAGAAACAGAGAGTGAAGGTAACAGTTTCATAAGTCTGCTGTTATCTGAATAATTCTGTTTGGTATGGTTTTACCGCAAGCTTAGTCGCTGATGAAAGCTGCTTTCAAGTTGGATAGATAAAAAGACAGATGTTATTACGCTGGGAAGTTTTTGTAGTACAGCAGTAGATTTTTCAGGGTATTTGAAAGCTGTGAGAAACACACAAGCGTGAATCTTCTCCATTCAAGTTACAGTTCATTCAATATGTTTTATTTTGCATGTGAAATGCCAGGAGGATTTTGGCTGAATTGCCTCCAAAATAAGTGTTATGGTAGGGAAAGGTCCCGCCCTCCTTTGCCTCCGATCAGCCAGAAGTGCTGGGCTCCAATTGGTTATTCCTAATGGCTGTGAAACGTCATCATCTGTCGGGTTAGGGTTAGGGTTAGGAGATTCAGAAGTGCGATAATGTTCTGTAATGTTCTGTTCGATGTCAGAGCCGACAGCCTGTGTTTGGCTTGAGCGTGTTTAGCCAATCAGAAGCGAAGGAGGCGGGACTTTCCCCTACCATCCTACAAAAAAATGTCGCTTCCTGGTTGCATACTAGCATGTTGTAGCAGGGCGTAGATTGACCGAGCAAACAGGGTGAGGTTGCATGACATGGGATGTGTTTGGTAAAACTGGTATATGTATGGAAAGATTGAAAGCTGGTGGTGGTGGTCTGCTAATGTTTATTAGTTTTTGGCTTTGTTTATCAGTTATGCTAATTTTGACAGTTTTTGTCTCTAGGCTAGTCAGCAAGGAGGAATTTCTGTTTGAAAGATGAGGAAGTTGATGCCTTGAAACGTCCCAGGTTACAACGTCAAGTTGCCCAGGTATTTAAAAAAAACTACAATTTTTAAAAATATTTACTACTCCAGTTAAATTCTTACTCAATCGAGCCAATTTGTCTGTAAACAGATTGATAGCAGGACGTACTTAAAGCTCCTGTGAGTGACCTTCTCTCTGCACATTTTGGTGCCCCCCAGTGGACAAACCCTTACATTGTGACTGATTTCATTTCATCCTTATGAAAGTAATGTACTTTGTGTTTTATCCTTGGAAGATACTGACTAAATTACTGACAAACTCCAACCTGTCACTAAAAAAGTTACAAAGATCTCAATCTGAGAATTTTTTGGAGCAGAGGCGTTTTTTTTCTATAGGGATTTTACAGGAACAATCAATACATGGTAAACTGGTATTCTTGCCTTGAATTAATGCAAATTGTGTGTTTATAGTTTTTCCCTTGCGTTTTGAAGATTAATTATGGGTTTTTAAGTCTTTCTGAAACTTCTGGATAAAACCACTTATCTAAGAAATTCAGGGTAAACTAACACCTTACCCTGATTTAGAAATAAATTACAGAGTGTTTACTGTTCCTGTGAAAACTGTGTATCCAGCTGCTGTTTTACAATCATCACCCAGTTTGGAAACATGTAGCAGTCTGTCTATGGAAAGTGAAAACAGCTTTTCCAGAAGCAGATCAGCTCTGCTTGCTGTGGCATCATCAGCTGATCCCTTAGAGTTCATCTGAGCGTCACTTTACTGCACTGCACAAAGGAAAAATGCCGGTTTGTTTCCTTAATGCTAACCAAATAGGCATTTAACGAATCGGCATAAAGCCACAGGACTATTTTCTCATGTTTCTGTGTCAAAATCGTACAGATAAGTTTAACTAGAATGCAGATTTATTCGCACATACCGCTTTTAATCCAATTTAATCCGTATTTTTCCAAGTTCATCCAAAGAAATGCAATTGTGCCCAGGATTACTTCACATGCAAGGCGCTGAAGTGCTGTGAAATCAGCAGCCGATTCAGTGTTACTCTATGCTTATGCCAAACACTGAGACATTCAGGCGTTCTCAGTGCTGAGGGGTGGATTAAAAAATGCATAACATCACTGCTTTGCACAAGTATGAGGCTGAAGAGAGGCGGAGGAGGAGAGGGCATACTGGAGAGTCAGGAGGAGGAATATGGCACTATACTCGTCCAAGACGTCAGGACAGGTGTTTGGAGAGGATACAGCAAGCATAGACACACACTTGCACACATACAGAGTCAGAGAGGAGTTGTCTTTGTGATGCCACCAGGAAATGTCAGCTCTCTAGAATTTAGAGCAGCTTCTGGGCAAGACTGGGAAACCCGAAATAACAAGATCCATCAGGAAGCCACTTAGGGTGGACTGCAGAGCATTGTAATTATAATGCAACCTTTACAAGCACCATTAGATGTTTACTGCTGGTTAAGTTCATGTCCCAATTGCTCTGTTATGTGACAGTTTGGTGGTATTTCAGCTGTGTGCCTCCTGCAGCCACTGATGGGTGGAGGGTTGGAGAGTGAGAAAAAAGAGTAAGAGGGGGAATCCCTGCTGCAATAACAACTTAAGATCCTCCCAGTGGACCAGTAAATTTAGCTCAGTGTTCATGAAGACAGCTGCATGATCTGGTCCTACTCCAAGAAAAAAAAATCAATGCGACATTAACGTAGTTATGCAGACCAAACAGGTCGATTTCGAGGGTTTTTAGCAAAAAAAATCACTATTACAGCAGAGAATTAAGGTGCACCTGAGGACATTTTCATGCAGAAATGTAGGATTGTTTTATAAGTAGATGATCACATCGATTAAGGCAAGTTACGCGCACGGTTGATTATGTTTGCTGCAAGATTTTCCAAAGTTGATCCACGGCAAAAAGAGACACATAAGGGAATATTTAAGGTCAACAGGAGGATGCATCTAAATTTGGAGTTCGGTCCTAAACGCACAGCCCCACTTATCGGGTTTTACAGGCGCACTTCATGCACATGAACTCCTCCTACCTTCCACTTTGGTGAGGGTGAGCACCGGACTGTTGCAGGCGGACAGCGGGGCGACCCTTGCGGAGTGTTTCTTCATGGTGCTGAGCTCGGGTGGGCTGAGCTCGGAGCCGCTTCGACTACATCCCTGAAGCTGATTTGGTGCAGACACCAGACCTCTTGATGGGACCCCTTGATGTTCCTAGAGCCGGTCTCCTGCTCCTCTCTGTCCCCTCGCATCCATCCAACTCCCCTGTCGGTGTGCGTTTTTTTTTTCTTCTTTTCTTCTTTTTGTATCCCCCCACCCCCTGCCTTCCTCCTCTTGCCCTCCCCTCCTCAAATCTGCCGTTTTCAGTGCGTCCTGCCTGGTCTCTCCTCCCGTACAGTTTGGCAATTTGCTGCAATTCGGCAACGTCACATATTCATCAGTCACCCCACAGCGTCGAAACCGCCTCCCACCATCCACCCACCCCCGTGTCCCGGAGCAGGCGTGCCCGGCTGTCCTCCTAGACCCCCCGTGGCAAGTCGTGGTCTCTCCGGGGCAAAAGAAAAGCTTCCACTTGGACGTGGGCAGGGGGACACTTGGCTTTTAATTGAATCTTTGGCAGAAATGATTGGGGCAATAAAATTAGAAGAAATGGGGTTGTTAATCCGATTAACACCTTAATTGGACGATTTAGAAGCTCAAACTAAATTACAATGAAAGGAGATCCTCATTTATAGCAAGGGACCACGTGAAACACCTGTCAAGGTCACAGTCTCCAACTTTGGAGCAAAGCCCACTGAATGGCATTTAAAGAAGATTGTCAAGGTGGGCTACAGAGTGGAAATTGAGCGCCATAAAGCGGAACAGAGGAATGTGATATTTCCAAGTGTGTGGTTGATTTATGATGGAGGATTAAGGTCACATTAAGAGAAGAGAAATAGACTGGGAATTCAGTCCTACTACAGAGATAATAGAGTCACAATGTAAGGAGAATGAAGTCAGGATTTAAAGAGGAATTTTTGATGTCCATGTAACAGAATAAAATTCATATTTATGCCTTTTTATAATATACAAAAGCAAGCAAGACCACGAGATACGAGATTTCCATATATATTATGCATCAGATTTTTTTTAGTGCTTTACATTGGATACATCATTCATTCGTTCACACAGTCACACTCTGGTGGTGGTAAACTATCTTAGTAGTCACAGCTGCCCTGGGGCAGACTGATGGAAACGTGGCTGCCAGTTTGCGCCTACAGCCCCTCCGACTACCACCTCAAAGCACACTGACAATCACACACCAGTGGAGGACACACACTGGGAGCAAGGTGGGTTAAGTGTCTTGCCCAAGGACACAACAGCCAGATCAAGGATAGGGGGGAATCAAACCACCAAACTTCCAGTTTTTGGGCGACCGCTCTACCTGCTGAGCTACTGCTGCCCCAAATACCTCAAATCATTGCAAGGGGGTAGGTGTCAGCAAAGCAGCTGAAGAAACATCCCTGTTTTCCCCTGTATTTGATCGTTACTTCATGGAAATGCAATCAGACCAAGACACTAAGGCAGAAGAACTACCGCGTCTGCAGTGCAAACTGATTAATATGGTGATTATTATACTATTATACTATATTATACTGTTGATAAAGTTAGGTGCTGTTCTGAGCATTATTTGTGGCTATAGAGAGGTGTTTAGGTTGAGTGCATGGCTCTCAGTATTGCTATCTGCGGTTGTAACTAAATTTGGTATAACTAGAGAAGCAAGCAGTCGGCAACATTCATCTCTCGACAGGGTGTCTAACTCGGTGTTACAATGTGTTTGACCCTAACTTAAATTTACGCCGGAATACCCCTTTAAATATTCATTTGATTATAAGTACGCAGGATAACAAGGAATATGTGTGTATGAAGGACAAGATAAGTCCAAACTGCTTTGTCCACAGGGGGCGCCAAAATTTACACAAACAGGAAATTCGTCACAGAAGATTTACCATTGGGAGTGGCGAGCAAGGAAGCATTTCAATGTAGATTCTGACAGCTTGACATTGTTGCATAGTCCCATTTCTACACTTTTCTCTTCAGTAATTGTATGTCTTAATGTTTTATTGAAATCGATCATTATTTTAGTATTGATTGCCTGTTAAGTTTTCATTAATCCCAGAAAATGTGTGAAACAAACAAAAATCCATTGATGGGCTAAAGGGAAGCTGCTTGCCCCAAAATGCCATCAAGGTCACACAGTTCTTGTCACACATGATTATTCTTTTACCGTGTTTTGTGCTGAAGATACACCTACATCTACAGGACTCTTAAAACCATCACCAAGGCATAAATAGATCAACCTTTATAAGACCGCCGAATTATTAAAAAACTCTTAAAATCATTCTTTTCATAATTCATTTAGCCAGCTTGGTGGGGTGTGGGCTTGATAAAGATAATCCAGATATCAGTGAGTAGCAAAAAGGCTCATTAAAATTGGATGAAGGGCAGTTTAGGGACATCATAAATTATTTGTAATCCTGAGGAGTGATGCAGCCTCACACTCAGCTCCATTAAGATTTAATATTTACCTCATAATCCTGTTTTATCATGAGATTTTCATTTGCATATTACAAAACAGGAGACTGATTTAAGGTCTGTAAACTTGATCTGTTTGTTCAATCTAATTGTGAGGCTTTACAGATTAGAGCCACTTGTGCTGATGATTATAAGATTATAGGAATGATGCAGCTTCTTCTGACATGATATCGAGTATCATACATTGACTCGGGGTGTCGGTTCAGAACCTCTGCTTTCCTTTCTTCTAAAACTTTTACTACATCTCTTCAGGTGGTTGTACTTTAAATTTTGATCAAAAAGGCGTCTGAAGTTGGTTGAAATTATTGAGAGCATTTTGCCACTCAAACTGAACACCATCAGATTCTCAAGGCTGGAGAAACTCTAAACTTCAGAAACTGCTAAAAATGTTTTCAAATCTTAAACCAACCTTTAAGGTCTTTCTAGTAGCCAACACTGGGAGACTCATGATTGCCGATATGATTCTGGCATATTTGCTGGTGGAGCCAAAACATGCAATCTAACCCCTTTGGCAAAGATCCCTCAGATTGGTAATGTCCACAGCACAACAGACTCTTGGGTTAACATGAAGCAGATACTCAGAGTTATGGAAATTTTAAAGGTTCTTGTGTCTTTTTAGCATCGCACAATAATATAAAACCAACTTCCTCTAAGAAAGGAATAACTGGGCATAAACCAGCATGACAAGAACCAACTATGATGGAAAGTTCTAAGAGAAGGAATGTCTTTAACTTGTTTTTTTGAGTTTAAAGCTCCTGTGAGGAACTTTTAGTTTCTGAAAAAAAACTACATTCTCTTCTACATAGTGATGTCTGTCCTCTGGAGAGAAAAATAGTGAAATTAGACATTAATTGTATAGAAAAGGTAAAAACATGACTATTTTTCCTGTTGTTCAGCAGACACCTACCCCCTCACACTGGTTTCAAGCATTAAAATCTATCTTATGAAACTCATCAACCACATCCCTGATGGTTCTGTTTGCTTATGGATATCATAAATAGCCATTAACACGCATTTTAGTCTATTTCTAAGATGTTAAAAAAAAAAACTCATAGAAGCTTTAAAGCTTCAACCATGTCCCATCTGTTAACATGGAGAAGGCCAGCTCTGGGGGCTCCAGATGTTTGACTACAATTTTTATAAGCTCAAGTCCAATGTAGTCCACAAACTGATCAATAAGACATTAACAAAAGGGTAAACAGAAGATTGTTGTTGGTCATTTGGAAAAGAAACAGCTTCTGTGATTGTTATGCTAATACACTATTGGAAAAACCACAATAAACAGTCTCTAAATCAGTACCCGAGCTTTGGCTGTTTTCCTGAATTACAGAGAGGTGAAGTCCAACTAGCTGATGATACTGTGAGTGACCTGCTGAGTTTCAATCCTGATAGCTTTCAGTTTCACACCAGCCCTCTCATGTCCAGTCTGCGCCTTTGCCAAAGTCATCAGAGTGCAAATTACACTCAAAGCGCTGAAGTGAGACACATTTTCAGGCTTAACCATGAGGCAAGTGTGAGGAAAACCTCACTGAATGTCCTTTTACTTTGGACTGTTTCTTCTTTCAAGCAACGGAAGAAAATTGGTTTTCAAACCTGAAGTGACAGGTCCAGATCTTCACGTCGAGTATCATAACGCTTATGAACTGAGAGCTGTCAAACCAGCTGTAGTTTGAGCTATTCAGCTGAAATTGGGCCTTAGAAGTGGCAGAGATCCTTCAGCTAAAGTACAGATGGTTGTGTTAAAAAGACTCCAGTAAAGTAGAAAGACTTATTCAACTCCTTTGCTGAAAAGTGTAGGTTCCAAAATGTGTCTTCAGTACAAAAGTTAAAGTCTCCACAAGCTGTTTCTCAGCAGGGCCAACTCAAACTCGGGTTACGTTTGGTAGAGAATAACAGACTTCAGTTATCCTGGACTCATTAAGAAGGAAGTTACACAAATAATAAATGTTAACTCAACTCCAGATTTGCTCCATTGATGCTGAAGATGCAAGCCTGATACAGGTACAGATGTTTGTTTAAAAATGCAAGATAAAACATTAAAAAGCTTGCAATAACTTCTTTTCTACTACTACAAATATGTGTTTCTATTGTTATTCTAGGATGCATGATTAACCACTGTTACTTCTAACATTATGTTGTCACTCTTATTTTTCTGCACTCTATAGTTTGGAGCAATCGAGCACTGTAATTTCCCAGGATTCAAATCAAATCGATGTCAAATGTTTAATTGTGATTGGCTGAAACCCTAAAACGATGATAATCGAATGCAAAAGCTACACCCTACAATATCCCAATAAGAAAACACTTTAAAGTCAGCCTGTTACCTCCAACTGCATGTAGCACTGCAGAAGGGGTTGTTTCAGGTTTTACTGTAGTAGCTTCTCTTTTCCCCCAGGTCTCCTGAAGCCTCCTTCACTGTTGCCATGCAGACAAAAGTGGTCCAAACTGAGAGATCCAATATTTCTCCAATCGAAATGACAAATTATGAAACATGGCTGTATGTTTTAGATCTCAAATCTGACTGGAAAAGTTTGGGATCAACAAGAAAATCTGCAGCAACGAAGAGCAGAGCAGGACATTAATGTGCTAGCTTGTGTTTTTTATGACATAAATAAACACATACAACTCAAAGACAATTTTCTGCAAAAAGTAGTCCATGAATATATTTTAAACTGCATCATTTTCTTCTTGCACTTGGTTTCTTTCCACCTCTGCTGACACCCTATTCATTATACATGTGACCTGTGTTTAAACTTGCTATGAGGAACTTTTAGTTTGGTGACAAGTCTTTGTTGGCTCTTGTTGTGCACATGTCGTGTGTGTGATTTATGAGGAAAAATCTCCTGCAGATATTGTTTTAGCTGCATGCTAATACAGACCTCGTTAGAGCGGCGTTAACAGGCATTAAAAATGACTATAGAGACAGTCAGTCCAGTCGTTAATGGTGCTCTTTGCTCTGTAGGTCGCGCAGAAGCATCTGTATTCATTTGTCTGATTCATAACCAGATAAAAACTCCTCATGGGAGCTTTAACTCCTGAAAGGCCATTACTCTCAAACAGATGATTCATCAGAATGAAGCAGATTGCCGTCAGTGTCACGAGTTGAGCCGCCTGGTATTGATCTGCGAGCGCCTCAGCTGTCCCTGTGACCCCTTTTTTTTAAAGACATATGTGTGTGTGTCTGCAGTGGCTCTGCTTTTGTGTGTGAGCGTAAAAGCCGCTGAGTGTAAGCACGCCTAAAGGAAGCTGTGCTAAATAATTCACTGCACAGACTCCACCTCACACTCAAGCAAAACTCCCCTGCCCTGCCTTAACTAGGACAGGGAGCTTTAAAACCACTCTGCCTTTATCCACTCTGCCGTCCCTCTGAAACCAAATCCACTGGATCCTTCAGTTTTTCCAGCCTGTGTTTGGTTTGAGCAGAAAAATGTCAGAATCAGCAGGTAAAGTCACATGGATGAAGTGCAAGGTCAAACTAAAATGCATCAGATAACACATTAAACATGTCACCTATAATTTACACTCTTGTTTGTCACTGCTTAAGACTTAGAGTATCTTTTTTAATGTTTCTGAGAGGGTCCCATCTGGTTTCTGTAGCTGCAATCCTCCTTCGGGAACCTAATTTTCAGGAGCTTATCTGGTGAAAACAAAAAGATTCAGCTGAAGATTCAGTGATAGAGAAGACAGAGAGGTTGAAAAGGTGCAGCGGGTGAGATCATTAAAAGATCCCAGTCAGTGACTCATACAGACTTCAATCTGGAGACACGGACGAAGATCAAACTGATGCCACATGACAACTCTCTGTAGAATCATGCGTATGAATAGGGATTAGTGTGTATGAGCAATAAATATGTGTTCCTGCATCAGCATAGCCTTTTGAATTTCTATTTCCACTCCCAGTCTGATGGGATGGGATGAGGGGAGATTATTCTTCCATGTACGGAGGGATGTACTCTCACTCCCTAAAGAGATGCTTGTACTTTTCCTCAATGTTTATCCAAGCTGAATAACAGGACAAGCCGCGGTAGCTATCTCCCAGGTTAAACAACCATAACTGTGCCAATGACTGCTGCTCTAATGTTCCTCCTTAATCATCCGATAAACCAAATATGATCATCATGAGCATTTTCAGGGGAAAATAAATCACCTAACGCAGATCACGGGTGCTAAAGGGGGACAAAAAGCTATAAGAGAAGGAGGCTGGAACCTGAATCTGGTAAAAAATTATAGCAAGAAAAAGCAAGGAGCTTATCCTCCGGGGAGAATTTAATGGGTTGATTCTGCTCAGGGAAAGCATTTGATGGAAAAGTTGACCTGAATTTGAGGAGATAATTTGAGGGAAATGTTTTAATGGAATAGCAGGAAATGAGATTATTTGGAGAGGTCTGGCAGCTACAGAACTTTTTATTTGATGTTCGAAGTTGGAGGTTGTTTCCAATTTAGAAAATGTCCCACAATAAAAGTATGAACCCAGATTTCTCTCAACGGTTTTAGACACATAATCATGATAAATTATTCTCACAGTAATAAGTATGCATTCTTTTCCAGAAGGCTACCGTCACTTTTTTCACCAGAGGGGTGAGCAAGGGGGCAGATACTGCAAAAAAAACCCTATTTCTACACACTTCACCTCTAAAATGAGCAAGATATGAGCAATTTAAGCAACTGTATTTTTACAAGATATTGGCCCAAGAGGTAACAACTGCTGATACTTGAGCAAAAGAAGGTAGATACATGTGTCTTGACTCAAAAGCATCATTAATTTATGAGAAAAAAGTTCCTGTTTCATAATGCTCACTCTGTCCCTCTGCTTTACTAACACACCTGCTACTACACACATACAGGAGTAGCTGATTGGTCTGTTTCAGTGTGACTATATAAGGCATCGTCAGTCCATTAAGAGCTTAAAACACTGAAAGTAAGGAGGGTACAGCTGAGACATGACCCCTCTATTTCTTTCCATTGGCAGCCACAATTGGATGTTGTTCTTTATGTTCAATAGGTGATTGCCCTAGGCCCCCAAGATGTTATAAATGTATATATTACCTGCTTTAAATCTTCAAGAGGGAGGTGAGCCTTTACTTCAGCTGTGCATCTAAGCTGAAAGAAGCTAGACTTAACATTAATTAACTGGGAGAGATCGAAAGGTAAGTAAGTAAGTAAGTATATGCTTTAAGTAAACAGTAGCTCCACCTTAAGATCCTGCTTTTATCTCTGCATCTACCTCATCCGGAGTGTTTTCAGCATAACAAATCAGCTGTTTACTGTAATCCAAGTGGGTGGAAAGGGTGGGAGGAAAATGAGGTGGTTTGAAATCTATATTATTGATTATGCATAAAAGTGCTTCAGCTGCAAACCAGACCACACAGAGACGGTGATAAGATGATTGACTTTGAGAGCAGGGAGGTGTGTGTGTTAAGAGTCAATCTTTTCTTACAGTCTAATTTACACCGAGCAATAGTGTAAATGCGCTCGACTTAATTTGTGTACAGCAGATGCTGGTTCAGACTGACTGAGCTGTTATCGTTGTAGCTTTGCCAAAACATCAACAGATTGCTTCTTGGTATTTCTCGTGCAGTTCCACAGCCTCTCTGATTTAAGAGACATCAATCCTTTCTTTTAAAACCAATTAACACTTTATATCAGACTGACACTGCTGAAACTACAAAATGCATGATATCTCTGGTGGATCATGAGTCAGACTTTTACATTCGAAAGCAAGAGGAGCTGAACAATTATCAACATCGATGGTTCAGAGTTGTAGGAAGATAATGAGCTCAGTCATAACTGCAAAACAACTCTGTGGTAGAATGATATGTTGAATTTTTATTAAAGATACTGTAAGGAGTTCTAATGTTGTGTCGTTTCAAATGACCTCTTTGGATGAAATGGGTTGTTTTCCCGTTATGAAGACTGCATTTCCCATGAGGACCATCAATCACAGGAAAGATGCAAGCAGTTGTTGTGAAAGTGAATCAATTTTGGCCTTTATTATACAGGACAGCTAAAGAGCGGCAGGAAGTGTGAGGACATGCAGCAAGTATCGGTGGCCCCGAATTGGACATGACAAGGACTGTTGCTTCATGGGACAGTCACTTAAACTTCCATAAATACATATGCCTCATACAGATACTACTTTATTTTGCTCCACAGTTTGCATGCTGTAAAGTTGTCCTGCCTTGTTTGTCAATTGTTTTGGTATGTGCAGTCGTGTAGTCATACTCTTTGGACAGGTGAGGGCGTTCCTGTAAATATTTTCTAACTTTAAAAAGTAACTCTATTAAGTGGCAGCATGTACATCTGCTGAACTAAATTTTTGAAAAGATGATGTTGGTCCAAAATTACCTTTTTACAAACAAGAGAAAGTGACCCGCTCTGATATGCAGCCTGTCTAACACAACCCCAAATAGTTGATAGTTGCGTAATAGTTGCAATAGAAGTGCCACCCCTGGCAATCATAGCCTGGGATTTCAGGATGTTATAGGTCAGAATAGTAGGTAGCTGAATATCACCACCTAGTGTAGTGGAGGTGGACATGCTATTGTCAATAAACCTGTTTTGCCAAGTGTTAATATATAAGGACAGTGTCGAGTTAAACTGTCTGATCCAGGTGTAACTGTTGCTTTACTCAACTGTGCATGTAAATATACAGTTTCATATCATTTAAAAATTATTCACAGTGCCTCTAAAACATCTACATACTGAGCACATGCATGTTATCATCATTGCTTCAGAGACGTGTGAGTATAAACTGCGGTCTCTTTCAGGTCTTCTCCAATTGTATCCCCTTGTTGCAAACTGTCCCTGGCTATAAATGATCAAATACTACAAATTTACCCAGCATGAGCCAATCAGAAAAGTGTGCTGCAACAGAACAATCTATTTTAATACTACTATGAATATTTATGATGTAGTGACTGATGTGGATATCAAATATTGACAGTGTCCTCTGTAGGGAAACCTTGGCGAAGGTTTCAGTGTTTGCCTCTCTGTGGAGTTAAGTGAATATCTTATCTCCTAAGGACAGTCTCTCCTTGCACTGTTCCTGCCCAGGTCACCTCTGGTCGCTGCTTAACATGGAGAGCATGTCGTGGAGCTGTAGACATGGGAGCAGAGGGGTTCATTACCAAACTGGAGAAAAGTCTGTCTCTTTGCCCTCACACTTAATAACAACTCCCAGGGCGTGGGAAGAGGTGGGGGCTGGAGCATGAAGTTCTAAATAACATCTTGTTTGAAGCTCCTGAAAGGTCAAGTCAAATTAACTTTCCCTCTTACAGACCTAATACATCTTCAGAGCAGACGCAGCTCATCTGTGCGGGCGCGCTGCTGTCAAGGTACTGCAGCCTACAGCGCTTTATTGGATTAATGTCCTCAGCAGGTTCCCCTGGGGAGAGGGAGGGAGTAAACACTTGCCAAAACACTTTCTGCATTTAAGTTACATTACAAAACTAAAAAGTGGTACGCAGTATTGATCTGCCATGGAAGTAGTAAGCAATTTAAGGAAAGTTCTTTAGAGAGCTGCTGATACTGTTACAGAGATGGTGCTGTTAGCTAACATGCGTATGAATATTATCTGATGAAATAATAAATAAATGACTTAATTCATGATTAGAAGATGAGACTTTCGACAATCAGCCCCATGTTGTCTTGGGGTAAATTAACATTTCAGCTCCAGACAGGAGCAGCGGGAAATATTTGCTCTGTATTACAGATGTCTGAGGCCTCTACAGATGCACTGAATGGAGCTGATAGATACTATAATGGTGTTTTGATGCCTTAATTAAAGAAAAATTAGGTATCAAGAGGAAAATTAAAAATAAATTACAATAATAACAAACATTTATACCTATATGTAACACCTAGCATAACACATGTGGTTGACGTGACAAAGTAAACATACGTATATCCATCAGACTAGAAAGATTCATGCACTGGTTCGCTTAGTGAAAGAGTGAAGTATAGCACACAAGGCCATACAGTCAATACAACATGTTAGCCAGCTAGCATGACTCAGCAAAAAGCAGCCCAACAGAATAACAGCAGAAATTTACAAAAACTGGCAAAGTAAGAATAAATAATGATCAATAGCAATGACACACATAACTGCCCTCGAGTAAATATTGACCTGCAGCTTATGAGTCAACTGATAGACTGAGAGACTTGTTTGAGCTGCGAGCTAGCAAGATCTTATTGAAGAGCCAGTAACCCACTCAGTGACTGAAACTAATGGGATAGTTGCCTGTAACATTAAGGATTTATTGATACTGTCAACGCAACTGATTGTAACCTTATTAGGGGCAGACAAAGACAAGCCAACAAAGCAAACACAGACCTATCATCAAACATATAACATTAATAATACTGCTGGATGAGGCCAAAAAGTAATGTGTAACTTATTTGGATAAAGTGCAAAATCTGAGTATAAACATGAGTATAAACATATTAACAAATGACTCTAATTTTGATTATTAACTGATTACTTGATATGATTTAACCATTAAAATGTTCAGTTAAAATGAAAAAACTATAAACAACATAAACATCTTTAAAGGTCTTGTCTCATCCATCAAGTAGTAAATGGTAAATGGACTTGACTTTTATGGCACTTTTTTCTAGTCTTTCTGACTAGTTTATGCACTTTCACACTATCTGTCACATACATCCATACACTAATGGCAGACGCTGCCACATACCATAAGTGCTAACTGATCTCATTCACATGCACTCACACACTGCCAGCTGTGTCACTGAGGGGTCAAGAAACACTTTGGCATGTGGATCACACAACCCTCTGATTATATTACATCAACTCTACCTGAGAGGTGAAAATCCCAAAGATACTCTTGGTACGTAAGTAGAGGCAAAAATTGCAGAGGTCCTTGTAAGACATAAATTTGATTTTTTTCCCCCCTTGTAATACAGCAAATTTATTTCTTTGTTCCTCTATGGATCTTGACTTAATTGTTTTGTCACACCAGCTGGTTTCCCCCTTGATAATAACTGAATTAATGTTGTTTTCTTGAAGCTTTGACTTATTTTTTACCTGATAATAACTCTGGCCATGTGGGGAATAAAACAACTGACGGCTCACTGTGATAAGCTAAATCAACCTATGCCATGCTGCCGTTTCCCACCAAAGGGGCAATTTTAGACTGTTTATGTGTTTCTTTTGTAATTTTGCAATCTGTGGAAACAAATTATGAAAACCAGCTTCGTTATCTGATGATTGAGAGATAAATTAGTCAAGATTTTGCAACAAGAAAAAGGAAAATACATGTCATGGAGAAAATAAAACGTATGCATACATTTGTGCTACCTTTCCAGAGGGCCTTTAACCTCCCCTCACACACACACATACATACATATCCATCCAAGACAGACAGCACTTGATTGTCTGCCATGATAAAATAAAGCAATCTGGGACCTCCTCTTAATTACAACCACGACTAATAAAGTCCAGAAGCATCTATTAAATTGCCGTCAGGTTGTAATACCTTATGATTGCCCCAGTAATCACATTCTACCCCTGAGGCCCACGCTCAGTCAGAGAGAGAGAGTGAGTCTCCATTAAATTTACATCCCACCAGAGGAGTCAGCCCACAGCAGCACATTTTGTTTCCAATTAAAGGTGTTTCAGATCCTCGGTGTGTGGTGTTTTATTTGGGGTGCAGATGTGCAGCGAGGTTCAGAGGCTGTACAGGGATGTGTGCGTGTGTGTGTGCTGCAGGACACAAAAGCAGAGATGCTTTAATTGAGAAAAATGGAGACAGCTTGAAAATTATACATGGAAATTACAGTCTATCCTACAGGAGATCTCATTTACTCACGTGTAAGTTACATATGGACCCTCAAATAACAAGTTAAAGCCAATATTAAAATCAGCATGTAGTTGTTGCCAGGGTTGGCGAACTACACACCATTAAAAAAGTCGTTAAACTAGATTTACACTATTGGCTATCGTAGAGTACTCCTGAATTTTGTGAGACTATAAAAACTTTGGGCCATAAAATGAAAGGAGGGAAAGTAAGATTAGGTTTTTTATGTTGTTGGAGGAAGTTTATAAAAACTACAGGTTTGTTTTCTGTGAAATTATACGCACCTTAAGGCAATAACTCATGTCGCTTAACAAAGCCCAGATGACAATATCTTGTGTGATAAACTTTCATATCTGTAACAGCTGGTTATAGAGTACTATGATTTGAACCTGAGTTTGTAAAATGATTTAAGTATATCCATTAATTTCACTTTTGGCAAACTGTTCAGGAGAGTTATTACACACTTCCCTGAAAGAGTTTCTGTCCAACTCAGCAGAACTTCCTGCAGCAAATCAAACTTGTGCTCTTGTTTACAAAAGGCAAGTTTCTGACTGACAGAAGAAAAAAACTCATTTATACACAGCCACTTCTTTATATATATATATATATATATATATATATATATATATATATATATATATATATATATATATATATATAATTCCTCTGGTAGCCTAATGTATGACTTGTGGGTCAATGCTAGGGGCCTCCACTGCCTCAGCAACATTAATATATCTGATCTAATATATCTGTCAATCCATGCTTGCTCAAATAACTGTGCCATGTCAATCATCAGTTTCAGCCATTTATGCTATTATGCTGCGTACAACCTTTAAGACTTTTTTGCATGTCCTCAGTTCACATGAAGGTTTATAATCACTTATAGGGATTGTTTTAAAGTCTAATAAATGCACTAATAAGTCCTTTTGAATGTGCATATAATGTATTATAATTGTGTTCAGGTAATATGTTACCAAATCATCATTTACATTCAGTTTTATCCACGGGGAGAATTACCCAAAATATCCGATAAAGTAGACAAAACCTCACACCCCTCCTCAGACCTTTAGAAACCCTCATTGGGGGCCCAGACCCAAACCTGAGAACCAGTGCTCAACCCTCCATACACTTTACTTCTGCAGGTCTTGATATGAAACTACCAACTTAATTTAGAGAGGTTATGAATTACATGTTGAGTTATTTTTGATACAGCTACATGACTTCTACTTAGTAAAGATACTGACCCTTGGTTGAAAACAAATGCTCATCTATTTCCACAGAAAAAACAAGTTTTCTTTATAAAATGGCGCTGGCTCCCCCTGTAGTCAAAGTTCAGTATAACTATTCAACTTTTTTGACTTGAAATTTGGCAATATGGTCTGAATGACTTAAAGTTCAGGATAATATATAGTACAAATTAGTATTTGAGAGGTGAATTAGAGCGAGTTTTAATCTAATTTATTGCCTGGTCAGTCTTAAACTTTACATTTGATGCATTTTTAATGTTCTGAGTTTCGGTGAATCTGAAACTCTCAGCTGTTTCTTGCTGAAGTTGCCCCTTTTTAAACCTCTCTCATCTCGCTGTCCTTAACAATATTCAAATTGTTCTAAATTGCTGTAATTATAGAGCAGCGCTTCCTAAAGCTTCTCTCTGCCATCTGCAATTTTGCCTGACAATTACCAGAGCCTGAAAGTGTAAGCACAAAGTTCAAAACATATTACATTATGCAAATTTATCCTTTCTACCACAAAACTGTTTCTCAGAGAGAGAGAGGAATCTTTAGGGCGTTGCATTTCATGGCACCCATGACAGGCAAGAACTGAATAATATGCAGGTCCAGGCCTTGAACATGGACTCTCTGATATATCGATGGCTTGATTTGACAAATAATTATTTTTAAAAAATCATTAAAATGAAAATAATAGGTTGTCAAACAGGCTTTCTCTCACTGACAGCAGCTCTGAAAACACCTGTGGAGGCAGTATCCTCACACTGCAGAGCCCGAGGTACGCCTGCAGGGGGCACTGTGACCACACGTACGGTAACACCTGATGAGACTATCACATAAAGACATCTGTTCAGGCTTAGGATGAAAAATGACCAAGAAATCAAAGAGGAGCTCAGCAGTGGAGCAGAAAGTGGGGCAGCAGTAATGAAAGGTGACGATGTGACCCACATACACACACCTGTACAGTAGACTTATAACAAAACAGACACACACATCTAGAGGACCAGAACGAACCTGACAGATTCTAGATGAACTAACCTCCACACTACAGTACACACACACACCTACATAAATAGTCACAAACAGTATGGTGGCTCTTTTTTTTCTGTGTTTTGACAGGATCTTAGACACACTATGTTTTTTATTACTTTTTCTTTAACTATGAGAAAAACTCAATAAGAAGACAGAGTGTCCAGGAAGTAGCACAGACTACCAAATTTTTGTCAGCAAGCAAGTTAATGTTTATAGTGTATTAAAAAGGCATTACGTAACAGAATGAGACCGCTAATGTTTATCCAAATTTATTAAAATCAAAAGTATATCCAGCAGAAAACCTAAAGCCAAATGCTCATTGGAACCAGTACGTTTAGCTTCAGCTCTTTTTAAAAAGAGAGCAGCAAACTTTGCTCTGACCTTTGAAACAGACCGTAAGAAAAGGTCAAAGTTTCCTGTATTCTTCTGTCTGACGGAGGTGAAGAGGCATGAAGGGAGCAGAGCTGCATAGGGAGTGTAAATAGGAAGATGCCAGTGTTTCAGTCTGAGTGCAGACAAAAAGGACAAAGACGTTCATAAAGCAGAGAGTGATGAGAGAGGGCTTTGAAATTAGAGATTAACATCAATGCAACATGATTACAGTGTCCAGAGCAGGCAAACTCTGAGAAGAGGTGTGCATCTCCAAGGCATCACAAAAGTCCAACACTAGTAGGAAAGTGGCCCTGAAGAAAATCAGGAATTGAAGTTAAGCTTTTATAATTTCAACAAGTGTTAGGTCATAAAAATGTTGTTGGACAGTTTTAAACGCAATCTATAAACAAATGAGAGTTCAATCAGTGTGTTGTACTATATACATTACATTGTCATCTGCATAGAGCTGAAAATTTACAATAAAGACACATTTTTTTTCTGAATTAACTATTTATCTTGGCATTATAGGAGATTTTTTATGGAACAGTTTTTCTAAATAATCAAGATTTAATGATAATTAACAAGGTTTATCTGACTTGCACAAAATGAGTAACTGCCCCAGTATTTTAAGTATTTTTCCAATCGTCGTTTAAGTCACAACATAACCAGTCTGACGGCATTTCTGATGAATCGTCTGATATCTATGAAGCAACAACAACATCCAATAGATCAGAAGGAGCTTTACGATATGATATGATACGATACGATACGATACGATCACTTGTTTATTCCTGTAGAAATTCATCTTAGATCTCACTGCTATACTAATAAACTCTTATTTCCTTTGCTTTCTTTCAAAGTACATCTTCTGAATTAAGTCAAACATTTATTTTCATCTCCCAAAAGGTCAAACCAAACCCCATTTTTAGTTCAACTTTGGAGCAATCAATGATTAAATGCTTATTGTGAGTTTGTTGATAAATTTTAGGTGCTCAGTACTCATCTGTTTCTCTGATTAGGACTGTAAAAGCCCAGAAATACTCAGGATTCACTTCATATACAGGGCTTTTGTTCATTATGATCATGTTTCTAATGTTTCTAATGTTTCTAAACAACTGCAGAGATTTTATGTCCTGACAAACAAGCTGTATGAGGCTTTGGCTGAAGAGACATTACATCAGAGTAGGATCATTTCATAACCTTTATTGATGGTTTTCAAAAGTACCACTGTTGAAAAATTAAAAAGTGAAGAAAATCAAGCCTTCATTTTTTTCCTCGAGACAGGGTTTATTGAAGTACACTCTATCGTCTGTGAGCCTGAGGCATAAACAGATACATTTCTTAATATATCACAGCGGAAGGCAGCTTTCACATACTGATGCATTTCACATCCTGACAGTTTACAAAACTTAATTACCATTAGCAACATTCAGCAATGTGAATTTTAACAAGGTACCGCAGAATTTCTTCTCTGCCTGAGTGTTTGAAATGCTTTTATTCATCCCTCCAGTGGGAAATCTCTAACCCTTTTCTAGTTAGGATGCAGAAATGAAAAGAGTGGAAGTTACTGCTGATTGAAAGGGTTGCAGAGAGTATTTATTCTGTGGATGGATGCCTCAGAAAGTATTACAGCGCTGGAGCAAACCTTTAATAAGCCCTTCAAAAACATCCAAGGAAACTGTCAGGTCAGTCCTGAAACTCCTGCATTTGTCGACTATATGACCAAGGATGGTTTAAACTGATGTCCAGTTACCAGCTTTCATTTACCACCAGCTGCAGCTTTACTGGATCTTAATAATAATTATAATAATGCCCATTTTCGCTAATTAATAGATAACTCTAAGTAACGGTTGCTGATTAATTAGACCTCCTTAAAGTGAGTGTATAAGTAAATTAACATACTTTGAAGCAGCTGTAGACATGAGCTGTAAACATAAGTTCCCTTTAAATATGAGACTTAATCAGGATTTCTCAGCTTTTGCAGCCAGCCTGAAGTGGACACTTGAAATCCTGCTGTAGTGGTTTTTCAACATCAGAGGTTTCAACTTGGACAGATCTTGTAGTCGAAGAGTGAGGTACTTATTTAAGAACATGAGTAGGCAAAATATCAGCCCTCTCAGGGGCACAGGAAGTCATTGACAGAATCAATCAAAAATACACTTGGTGACCACAGCGTCTGTTGGTCTGCCACTGCTTTGACTTGTTAGTTTGTTTCTTATAATACTGCATATTGTAGACATCGAAGTCACACAGTAACACTAAAACCTAACAGATCCAGATCTAATAGTTACTTATTTTTCAGAGTAGCGACTTCTGTGCAACAATATAAAATTCAAGTGTAGAAACAAGCCATAAAATCAAGCTCAGCTGATTTTGATGAGCTGACAGCTAACATTTTGTACCTTCAGTGCAACTAACAAATGTCAAAATAGCCCTCCCATTTCAACTGGTGTAGCCTGTCAACTCTTGCATTGCTTAGATAGAGCTGGTCCAGGCCTTGACCAGCTCTTGATTTTGCCACGATAGGTTGAGATTGCTGGGGGTACTGCCACATTGTACACCTTTCCCCCCTTTTCTATCCTCTATCTTCACTTTGAATCATCATGTCACATTTAATGTCCCTTGGTCCTCTGGATCTCTGCTGCAGATCTTTAGCTGCTGTAGAAGATTTTCCTTGCTTAATGCTGCAGTGCCACATTCATGCACACACTCATTACCACCAAATATACCTTACTGGGTGATAATATTTCATTCTCTTCGATGAAAGTGGTCCTGACTGATTTACTGTGTTTTTCAGCTGGTGCGACAGCTGTTTTGAGCTGATAAATGAAGGATTAACAAAAATAGATATCCCTATGGAGATCTTCCCTGTTATGTTGTCAGATGCAGGTCTATAGCGTGTACCTCCAAGGATTACGTTTCAGCCGGTTTGTGCCGGTCCACAGGAGACATACATTCAACTGGTTTGTGATTTAGAGTCTGAGAATGTAAAAATAGCACCCAGGTTTAAAAATAATTGGATTCCCCCTTTTAATAAAAGATTTAACTCATCATCACTCTCACAGATGGTGCCTTTGAGACTGCCGACAGAGCTGTGAACATCCTGAGCACAATGGAGTCAGGTAATACACGTGAGACTGAGCAACTCAATTAGGAAGAGATTTGGCAAAATGAATTGTTTTTTTCTTGAGGCTGGCACACTGACCAAAACGAGATTAAATGCTTCTTTTTGTGGCAGGAAATCCAGAGCCAGAGTTCATATTTGTAGCTACTGGTAAAATATAGTCGGCAGTTTCAGCGGTGATGATACAGAACTCTCTGTCATGAAGGGAGAACGGTATTGATTTCATGCCAAACAGAAAGAAGAAAGCAGTTCTGCTCGGTATAATCATGTTTATTGATCACGTTCAGATCTTTTTCAGTCTTTGAAGTGTTCAGATTGAGCACAGTCCAGCCGGGTCGCTTTCAACTCTGATCAAACTACTTTCTGATCACTTGCAATCCAACCTCTCCATCCATTACAGCCGCAGGTGGTTGGAGTCCCTTCAAAAGGCCACGAGCAGGTGTGCAAGCACCATCAGTCGTGTAAAATTCACGCTCTTTCTCTCTCCAGCTCCACTCTTCACCCGGTCCAGAATGTGTGAGAGCATCCCGGCACACAGCGAGCAGTCACTGCCGGACAAAAATAGAACTTGATGCCCTTGCGTCCCCAGAGCTGTAAATGCATCGTTTTGTGCGCTAGTTATTGGGTTTATGGAGGAGCGGCTCCCTTCATCAACACGGGACAGAGTTGCCGAAAATGAGGGGATTTATCATAACAGTGAGGCAGGTTCTCATTAGGGAGAAGTGTGGTGTAAGCAACAAGGGAGACAAATGTCACCTGAAATCATGCTCCATTCTCCACCGCAATTACCCAGAATTCACTCTGAGGAAAAGGAAAGAGGAGCTCGATATTTGGAAATTGCACTGACAGCATTTTAAACTTTCTGCACAGATAATAAAATCAGTCTTAAATGCTCTGTGCATTCGGGATCTCTGAAGCGTTTTTAATACGACGCTCTTTCCGAGAGATGTTCAGATGTGATTTTTCCTATCATGGTTTAGCAATATGAGCCAATAAAGTTCCTGTAAGAAACAAATGAGAGAAAATCACGACAGAAAATGCTCAGGATTGTTGGAAAGGTAATTACTGCTAATGTTTCCAGCTTTGACTGGAAGCAATCTTTAGTAAGGATTATTCCAATTTTAAGCATTTTAGACTCGAGGGATCATCTGTCAAGTATTCACCAATACCAGTTTTTACTCCAATTAGCCGGCCTATTACAGCCCACAGGGGCAGTGTGGCGTCTCCATCAGCTTGAAATGGATCAACTCAGTCAGTTTCTTTGTTCTTCTCTCTTAGCACTGTGTTTTTATACGTTATCTCTCCCTATACGGTTTTCCCTCCCTCATTCCAGTACACAGATTAAAGTTTTAACTGTTATGTGGATATTACATCTCTGCCCCCTCCTGTTGTGAAACATGAAGCTAAGATACTGCCTTAATAGGTGCTGTCAGACTGTGCAGAGTCCAGCCAGGAACGGTTTAAACAACATGAACAACTGTGAAAACAGAGTAAAAACAGATTGTGTAATGCAAAGAAAAGAAGTATTGCACTGCAGATAATATGAAGTGTATTGCATGGTACAAAAAAAAAGGCATCAAAAAAAGTAGGGCTATAAGGTCCTAGTCGATTAGTTGACTCATTGGTCAATACTTTTTGAGTCGACCAAAATTATGATTGATCAACTCCATTTTTTTTGCGTCAATTTACAGTCTATGGTTAATTTCATCAGGGGGAACGTACCAAATGCTAATGGGGGTGTTTTCAGAGCACCCCCGTTTCACAGGTAACAGCCTGTCTCACAACAACCCCCTTGTTTTCATCGTTTTGGAAACCGACTAGAGACAGGAAGACTGAACAGGGTCCATGCTCATCAGTGTCCAATGGTTTGCTGAATATGATACTTGTGTTTAACTGCCTTCATGTGCTGATATCAGTATATTTTCACCCCGCCGAGCTGCATCATCCCTCGCCGCAGAAAGGTTTGCCATCAGAGTTTAAGGGCATAGTAGGATCTAGTTTATTTTTGGTCATATGCAGTCAAAAGCAGCAAAAAGCTCTTAAAAACTGTGTATTTGGGTAAGAGGACCTGCTTTTTAATGCTTGAATCATTTTCCAATTCTATCAGTATCAAGTATTTCCCTTAAAGCTCGGGGTAATTGTGCGAAGTAAACACTGGAGACTATTGGACGCTTGTGCGTTGGCTTGATTTGTTTAAGCAGTGTGATTAAGTGGGTACTCTGTACATGTAGCGGGCTGAGGGATGTGGACCAGTCAGCCGCTGGAGGGGGTGAGGAGGAGATTCAAGCCTCCCTGGCTCCTTCTGCACTCCCCCATTGGCTGTCGGCTCTCATACATGTCCACGTCTACTTTAATTGCCTGATTTCCTGACCCCACAGTGAATACTTCGTGCGCAGGGGGCTGGGGGTTATAATAATGACTTGTCGTGGCATCAGTGGGAAAGCCTCGCTATCACGGCTCAAACTAAATGACTGTAGTCCCTTACAGACCTCAAGATTTAACACTTCAATTAAATCCTACAAGAGTGCTTCACAGGGAAAATATTCTTGGTTTTCTGATAAGGCCATGTGACACCGAACAGTCAGATAAAACTGAAGCAAAATGAAGGCGACCTTTATCTCTAATCCTTCGAAGAAACTGTGAGAAAAACTTCACATTCAAACCCCAACCAGAGTAATGTTGAATTTATTCATGAAATTGTATTATTCTAAGAGGATGACTCACAATGACTCTGACAGAATCCACATTTTCAACTGTTCCAGCAAAAATTGGACGAACTTTTCTCATTTTAATTGACGTATCTTGATGATTGTGGGATGATTTAACAAGCAAAATTGTGACATTTTCCTCAGTATACAATTGTAAAGAATTTGAATGTACCATGAATAATGAAACTATTGTCTCTGTTCATCTCTCATTTCTCCTTTCAAATCATAACCCAGTCTCAGTAAATGGCTGTCCAACATGAGTCTGGTTCTGCTCGAGATTTCTGCCTGAAAAAGGATGTTTTTGCTTTTTCCTTTTCTTACTGAACCTGGGAGGTGACATTAACTTTTTTTTTTCCAATTAAGACGTGTGAGTTTGTATCTCGCACATGCTTTTTGTTATATTTCAGGTGCGATTTAACTGTTCGTTTATAAACAAAATCACTTTCTGCGAGTCCAAACATCGCTGATGGCAAAGTCGCTGTGCTTTGAGGATCCTGATGAGGTGCCTCCTACCCAACAATATACCAAATGTGGCTAAGCTACAAAGAATCTCTTAGTGAGTCATACCTAAATGAAAGAAAATGTTGATAATATGCTCTCTGTCCACGACACTGTCCTTCTTCTTTCACAAATTAGGCGCACAGAGGATTGTTTACAAAAACGCATGTGCAAGATACAAATAAAACGCATGTACAAGATACTAAATTGCACATGCGAATAAAAATAAAAGTTCATGTCATCTCCCGGGCTCCGTATTTTCTTTCTAAATGCTGCAAAGAGTTTCCCTCATGGTAGTTCAAGAGAGTAGATAGATATGATCTTATTAGATGAGACTCATTTGATAATACAGAGATTTTCCTCCTGTAACACTTCAAAGAACAGCCACAAAAATCCCAAAATACTGCGCTTTGTCAGGGTTTGCTGAGTAAATCAAGCTGAAACACAAAGCCTTGACAGTTACTGAGCTTTAAAGTCAAACACAAGAAAGGAAACACAAATTATCAATCCAGTCATGTCCTGCTTATCATGCTGAACTGTTTGTAATAAACTGTGTCAAGATTTATAAAGCGTTCAATCTTCAACAGTCAGGAGAGATGAAAACTTGTTGTCTAGGGAGTTATGCAAGCTTACGCTATCGGGTTATTGTTCACTATTTATGAGGCCCTTCATGCAGTAATGAACCAGAGAGACGGTTGGATGCGCTTGCTCGTGGCTTTGGTGTTCCTGAAGAAATCAACTGCTTACACTCAGTTATTAGTGAAACTCCTTTGAGCACGCCAATAATCCATGAGAGAGAATTAGAGATGGAGAGACTCAGCCAGGCATCGGTTTACTTCTTATTAATATGAATCTGTGGTAGAGTTACGATTCAACAAGTGAGGTTTCAAAAACTAGAGTTTGACACCTCTTTGTAGGCTTATGTCCACATGTGTTTCTTTGTGTTTTTAGAGTCTGCTCTGTCTTCAGTAAAGATTATCCCCCTTTGAACCTTTTTAGACCAAAGGGACCAGCTGTCGAACATTCATCGATGCTAATTTTTCTCAAGCAGAGACTCCAATTAGCCAGCCTATCACAGCCTCCACAGCCCACAGAAGCATTACGGGAGCCTTTATCATCTAGAAATAGATCCCTCCAGTCAGCTTCTTTGTTGTTCTTCCTCTGAGCCTCCACCTCTTTCTCTGACAGATCTGCTCAGGCTGTGTGGTTTTTTATGACCTCTCTGAGGAAAAAACTCCCTCACACATTCACAGCAGCGCGTGCATAAACCATCATCATCTCACAAAGACATACAGTAATTTCAAAGATTAGTTTGAATTTTTTTTTTTTTGGAAATATGTTTAAGCCAGATGGGAGATGACAAATCTAGATCATCATGATGTCTAATTGCGGCAGTAGTGTTTTATTTCTGATCATTTTAGCTGAGCACAAATACTGGGAAATTACGTAAAAGCAGAGATTCCCAAACACCTGTTGGATTTTTGATATTTCCTTTCCTAATGTTTAATCTACGCAGCACTGCAGACCATTTCTCCCATAAAACTTCTCTACATGTTACGCCAACATAAGATAGTTTCATAGTTTGTATAAACCAACTTTTGTCATCATCAGGAATTTACTCACTCATCCTCCAATCGTGTAAACCTTATTGTGTAGTCTCTATTTCATAATGTGGTCAAAACGCCATAATGACAGTATTTAAAAGGTACAGTGTTTGGTTGTAGGAATATTTAGCCAGATCAGTCAGTTAGAGTCTTGATTTAAAAATGCTCCCTTGCTCGCCTCATAATCCAGCAACGAAAGGCAGGATTTAATCCATCAAAATTTCTATCAATACAAATTACAGTTTAAAGCTTCCGTAAGGAGTTTTTGAAAGGTTATGAAATGGGCTGAAATTAACAGTAATGCAACTCTATAACATACAAAAGCTAATGGGACCAATGATGATGAAATTCACAATGTCTATACTATCATTATTTATGCTTAAGTGCTGAGGGGGTAGGTACACTAAAAAAGCAGCAAAATATTCAAGATGGGTCATATATTTAATTTTAAAAAGACAAAAGTTTTTTTTTTGTCAGTTAACAACAGTTTCAAACAAAATCCTCAATAATAGGAGTTACCATTTTATCCACAGGGGGCGCCAAAGTCAACAGAGACTGAAAGTTCCTCACAGCACCTTTAAACTTCTCTCTTCTACTTTGACCTTTCAGCTGCAGCCACTCATTAAAAACAAAACCATGTTCGTCTCTAGCTTGTCTGTTCTGTGCCACTGAAGAAACATGGTGGGGCAATATAGAGACGAAAGGGACCTGCTTCTCTGTAGATATGTTGTATGGTGACTAATTCCTACCAACACCCTTAACACGCTTAAAAAAAAGTTATATTTTTATTAACTCTGTAATAGTTGGCAAAGTCCATCATCAGGACTCAATTCTGTCCTTTTTGCTGATCTATCTTACAATATGGTCAATGCACAAAAAAATAAACAATACCACCAAGCTCACATTATGCAAATAAAACTCCAAGTCAATATTTATAAAATGATATTGAAAATAAGGCAAACTGTACTAATGTTGGCAGCCGCCTAAAGGAAAAAGTTTCAGTGCCAGTAGGTTTGTTTTCTGCAGCTCATTCTTCACAGTTACCCTCCTGTGTTGTTCAGAAGTTTTGAGGAGCCGCGCTTGTTATAGTAAATAACTAAAACTTTCCTCTTTTCTTTTCAGTTTCTGCTTCTACAGTGACATCCTGGCCATTTAAGCTGTCACAAAGACGAGGCAAGTTCATCCATTAAGCCCATTTCAGCATAAAAAAGGGCCATTCACACAAAGCATTAAAACACCATGAGAGAGGACATTAAAATCTCATTGAAAGAGGGGATTAAAAATCGCTTATACAGGCCGCATGCATTTTCAAAGAGGCTTTGACCTGCAGCCTGATACTTAACCTATGAATTAATATAGAGCAGAGAGAGGACACTTCAAGCGCAACTACCTGGAAGGTGATAAATGACTCCAAGCTGCAACCTCTACTGTCGGAAAATGAAGGCAGAGAAAGAGAGAGAGAGAGTACATAAACTGCAGTTTTGTGAGGGTCCTCCTAGGGCTGGGCGATAAACCGAAAATATACTAATACAGAAATTTACAACAATAACTGACGTCATTTTGCCCATGTCAGTATGTTTGGTGTCAAAAAAATAAATAAATAAAAATTGGTTTTAGATGTGTGTCGGTAAGCTATGGTCTCATGTCGCTTTAAGACGCTGTCCTATGTCAGAGATGTGACTCCACCCCATCCAGTCCGTAACAAAGAGGGAAAGACAGGTGAGGAGATGGAGGACGGTTCAAAAGTTGTAGCAGCTGAAGTAGACGAAGTAAATGTGGGAGGGGGTGAGCAGCTTGTGGAGTAGATATCGTCCATTTATCGTTATCGAGGTGAACTGCTCAATATATTGTGATATTGATTCGAGGCCATATCGCCCAGCCCTAGGTCCTCTTGAGGCTGAGTACAAAAGCCAAAAAGACCTGTCGGTGCCAACACCTTTAAAGAAAACCGTCAACTTAGAGCTACATGAAGGGGGTTGGTGGGAGTCTCCAGGAAGTGATTACAAGCAGTGGGGCCATCAATGCTGGATTGGGTAGCTGGCAGGGTAGCAATAACAGATGATACTAGAAAGCTACACAGCTATGTTTGCATTTCATAATGCCTATTTACAAACACTTGAGGTTGGATCAAACTGTTGAATGTGCAGAAATGTTCAAAAGTTGGAGGAATGACTTTCCAACCACAGGCTGCTTGCTGCGCCGTCAAATCTTCAACCACGGGAGCTGTTTTGATCCTTAAATCTGATGATCCCAGGCTTTATTCAGTCACAAATATTGACTTCATTTCCATGATAAGTGATGCACAGTGTCAGCATGGAGGCATGGTGATGGAATAAATCCGATCCACCAATGGCAGCACCAAGCACAATATCCTGGAGGCTCAACTGTTCTGTTTCCCCCCTGCTGGTTTGCCCCGGGCTGCACCGTCACAACCCCCACCGCTCCTGTGCTACACACTGTTCTCCATCTCTAAACCAAGACATGAGGATGCTGAACGGTGTTTTTATGATATTCAGGACCATCAGGGGAGATTGATCATCGAGAAAAGCTTGCCTAAAGAGGTTGAAGAAAAAAAGTAGCTAAACAGGCGAATAAAAAGTGCTCTCGAATGAGCTTTGGAGTTGCAATGATATCCAAATGTACTCACCTCGAGCAAGCTTATCTTAATGAGACTAAAATGTCCTCCTGTCATGCAAAAAGAAAAACATGCCATTATGGGCGTGTGTAACTGGGATTTCAGAGTTGCAAACACTGGACTGAATGAATCTGTTTACTAGAGCTATTCCTCACATGCCATGCGTGGCTGCGCCTGTTTGCCTCTCCCGTCTTACAGAAACTCTCTCCAAATTAATCCCAAGAGTCAGGTTTGCTTTGCAGGAGTTTTGGCAGAAATGGCAACACATTCTCATTTTCTATTTCACCACCTGGTTTTAGTGAAAGTGAAATAAGGAGCAGCGTTTGGAGAGGAGAGAGTGAGTGAGTGAGCGTGGAATAGATTTAGGATTGAGAGGAACGATCTGATCGATAAATTTAGTCGATGGGATTGTAGCTCTCTCTGATGCAAACATTCACACATACATTATGGAGGACGGGCCTGTTGCAATAAAAAGAGACCGCCGGTGAAGGAAATAAGAAGGTGGTGTGAGCTGATGTTGCATGACGGTGTAGGGAAGGAGTGTGGGAATTTAGTGTCGCATTAAAAAGGATCTGAGCAGAGAATCAAAGCACACCAGAGTTAAATTACATCCTCTTTTTTTTTTACACAGTAGGTTTCAAAGTTCAGGCAAGATAAGAAAAGGAAAAAAATTGACCAAGATGAAGGGTTGAAGGGTTAAATACATGCAACTGATGCTCTGTGCATCTTTGCTTCCAGCAGAGTCTTGTATCTGGACCGTATGTAATCCTGACATGTAATCCCCGCTGGCAAAGCAAAGAGATGCTGCAACACAGCACTCAATGACAGCGGGTCAATGGATATGTTGTTATTTGTAAGTGCTTTATCCTTTTTCTTTTATTCATGAAACAGCTGCAGTTTAAAACCTACAATCGTGACGGATATTTGATAGACAGATAAAAAACAGTCAATCTGGGAGTAAAACATGCAGATTATAATCAAATAGATGAAATATTCCTTTCATGCTGGAAAGATAAACTGATTTTTGCAGCTTTGCAGGTTAACTTTGTCTATAAAAAGTTTTACTTTTCTCACAGTTTCAAAGTGCAGTTTTTCATCATAGAAAAAGTTGGACTCACTAAGCGAGGGACTGAAATCTGCAGCAGTCTGATCAATAACAATGATCTATTTCACTTATATAAATCTGCACCAGCAGAATTGAACATTATTTCCTGTGTTTTCTAAAAAAAATGTCAACCTTAGTTATATCTCCCTTCAGGACTAAATATCAAGTCTAAAACAAACACATTAACACTGGTAGGGTGAGTCACCATCATCTCTTACTGTCGGCCTCTGGTCCACATGAGTCACTAAGTCAGACCCTGGAGATCGACAGGCTGTGCGTAATACATTTACTCAGTGTTTACACTACATGAACTGCATGAGAGTGACTCTTCTCGTTTGAATATTAGTCGTTTTCTGATTAACTGAAGGACTTTATGGCTGCTGTTATTTTTATTACATCTTCTGCTGATTTGTGTCAAAGTTTCAGTCTTTACTTTGAAGTTAATTACACTTGGGCCAAAATGCGTTTATTTTGAAGTAAAGGCTACTTTTTGAGATCGTAAGTTACAGAACTGTATGAAAACTGTTAAAAAAGCAAACAAAAAGGATAAACATTCAATAGATTAGCAACCCAAAGAGGGTTAAGATCCAATGTTGCATTTGGATTGACAGTAAATCTTTAAATTTCAGCTTTTAAAAGTACATAATCATCTCTCAGAGGTGCTTCAGGCTGGTTCACAAACAGTCTGCTGCTTCTATTTCTTCTCACCTCAGTTTTATGACGTGCCATATCAATAATTCCAATTTTCATAAACACAGTTAATATTTCACAACAGCCCTGTGTGACAGTAGGTAACTTCATCACTCTGCATCCTGTAAAAAGTCCCTCAAACAAAGTAAACTTAGACAGCAAATGTACACTTCAGCTGGAGCCACATCTTTACGACTGCAGCTGGGGAATAAATCTTGAAGCACAAGTTAGTGAGCGAAAACCTTTGTATAAATAACTTGTATAACCTTCCTTTAAAAATGAGCCATGATTTTAAACATCTTGCCTCTTTGAGATTTAGCAGACAGAGCAGCATGACGATTTATTCGCAGGTTTCTTCTTTGGCCTCCTGACAAGTTTAAATCTGAAGTTCGCTCTCCGCTCAGCCTGGCTTTTGTTTCTATCCGCTCCAGAGGGAAAATACCTGACTCCTTAGCTGCACTTTTCCACTACTTGTTACTAACTTTATCTGTCTGTTTTGTGCTGCAGGGCAGGCTTCACAGCTGGAATACTCAGGGATTTTATTTAGCTGAAGAACAAGGTTGGTAAGAATATTCGGAGTAAATAAAAACATTAAAGTTGCCAAAATAAACCGCAGGGGTGAGGGTTGAAAATCTCTTTTGCTTCGGCAGCAGGAGCACTTTTTATGACATGATTTGGCACAGCTTTAAAAGGCACTTTAACGGTGGTCAAGTGGTGAACTTATATGACCAGTTTGTTTTGACTGTTTTAATTCAGCAGTAAACAACATTCACACTTTTAAGTATGTGTGAATCAGACGCTGCTTCTTTCCTCCTCTAATTGGAGCGTTTGATTTACACCGCAGGGTAACTTAATCTGTGGTTCTCTTGCATACAAGTCCTCCAGGTTGCTGCTATACACTTACTCTGCATACAGCTCTGGGTAAGAGGATATAGACCATGCAGGGTAATATTAATGCAGACTTTATGTAAAGGTGATGGGATATGCAAAAGAGGCGGAAAAGGGAAAGCTTGAATTCTTTGGAGAGTTTAACATGATTGAAAAATGTAAATTCAGAAAAGTGAGATTGCTTGGGCGTAAAAGAGGAATCGTAGGGATACGACAGCGGCGCCAACTTTTTCATAACTAGGTCAGTTGGTGTAACTTTCCTCCCAAACCAACACTAAAACCACGAGACTCAGATATAGATAGAGCTGACTTTTGTTTCTATTTTTACTCCTTCACTCTCCCTGCACTCACTCCTGACACTTGGCTCAGATGCAAGTGTCAGGAATCATCTCTTTTCAACCATTGTCTCTGGTTTACTTGAAATCGCCTCTTGTTTTTTTCTACATATGTGAACCAAATAGACAAAATAAAACTAAAGGTCTTACACTAGCCACCAGAAGTTGACAAGGGCTTGTGTTTTTGTGGTTTAGAGCAACAATTTGGAATCAAGATGCGGCGTATAAGCCCCCTAATTACTCACACAACCTCATTTACACTTTGCTCTTTCTGTTCCTGAGCTCTGCTCTTCTGTGGCCGTACAGAGACAATGATGCGCCATCTGTGTATGGCCACAGTAGACCCTGGATTAATTACGCAGAGGTAGGAGTCATCACTTCACCACTTCTAATTAACGGCAGATAAAAGGACCGAGGAGGAAGAAAAGGGATGACAGCAGGACAGGATGTGGCATTTAACTGGCAAAATTTCCATTACAAGGAAGAGTGAGCGCCGCAGCCTTTATTGAGTTAGCACTATTATGCTCAAGATTAATTCTGAGAAACACTGAGCGCTATCAATACCAGGCAGTGGTCTCAAATATTCTTAAAGACCATGTGAATAAATTTATGAATCATCCGTTTGTCATCAGCTTCAAATCAGCTGGTTGACTCCCTCAGACTCTACTGAAAAACACAGAAAATACAAAAGGTTCTAGTCGAGTCATCAAATCCCAAGTCTGAGTCTAGTCTCAAGTCCTCAGGGTTTTAATCCAGGTGGAGTCAACAGAGAGGAATTTGAGTCAAATCCCTATTACCTGTGTCCAAGTCTGATCCTCATGACTAGTTTTCAAGCTGATTCATCTTAACCTAGGGTGGTGTCCAAGTCAAGTCCTCATTACTGAGGCCAAGCTGACTGCTCATTGCTGGTGTTTGAACCCCAGTTAGGTTCTTTTCTTATGTGTCCAAGTTTGAGTCAAGTCCTCATTACCTGTGCCGGAGTCCTTTTTACCTAGATCCGAGTCTAAATAGAGTCCTCATTAACTGCGTCTCAGATGAGTCCTTATTATCTGTGCCCAAGTCGGATTTTCATCACTTGGATCTGAGATCAAGTTGGGTTGTATCTTAGATGAGTCCCCTTCTCTGGTGTCCCAATCTGAGATAAGTCCACATCAGCTGTGTCTAATTTCAAGTCCAAAACCAAGTTACCTGTGTCCAAGTCCAAGTCCAAGTCAAGCTCTCATTACCCATGTTCAAGACCAAGTCCAGTCCCAATGGCCTCTGTCTCAGTCTAACCCGGGATTTCCACCTCAAGTGGAACGGCTCCATTCCGAAACGGCCCGACTTTCTTTCCAGCACTGGTTAATTTGGTCTGAATTTATCCGGCATGCTCTGGCATCCGGAAAAAATAGAACTCTTGCGAGAGCTGCAGAGTCTGGCGATGCGCAGCAAACAGAATGAAGCCCGTGGAAATTGACACAATGACTTGAATGGTTACGATCAGCTACGATCGGCGGATACGGCCTTTTGGGAGGTGTTCCGGAGGCGGTGGAAATTGGGGGTGAGTGGCGTCCTCTTTACCTCTAAGTTGTGTCCTGTGTCCAGGTCCAGATGTAGTCCTCATTGTTTTTGTCAGTGTCTGAGTTGGGTCCCCATTTCCTGTGTCTAAGCGGAGTCCTCATTACCGCAGTCTAAGTCTGTATCAAGACTTAAAAGACTTGAAATGAGGGCCGAGTTCTCAATTCTTGTCTTTGAGTCTGAATCAAGTCTTCATTACCAACACATGTGCCACCCTACATCTGAGTCCTCCTCCTCATGTCCCAGGTCCTGATGCAGTCAGTTCTTAATCTGAGTTAATTTGCGTGCCCTGAAAAGTCTCTTGTTTGTTTGTTTGTGTGTTTCAATATGAAACCTTATGGAGGTTTGACTCTCACTTGGAGCCCACTCCAAGTGGCCATCAAAGGAACTGCAGTTCTTAAGATGTTATTTATTATTGTCTTAAATTTGAGCTAGACTGCCACTCAGAAATAAATTCAAATATGTCTGCCTGCAATTAAGAAAATGATCCCTGTGCAGGAAGTAGTAAAGGTGCCTTAGAAGAAATCTCCCACTGTGATCTGAGACCGACTCTCCTCCATGGTGCTGTTTCAAACCCCCTGAATCGGCGGTCTCATTTGCTCCTCTGCCTTTGCACCTCTTTCTATGGTAATCTACACCACTTTCAATGACACCAAGAGCAAAGATGAGCAGCTGACAGCGACAAGACATGCGGCTTTCTTCTTCAAAGTGTTAGAGCTGATTTACAGCTCCTCCAGTCCACCGTGCACAGGTGGCACCTCTGGAGCAGGTGTGAGATGATCTATGCATCCCGATCAATTATGGATGTGAAGTTACACAGCAGAGGAAGTCTTTACCGTACAAAAGATAGGTAAAGAAAGGCCCGGATACGCTTGTGATGAGAGGCTGCGCTGCTGACTATGTTTTCAAAGATCTGAAAATTCTTTTAAAGCTTGAACACACTTCTCCGAAGCATACATGAATAGATCTTTATACATTTTTAAACATGTTGAGCCAGATTTATTTTCTCCTTGTTTGATTTAAACAGAGCTGGGCAAACATGCTCTGTACTCTACCCAGCCTGTAGTCAAGCTTTAATCAGGATAAGCCTAAATTACACCCTCAAAAATATCTCTTGGCCTGAATAGAGAGCTTGTTCTTTTCTTTGCTGACTTTCTTCGAGAGCAGACAAGATCACAACTCCTGCATGAACAATGCCTCAGCTGGAGGTGGATGGTAAGACCTTAGTTATTGGCACCAATACAACGTACACTGTACATAAGGAGTAGATGCAGTCTTCAGGTTTAAAGGAAGCAAAGCCAAAGCTGGTGTCCAGGGAGTAGGGATGAGAATGGATATCCCGTTCTTTTTTAGAACCGGTTCCCAGTGATTCAATTCCTTAGAAATATATGAGGAATCTATGCGTGATGTGTAGTACACGAGAAGTGTAAGTTGGTTCAGAACTGAACAGCATGGTGTCGAGGCAAAAGCACTCCAGAGTTTGGCTGTATTTCACACGAAAAGATGATACCGGAGCTACTTGCAACACTTCCAAAACTTTAATTGAAGGGGGAAATACTTCCAATATGCGGAAGTGTAACGTATTTGATACGCTACTTAGTGAAGGCGAGACTGGTACAGGCAAAAGTAGGAGCGGAGCCAACGTCTTAGTGTCATCTGCTTTAAATGCTAAAAGGTAACGTTTAACTCCTCCAGGTCCTGTCTGTTGTGTAGATTTTAGCGCCATGTTAAGCCCTCTCTTCATCTCAAACTACATTTAGATGACAATGACTGCCAGAGTCACGCTAGCTCAGAGGTTGGCTCTCACACTAGTTTAGAGGCTGCAGAGGTAGCTCTCGCGCACCTTTGGTAGCCCCTTTTATCGAGTTAGGGAAGACTAAAATGACAAAGGTGAAGACAAACGAATGCCACTGAGCTGTGACCAAATTTGGGGTCAAAGGGTAGGTCACATCACAAAATATTAGTGCATGGATATGCCATATTTACTGTCCAAAGGTAACAATATTAAAGAGTTAATGAGAACAAACCCATTTGTATTATCTTATTTCTCACTCAATGAGAATCGATAAGGAATTGTATCGATAAGCAGTATCGATAATGGAATCGGAATCGAGAAATTCTTAACAATTCCCATCCCTACCAGGGAGGGCCATGACCATTACTTACATTTTATTGAACCACATCTATCCTCTGAGAAGATTTATCAATGATTATGTGAAGTGGACACCACTATGATTCTCTTTACAAACTAGTGTTTACATGGCCACCCCTGCAAAAGGCCAGTACCCCAGTCAAAAATTCTGGCCACACCCCTGCAAAACCAATGAACGCCATCACAGCAGTCATTCCTACCCCTTCACTCTGAATAATACCAATCACACAACATGCCAGATGCTGGCCTGTGCACCATATGGATGTGGTATGAACCCCAAACTCATAAATGTATTTCCCTCATGCCATTTACATAAAATATTAAAAACATGGCGATGACATCTCTTGGGAAAACAATTTTTTTTCTCAGTATGTTGGATGTCATGCATATCACTAAAACATGTAGGAGTGTTTTTAAAAATGTATGCATGAAGGAATAAGAACATTAATGAGGTTTAAACCTACAGGGAAATGAAATGTTTGTCTAGATACTTTACTGCTCCATTTCTTTTTATCTCTTTTTACTCCGTCTTTGTTTGAATGAACGTGCATGTGAACAAATTTGTGTGTAACAGTGACTCTGTCTACAGAAGGAGATCTAGATCTTGCCCCTTGACTGAACAGCAGCCTTCATGACACGACTTGTGCCTGCTTTGTGCGTGCAGCCGCTTGGCTCGAGTCAGGGCTACAGATGGGGAGGCAGTAGATCAAGGTTGAAAAGGTTTCATCTTCCAGTCGAATACACAGCGCGATAGCTTCACATCACACAAAAAGAGAGTCTCTACCCACTGAATCAATGAATTTATCTTTGTGGGTCTGTGACAAAGGAGCAAAAGAATTATAAGAGGTGTGCGGCGGTGTAAAATATTTGCATGGCAGATATTTTCTGCTACACTCATGCCATTATTTCACGATTGATTCTTTGTAGTAGTAGGAAAACCAAGAAAGTGTTATAATTTTACTGCGTCTGGGTTGGTCGGCAGTTTTAAGACAATAGAAAGTGAAAGATAAGAGAGAAAATGTCTTCAAAACAACTCTTGAGCAAATCTACTCTATCACACCAGTGCAATCCTTGTGTTGACTGCTGTTACATAACTACATTTTTGAAATACAGTTATGATAATAAGGAAAGAACAATGGTTTTTTCATCTGCTGCGGCACTTTCTACGATGTTGAATAGTGCACCAGTGAAAAATCCAATTGCACCATGAGCTCGTACATGTGGGCGTATGGTAAAATTAAAATGTCTCCACAAGTAAAGTTGCTTATTTCTGAAAGGAGCCGGTGTTCTCACAGGAGAAGCATCCACCTTTGTGTGAGCTCGTTGTCACCTACATTTCTCAGAGTGCATTTCTAAAAACAACACGCTCAGGCTTGTTGCACTCAGCTGTTGATTACACCCCAAAGAGAGGAGAACAAAAGCTCCTCTACAAAGTGAGAGCTGTATCCTTCGCTTGTTTGTTGATGGTAAACCGAGCACGCTTATATGAGCACATGCCTACTAAAGCCTGTACATCTACTCTGTCTTTGAGGAGTTTAAAAACCCAGTATATGAATGGTTTGTCCATGAGATACTGGGAAAAAGTAAGCATGAGCCTGCATCACTAATACCATCTCCCTCCTAGACTCTAGCAGAGTTGAAAGTAGTTGACAGTGACAGTGGGCACATACCTGCTCCGTCCTTTCCAGCTGTTCTAGAACTGCCTGGAGTGAATGTGTACATACTCTCAAAGGCCCTCTTCACCAACCTGCTCCACTGTCTCGACTCAATATGCCCAAACCCTGAGCCTGAAATAGAATCCAACCTCATTTCATGCCTCGTGGAGCTCTAAATTTGCACCAGAGGGGATGCTTCATTTGTTATAGATAGTGTGAGTAAATCAGACACAGAACAAAGTCTGTTTGTCTGGAAAATGTTTCACATCTCAGTGAGACTTCACAAACTGAAAAGGGATAGTGTCACAGAGAAATGACAGGTCTAATCTAAGAGAAGGTCGCTGAAATTATTCAACATGACTCTCAAGCCCAGAAAAGCTTAGAAATCCACCCCAACAATTAGTAAACTTTTGGATTGATGAATGAATTTCAAAACAATATCAAAAACTTAAATCTGCAAAGTTGGCTTTGGACTCAGCCAGGTGGTCACTGTCCTCTAAAGAGCAGATGCTGCAGTAATGAAAGTCAACTTTTAATCAGTGTATCTTAAAGAAGCTTATTTTCTTTCCTCTTCCATCTCTAGTTATATAGTTTGAGCTTGTAATTGTGGATGCATCAAACTGTGTTTACATCATCAATCTGACATCATTCTGAGCCTATGCGGTGATTTCCACTACAGAGTCATGACTGGTATCAATGCAGTATCACCTAAGGCCCTAAAATCTCAACCAATCAGTGTTGTTTTTTGGACTTATCCCATTTTGCAAAGAGGTTTCTAGATTTTTAATGATATCATATACTGTAGATGATGAAATCCCTAGTTTCTTTTGCAATTTTACTCTGAGGATCATTTACCATTTGCTAACACAGTCTCTCACAGAATGATGAACCTCTTCCCATTTTTATTTCTAGGGGACTGACCCTCTCTGGAGTGTCTTTTTTATACCCATTCATGTTAAAAAGCTGCTGCAAAGCCACCTAAATACTTGGGAGACAGTCTTTATTGAATTAAAAATGAGCCTTCCTTTTTGATTAGAGAAAATTAGGTGTAACATTTGATATGTTTTTAACCAAATATTGTGTTTAAATGATTTACAAATCATCGTAATACTTTAAAAATAAACTTTTCACACCATGTCTAAACTTTTTTGGCATTATAGGGTCATACCTTGCAGAGGAAATAAAATTTCAATGATGGAAAAACAAAAAGAAAAACGACATAATGACTGAACACCAATTAAAAGTATAACGTTACCTTAGGACAGAATTATATGTCTCTGAGTAATGATGACACAAGTTCACAAACATTCAAACTGTGAGAGAAATTAAGTCAAATGATACGATAAAGTAGACGCCCTAAAGCTCTTAATTCAAAATGATTTAACTGGTATCATTTTAGATGAACATTTTTGAGTGTTTTATGTCTTGACGAACCTTCAGGCGAAAGAAAAAGAGATGACACTCTGGATCTGAGCAGAGGTTTTTATTTTTCATTTCCTCCAGCGAGTGAGAAGAGTTTTTTTTATGTCTTTGAGAGTTAACCTGCAGCTGTGATATCAAATTCAATTTCTGTCCCGGGCTAAAATCTAATCAGTTTGCAAAGAGGACATTTGGTGATGTTTTATTAATCATGATGTGGGAAGGTTTTATAAGATGACATTTGTTTGAGCAGTGCAGAAGTAATCCGTCATGGTGAATGAGCATATATTAGAGAATACATCCAAATTCCTGCGGCACTGATAGAAATATTGATCTACAGTTTTACCCTGAGTGTTAAAGGATCTTCTTCTCCAACTTTGCACAACTTGGCTGTGACGCAGGAGCTTTATAAATTGACATATAGAAACAGAACAAAAACTAAAGCAATATCCTGCAAAAAAAGAAAGGAAAAGAGAAAAAGAGAAATTGCAGCTTCTCTCTGGTGACCTCTCTGCAGAAACCGGTGACCTTTTCTTTGATTCAGACTTCAATCCCTGTGTCTCTCTATTCAGCTGGTTATAAAGTACAGAGACTGTTTTTCTGTTGAAGTTTGGTATGTTAGGAAAGAGAATTAATAATTGGCAGTCTGGCTATATTTATCAGTCTACTGCAGTTGACAGAGAGCAGAGATATATCTGAAAGACAAGTCAAAGAGATTGCAGCGTCATACTTGGTCTAAGCTAAATGCAGCCCCAAAGCAGAGCTGAGGCATCCTGGGATAAAAGGGACAAACCTGTCGTATAATTCACTTACATCTCCAACATCAAAAGCAAAGCTCTTGGTTAATTCTGCTTGGAGGTGGCATGCACACCACTCAGGGGAAAGTGACTCGGAGGCAGGTTTGATAACTGAGCGCAGTTTTCATGTATTTGGCTCCGTTCTGCTCAGAGGGATATTACAGCATCCTGCATGTTTGTTATCCCTGCAGACTCAAAATCAGAGCGTTCAGATGATGTATTAACTCCCAGAGAAAAGCTGAGTCACAGAAGCAACCTTTCATCCTCAGCCCAGTCGACGCTTACTACTTGTTTCACTTTCTGGCTCGCTCTGCTTACTCCTGTGTGAAGAGCACACGCGCCAGATTGGAAAGCTAAATGAAACAAACAGAAATCTCTTTGCACCCCGCTGTGAATTACTCGGCCTCCCACCTCTCTGTGAAGTGGCTGCCGTCAGCAGCAGTCACACTCTTGTAGCCATTAGCTTTCTACTCGCAGGTGGATAGAGACGTTAAGACTAAAGGGGGGCTGATTCTGCCTATAACTTTAACTTTTGTGGTTCAGATCCTGTCATAGTTTAGCTTTAAGTGAAGTGGACATTTTCCTGAAAGGCGAAACACAACATCAAATAAGTCTCAGGCCACGTCTCCCCTGATAGCTACGCTCACGGAAAACTTTCTGATGCAACATTGTGGCTCAACAGGAAATGTTCAGATTGCAACATGAGTCCATTAATTAAATGCTATTATCTCTGTATGGTGCACTTTTCTATATTCTCAGTGCATCTCTTCCATAATCACACACGCACACACACATACACACGAAGATATATGTATTCAAAGAAATGCAGCATGCTGTTTGAGCAACATTTCAAGACTAAGCCTGCAAACACGTAGCCCACATACAGTGTTTTTAATGTTGTCTAGTATAATTCAGACGGATTAATACCTCCTAACACTGCATGTGGGAGAGAAATTATGTTCTATTGCAATCTACACATGCATGCAGAGAAAGTAGTGACAGCATACCTATTATGCGGATTAGTGTCTCTGATTTATCAAATATTGATAAAGCTTTTAAGACCTGAAGATGAGCAGTAATAAAGGTGGTTACAGGCTGCTTTATGAGAACACATGGTTACAAGTGTAATCCAAATTATATTAGCCTTGTATTTAGATTTTATTGGTTAATGTTGTATCATATTTCAGAGAGCCATAAACACCAATGAACTGGGGTGAAAAAAAAGGGGGTACACAGTATGCAGGGTCCTGTGTTGAAGTGGCCCATAAACGGTTGTTAAGAGGCCCCCAGAGACCACCTTTGCTTTCGGCCCACATTTTTGTGCAACACCCCAACAAGAGCCATGATATAAGTCTCACAGCTAAGCCTGCAGACATCCTAAAAAAATCCTTGTTTTACTTCACAGCTTTTTTTTTAACCCATACTCCTTTAAAATGTTTTAGGGATGTGCAGCCGTCTGCAAAATATGATATCCCAGCATCCTTTATGATGCACAAAGCAACCATCTACATGTTTCTTCTCAGCCGGGAGATTAGAGAGAGAACAGCCCTTGTTGCAGATGTACCGAAACACAACTAAGTAGGTAACATGTTCACCTGTAAGGGACAATTGTTGACTAGCCACCTAAGTTGCCAGTGTGACAAGATTAAGGCGGTGTGTTTCCATACATTCAAAGAAAGCAAAAGCCAAAATCGCATACATCCTGTAGCCTTCAGCTAATGAGTGAATCACAGCAGCTTCAACATCACTGGCCCTAAAAATGGCGATGTAGGCTAGCTGAATTAGCCCACGATGTAAGTGGTTCAAGTGGACAGGGTGGCCTGGGGTTGAGTCAAACTCCCATCTTAATTTAGCTCATCAGTGTAAAAATAGACGGGTAAATGGACTGTGTTTATATTGATGCATTCTCTAGTCTTCACTTTTACATTACATGATCTATTAACACCACTTCCCACTGAGCATGTTTTGGTCTATAAGAGGTCTAATAGACGTCCAAGTGTAGCCTAGATGACTGGTCTAAAATCAGGCTTCCACAGGTCTAAAAATTAAAGTTTTTTGGATGTCTAAATGTTATTGAATAATGTGTTAAAGTGCAATGTTTTTAAATTCTGTCTAAAAATATACAGAATCTAGATGGTTGAAATAAGGGCCTAAAGAAAATAGACATCTATTGCTCAGTGAGTCTAATACTCCGATGGCAGAGGCTGCTATGTAAAGCTCCATCGGTCCAATCTAACCATGTACACACTGATGGCACAGCAATTCAGAGCAGCTTGGGAGTTTAGTCTGAGGATATTTTGGTGGGATTTCGGTTTTGAACCGACAGTCTTCTGATGGAGACACAACCAGCTCTACAACAGTTAACAGTTAATGTTATTCCTCTCTCTTATTAGTGTTCATCATGCTGCCTTGTACTTTACCGCTCTGTTTTCTTTACGTATTTCAGAATTCGAACTGTAGTGAGGCTCTTGTGTTGTAGTACACTGAGCATTTCTCCTCCTTCCATGAACATTATGATTCCTAATCAAACCAAGCTGCTTGTTTATTTAACATGAAGTGTTTGTATGATGATTGGAAAATGGAGGGACGGGGTCAAAACTCTCATTTGGTTTCACAAAAACGAAACCACTTTAAAAAGCAAATGGCTATTATATCTGCTCTACAGCAGCTGTTATAATAATGGGTTCATGAATCAGTCTGAGCAAAGTTCTAACCAATGAAAGAGCGTTATTTACCTGTATGCAAAAAAAACACATTTCAGACTGGGTATTACTTGGCTCACCAAACGCATGATAAGGGAACCTTGTGGGGAATATGCTTTAATGAATATATGCAGTATTTATGGACCCTTGTGTTATTTTTGCATAGATAATGACCCTGAAGGTAGAGAGAAAAGGCATACATTTCAAATCCCTGCAGGGAACACATTTTTTTACACCTTCTTGTACCCGCAAAATAAACAGGCCAGAAATATGCACACATGAACACACAAGACCTGCATAAAGAGTGAAGGGGGCTGCACACACACAGACCGGCTCCCTCAGCAGTGAAGGACAAGAAACACCTCAGCAGTGCTCAGGATATAAACTGGCACCTCTCCAGCTACAAGCTCAAGGTCCAGACTTTGCAGGGATTTGAACCAGTCAGTCCACCCTGTTCCCAAAACCAAGTCACTGCAGATTGAGATAAAATGTGACCCTGAAGTCGAACTTTGTTTGCTGCAAAGCCTCTTAAAATCTTTTTTGTAATTCCTCATAAAGGGAGTTAATCAGTACTATTTATTTTGCATTTTAATTCAATATTGCCATACAAAATATTGCAATATAGGGCTTTAAAGGTTTGGCTCCACCTCAGTTTAATACAATGTTAGAGGTCAGTTTAATGCTTAAAGTACTATTTCTATCTAATAGTCTCCACAATAGTGTAAGTGTATGAAAGTAGAGAAAAACATATTGCATAAACAGTTTAAAAAAAAAAAAACATTTTAATTTTGATTCAGTCGTCTAAACTTAAATTCGAAAGAAACAGCAGTGGGATATACTGACTGACTTCCCTGTCCTCTTCCTCGTCACAGCAGCACCAACAGGAGCAGGAAAGAAGCAAATTCAGGTCTGAGCAGCTGCTGTCCTGTGAAGTCTGCGGCGTTCTGATGTTAGGTATAGGCTTATGAATTTTGAAGTAGCCTCTAAGCTCTTTAATATTGCAGTCCCTCATGTGAAATGTACAGACTTTTCAACCTGCCTCAAATCATCAGCCAGCAAAGTCCCTCTGAGTGCAGTCCCGGCAGAGCAACGATAACAAACAACAGAACAAAAGCTTGTTATTACCATCTCAATTTGTTCTGACACCACCGTGGCAACACAGAGCTCCTATAGGCAAAGAGCTGCAGAGCAAGAGAGGCACGACTGGGATCTGTCATTCAGCTGGGAGCAACAGCAAACCCAGCCTGGGTGCTTGAAGCTGTTCACCAGTAAGACAACATGATGCAAATTTACAGCAGTGATAAGGATACAGAATATAACCAGGAGAAGAAGAGCTGCGTTGGCAACTTTGAACTGCTCAGAGCGACATTCACACTGTTCAAGCTCAACAAGCTCCGGTCAAGCAAACAAGGCTGCTGCTGCAACTGGCAGCAACAGTGAAGCTTCAGCAACTCACTGTCAGAGTGAAAGTGGGTGTAGATTTAGAGATTATTTTTTAAGAAAGAGGGCAGCGTTGTGGGGACTGAAACCTCATGTGCATTCACTCTTTCTGGTTATGAAGCAGACTGAAATGAACAATTATACCGTTTTGTTATCTGCTATTCTATAGTGGTATATAAAAGAGTAAGAAAGTCACAAATGTCTCCCTTCAGTGTAATTCAACTGTGGTTTTCTTACTGTATTTTAAAGCTCCTGTAAGGAACTTTCAGTTCTGGTTAATTTTGGCGCCCTCCTGTGGACAAAGTAGTCTTTGCTTATCTTAACTTCAACTGTTTGAGTTAATTCTTTCAAGTTTTCTTCCTGGACTGCATGGAAGAACTTTACATTTATGTCCCCTCCTAAACATGTTGGTTTTGATGGAATGGTTTCACCACTGCCTCCTGCTGGCCACACAGCAGATTCGATTTTAACTGTCGATTTTCTCAATCTTTAGTCCGCGTCTTTAACACCAGTGAAACAGCTGAATGATTATGATTGTCTACTGACTATTCCAGAAACCATATTTCCCCAAAAATACACATCACATGTAAGTCAGTTTTTAAGATTTATTCTTACATTTGAAGATCCTGGAACATAAAAATCTATTTAGAAATCATAGAACAAAAAATCACTATGCTTATGTGAATCGATTTTTTGTCCCACCCCTACTGTACAGTATTTGAGTTTGCTGAGATGAGTGTTTCCACCACAAGTTTGCGAGCTCTTATCATAAATTTAAATATCTTTCTGATCAAACCAGCACTACAAACAAAGTTTGTAAACTCCACTACACTATTAGATTTGATCAGGGACAAAGTGGCCCACTAACCTGGGTCCACCTCACTATGTATGCTTTGTGTGTTGAAGTTGTTGCTCTCTCATTTGGGTGCCATCCTCTGTGTGAAATCCTACAACCCAATAAAATACCTCTCGCTGACTTTCATATTGGTACATCAGGAGTTAAAAGTCACTGGATTATTTTATATCGCTCTGGAACTTGCAGGTTTTTCTAACAAATCCTTCATTTTTATAAGATTTCATATAAGTTTAATTCATCGTGTTTCTACAGGTGGAGCTCAAGCCAGAATCCAAATTCATGTGCTGTTCTCCAATAAATTGTCTGCTGTTCTGGCAGCCTCCAGGCAAAAACTGTCGAGGGACTTTGATGAGAGCATTTTTTTCTCTTGTAGAAGACAGAAAACCTTGAAAATTCAAATTCAAAAGCTCAAAATGATTCTTCCCACTGCACAGGGAAACAAAAAGGGAGAAAATAAATCAATATTTGTGTTTATTCATCAAGGAATCAATGAATAAGGTATTTACACCCCTTACAGTCCTCAGTTTGACTCACACCCATGACCCTTTGCTGCCCTCACCCTATACTCCCCACATTTTTGTCTCTCTTTAGCTGTCCAATCAATAATAAGAAAAACATTAAATATTAATATTAACTCTTGCTTTGAGTGGCATGATGTTCAGTCCAGAATTATGAATATCCACATCACTTTGCATGTTCTTGGAAGAAAAACACAGGAGATTTCAAAAAGCATTGCTTAACTCTGGATGTTTGAAACTTTTAGTGTGTTTTTATGCTCATTTTTGTCACTCAGTGTCTCTTTAAACTACACACTTGGTATTGTTGACTGTTTTGCTTGTGTTCTTTTACTTTTTCAGGGTTTCTCTGTCAAAGAGATGTGTGGACTAAATGGGATAAAGATGACTAATTAGAATGATACAAACTGAAACATGTTCTCCCACATGCAGCCATTCAACTAGAGGTTCCAGTCCTTTCATTTCATCCTCCCACATGAAGCTTTTAACCATGTCAGCTTGAGTGCAACATGTGACACCTCCAACAACTAAGTGAAGCTCCGCTGCACTATTTTCATGTTATCTAAAACCTTCTAGAGTCCAGTGGCCTGGCTGTGTGGGCCAACACCTCTCACTGGCCAAAAGTCACAGAACAGCTAGATGTAATGTAAGAGACTCACTGCTGTAGCTCGCACTCCAAGGCTGGTATCCATAATAGCCGGTGATGCGCAGTATCCGCTCCTCTATGGACGCGCTGTTGATGTCTTCAACTGAACGCGAGGACTTGAGGTCCTCCTTGATGGCCTCGTCTACCGCCAGGTACTTGAGCTGTCTGAGCTGAGGGCTGATGTCCGAAAGCCTTCTGGGGCTCACGTCGGGAGACTTGCGCATCCCGCTGGGGAGAGAGAACAAAGGGTAGCACAGGGGTGTTTAAAGAAGTAATAGAGAGACTGCAAACCTTGCATAAGACCGGATAAGTTAAACTAGGAGAATCAGCGCTGTTTGTTCCTGGGAGCTTGGCGTTTGGGGCCCCTGAAGCGCCTCCACACAACCCAGAAATCTTCATCCTTCACTGGTCTTGCATCCGCGCAACAACACTATGAAAGACGTTAAGTGAAAGTGACTGCTCCTGCAACTGTTGTATACTATGCAGTGTGCAGCCCCCATTATAAAGCCTATAATGTAACAGGAGGAGTAATGCGAAACTAATGGATCGATCATGATTAGAGGAAACACTTGTGACAGCATGTAAAGGCACTGGAGCGCACAGCTACATCCAGCAATACTCCTGGAATATCATTTTAAAACGCAATACACATTTAGCCTAATAATACCGGTTATTGTGTAACAAAACGGTGAGGTTAAGCTTAAAGAATCGTTTAATATCGTACAAGTGATGTTATCTGTCTGAAATAGTGGAATATTTGTAAGCTGTCATCCACTTGGCTGTTATGAAACCACAAACACGTGAAGGAAAAACATGCAACGCTGACAATTCTGTGCGTAAAACGTGCATCCAAATCTTAAACATTCCCCGAAAATGTCTTTCGGTGCTGTTTCTAAGCATGCAAACATTAAAAACAGTTTTCCCTCCGTTTTTCTGTACACAAACAAAAATAAACATGATTCACATCTTTTCTCATAAAGTCGTTTTCCTTCATCGATCAAGCTTTGGAAACCTTGTGCGCAACAGGTGCAGCCCGCCTCTCTCGCTCGGCTGCAGCGCATCAGTAAAACTTTAAATGTCTTACATCGGCATCAAAGTGGTCGGAGGTCCAAGGTAGCACATACAGTCCCTGTGGGGCCGTCCGACCCGGTCCCACACCGTGCCCTCTCCATCCCCGTACATCCTGAAGGCCACTAAAGGGGGCAGCTCCGGCAAAAACTAAATCCTCATCAAGGCTTCAGAGAGACGCGCACCATCGTCCTGCTCCTCCTCACCCCCACAAACATATGCCTGGACACTACTGAGCACACTGTTACAGAAGTAAGGGGTGCGCTCTGTACTGGATGCTGCTGGATTCTGGAGGCACTGCAACAGCGCCATCTACCGGAACGATTAGAAACTCAGTCAGCTTTAAAGTAAAGGGCAAGGTTTAGTCCCTTTCCACCACAGCATGTCTTTTACTGCTTCTCCAAGGGTCCAATTACTCACCAGAGAAGTCATGTTTTTGTCGACAGTTTTCATACCACACTGTTTATCGTGAAAACAAACAAATAAAACAACAAAAAATGAGTTTAATTTCTTTTTCTGCTCCACCAGGATCACAGGTGGTTCTTTAATCTCCTTCTGCACTCTCTGCACCTGGAGTGACTCAGCTCTCTCCCCGGGTAAAGACCTAAACTGCCTGAAGACATTTTTTTTCCTGTGGCCTGTTGAATCGGAAAGCCCACTATTTTAAGTGTACACCCAGTGGTGTGCTTAGAGGGGGGCGAGGGGGGCACTTACCCCCTGATGCATTTACAAAACACAGCAAAAGATCCCCATGGATGCCATTTTATTAGATAACATGGTATAAAACAACATCTCTAGTGCTCTGTCAGTGGCAAACAAAAAACTTCTCTTCTTGGTGACCTTAAGGTGGGTATAACATGAAAAATGGCCCTCTGGATATCTTACAAGTAAATACAGTAACCTTTCTAACCTTTATGCAGTTTTTCACTCTTATTTTAATGAATATATATTGTCAGGGTTGCTATAACTCAGTGGATGTTCAAGTGGTGTAATCTGCCATCTTGGCTATTCACAAATAAATTGAAGCAGTGCTCCCGTGTTGTCATCCAACAGACCCCGCCCTATTCTGAAACAAAGGACAGCTCAAGGAGGAACATTTATTATCATTACTTTATCATTTTCTTGAAATAATAATCATCATAATCATTTTGCACTGCAGACACGTTAGTTCTTCTGCCTTAGTGTCTCGGTCTGATTGCATTTCCATGAAGTAATGGTAATAGGTAAATGGTAATGGTCATGGCTTTTCTAAAGGTAAAGGTAATGATAAAGTTATAGTAAAGATTAGAAAGGTAACCACTGGACAACCTACTGCCTTATTATGGCTTAATTGTGCAATTACTTTATTATTACAGAAATCCAAGAACAGGCAATAAAGTGAGGAGCTAACTTGATGGTCTTCAAAATGCCACCAGAGGCAAATCCTCAATAATCACAACTGTCAGTAAGCTGCTGTTTCATAGATTACTGCAGGTGCCCCTTTTGTTCTTTTGCCCCTGCCTCCCAAAAAGCCTGAGTACACCCCTGGATGAAACAAACACCATTTGTCAACAGTCATACTTTTCTAAAATGAGCAAATAACACGCACTATCTGGTATATTTCCCCTAAACTTTCATATTTTACCAGCCACAGCAAGTCTCAAACCAAAGTTTGACTTGTTTTAAATGAATGAATCAGACGTCTGGACGTTGTCAAATGATCAGGCAAAAAAAAAGGAGACAGGAGTTTGAGGCGAAGGCAGAAGTGACAAATGATAAAAGCCTTTTCAAATCGATTTCTGTTCCTGCATATTTTTCATGTCCAGAGAATTTAACTCACAGGAAAGTTACTTTCCTCGAGTCTCTGTCATATATTTTTCAGTTCAAGCAGCTGCACTACGATCGTTTGACTTCTTACCGTGCAAAATGGGACAAAAGTATTGACTGAACAAGTTGTAATCTGTTTTCCAGCACAGGTGTGAAACATATCGGCGCTGCAAGCAGATACGTTCACCATGGATTTTGCTACATTTCACAAGCCGCCGGGGTCTCCTTTGCTCTATTATTCATAGTCTACTTTACCAGCAGTGTTTCAGATTGATAGCAGGGCGTGCGTTTCGAATGTCTGTGTGAGACAGTAGAAATGTTTCAGTTTGATATTACAGAACCAAAGACAATTACAGGGATTTGATTACATCCAATCAGAGCTACGCTTCAGTAATGAGGTAATTATGTTCACTGGTGGAAATGATATCTACTTGGAAATTAAAATCATGTACTGTCTTTGCACAAATATGAAAGTAAGGTTTCCACAATTAAGACTGTGAACAGGAATTTAGTCATATTAAGGTAAACATTCAGTACATGCACTTCAAATAGAGGAAATGAGCTAATCTCTACCTTGCATAGATGGGGTAGTGTCGCCCATAGGTCCCAGGTCCGTTGTCCACTCGCTGCATTGCGTCGGCATCCTGTGAGCCCCCGACTGTGAAGAGCAGCAAGAGTACACCAACAGTTTTTTGAAGACAGGTTTTTCATCAATCAATGACCAGCCACCACAGTGAAGGGAAAGAGGGGGGCAGGTCCGTGCTTACTCAAGCAAAAAAAAGTGGAGTCCACTCATCAATACTTGGGTCAACACCTTCAATCGACAGAGTTAGGGAGGAGAGGATCAGGTTCATCTTGCATAATGTGCCTCTCAACTTCACAGCTCGGCCAGGGCCAGATCAATCCTCTCTGATTGACCTTCCTCTTCGCCAAAACCTAAATTATACGGACACGTCTTGTGACATTGAGCCTATAAATATCAGAGTAGATGGGAGTGCTGAGACATTGAAGCTGTTCATGGCCACCTAGTGAGCCAAAACTATTTGTTTCAGACTCTCAGGCCCTCCTGGATCTGAGCCTTAACACTGTATCTGTATCTTCCAGTTAAAGACATTACTTCCTACTTCCATCTTCTCTTTTTTGGGGAGGGTCCAATCTTCTGTTTGTCTGTCATTTTGATAGGACAGTGGGTGTCTTCGGGGAAGTTTTAATTTTTACTCAATATACCTTTAAGAAAACACTAAAACCCCTTTTTGTTTTGTTTTTTTCTTAGTTTCCAACCTAAAACCCCAATCCCTTCGGTTTTGTTATTGGAGAAACGTTACAATTAGCTGAGAGGACCCAGCTCACTATTTAGACGACAAAAACAAAAGTGTAAAAAGTGTGGCTTTTATACTGAATTTAATGGTAATCTCCATCATAATCCACGAATGAATTTCCTCACATCATTTAGAAACCTTTTGTTCAGTCTTGGGATGCAGAATGATGAACCAAACTTATTTTTTTGTGAAATTAGACAAAAGTGCTGCTTTTTCTTAAAACTTTGGAGGGGTAATGCTGATGCACTTTATCCTAGTTCATAAGTTTTACTCTAACATTATCATATTTTCTTCCAGGCTGGATGCATGTGGCAACATTCATGACTTCTAGGGTTCAGTAGAGCAATTATATAAGCGAACATTTATGAAATAAGATTATAATTTTCTCAAGGACTTGACCTCCCCACCACAGGAAAAACAAGTGAATATAAAATGTGAGAGTGCCCGTCTTCAGGCTTTCACAGAGTGAACTCATCTGTTCTCAACTGCTCTTTGAAAGGCCATGTTATAAATACATTAAAATCATAGCTCTGGAGGCCATGGGAAATATAAAGATCGGATCCTTCAGCTCTCGTATTTTTTCGGATCAGGCCCCTCTAAACAGTAATTGCCTGGCCCTGTAGTCCACAATCTTTCACAACAGCAGCCCTCTAATGGAGGGTTAATTGCCCCCCCAATCTGCAGGGCGCTGCGCTCCTGTCTAAATATGGATCAGAGATGAAGAGGGAGCAAAAGCTCAAGGCCAAGAAACATGAAGTGAACACAGTGAGAACGATTCCACTTTTGTTTCCCACACAAGAAACTGACGGAAATAGCAAACTACTCAGCAGGCTGTCATCAGAGTTCACAGTGATTGTTTCTTTTCCATAAATCAGAGTCAAAATGACCTCTTTCCACAGCAGACATTTTGAATTGTAGAAACTGTGTGCCCCAGTCATTACTGTGAGTCAGCATGTGGTGTGCTTGAAGCCTGCTAACCTAAACAGAGTGCAGCCATATTTGGATTGAAGGAATATAAATGAGTCAGATTTCAGGATTACCATCAGCCCAGAGGTTTTTCTGCTCGGTTACATGAGTAAATAAAGGAAATTTAACATTCAAAACAATCACTCTGCTAAAGTGTTGCTCCAAAGAAAGATGATTTATAAGATATTTTAACTGCTACAGCTGCTATAAAAACATTTAAACAAACAGAAACTTACATCATGATTCACTCCAGTCAAACTTTTGTAGAGATGAAGTAGAGACATGTGGCAGAGTTCACAAGACTCACCACAGCTAATCCGGCTTCCTTTAACTTTTAAGCTCCGCCCATCCAGGAAGTAGACAGGAAGTAAAGATTGGAGGAAGGAGGAAATTATCAACATTACTACTGGTGCTTGGAGAAAAGACATTTGGTAAGATAAAACTTTTTAAATAAAGTTGTAACCTTAAATAGTGATAGTCTGCGGCTCTGGTGTTTCACTAATTTATGAAAAAATGTTAAGTTTGAGAAACATCATTTAAAAGATACCTTTACTCAGTTATTTTCTGAGATTACTCATTAAAATCTGTGACATTGTTGTCTCCCCCATCATCTCCTCCTTGTTAATCCAATCATCTGTTTAAAGATCCAGTTAGTAACTTACTTATCCTTGAATATGTTGCTTGTATCACCACCATCACACTACTGTTACTCACCTGATTCTCTATATGTTGATATTTTCCAATAATTATCTGATATCTTAAATTATTTCAGTAAAATTAAATCCTTTTCTGATTCCGTCCTCAGCTTTTTTACCAGATCTTTTTTTTTTCGTGCGATTATTTCAGACGTCAATATTTTTTTTCGAGACCGTATCCTGTCAATACAAGCGTTCACATCAGTAATTTTCATCGTAATTTTGTGTTGTATATTTGCGTCGTTCCCAGTGTGTAAGGGAATGACGCTGTTACAGGTTTTAGACATGGATCTGCATTGGTTTGCTGATTTACCCGAAACTTCATGCTTACTTTAGCCAACTTCTGAAAAGTTTTGTTTTCAATATCAATCACTCATTTCTTCTTTTTTTTCCATCACATTAATATTGGAAAGATG